TTTTTTTTTAATTTTGATTTATATGCCGCCCTTCTCCAGAGACTCAGGGCAGCTTACAATGCATTAAGCAATAGCCTTCATTCTTTTGTATATTTTATACAAAGTCAGCTTATTGCCCCCACAAACTGGGTCCTCATTTCACCTACCTTAGAAAGGATGGAAGGCTGAGTCAACCTTGAGCCTTGGAGAGATTCGAACCAGCAGAAATTGCAGGCAGCTGTGTTAATAACAGGGTGCACTAAACCACTGTACTATCAAGGCTCTTGTCATGTGAGTTGTAACACCAACCCGACCAAATTCGATTTGATGACATTTTGGGCAGTGGTTTGTTAAACGAATGCTGCAGTTTTGTTAGGTGAATCTGTTGTCCTCTATGGGCCATGGGTTGGCGGATGTTGTTTTTGGTTTTTTTTTTTGCTGGAAAATGGAAGGAGGTACCAGTTTCTAGAAGAAAACACCTTGTAAAATGTCATGTGACTGCAGGATGCTGCAAATGGTTGTAAGTGTGGACAGGTGTGCCAGGTGTCCAAAATTTGGCCCCAGGATTGCAGTTCTCCAGACGTCGGAACTTGTAAATTAGGTTGTAAGTCCTGTTTTGGGGGATCCGTCGCAACTTTGAAGTCACTAAGCAACCAGTCATAAGTCAAGGACTACATTTACTTGATCAACTGACTTTGTGTGGGGAGCCCACACAGCTGTGGGGTCCTGAGAGAACCTCCCATTGCCCCTTTAACTAATTTTAATAGGGTCCAGCATCTTGCCTTGTTTCCAATCCTAATTTTTTTAAAGATTTTAATTTAATTCTCACGTGCTTTTTTTGTATTTTAACGTTTTACTCAGAGGTGTATTTCAGCAGGTTCTGACAGTTCTGGAGAACTGGTAGTAAAAATTCTGACAGGCCCCGCCCCAATCTATTCTCTGCCTCCCAATTCCCAGCTGATTGAGAGAAAATGGGGATTTTGCAGTATCCTTCCCCTGGAGTGGGGTGTGAATGGAGATTTTACAATATCCTTCCTCTGGAGTGGGGTGGGAATGGAGATTTTACAGTATCCTTCCCCTGGAGTGGGGTGGGAATGGAGATTTTGCAGCATCCTTCCCCCGTCACGCCCACCAAGCCATGCCACACCCACCAAGCCACACCCACAGAACCGGTAGTAAAAAATTTTGAAACCCAACACTGGTTTTACTAGACACGGCCAAGGGTCTTTCTCGGAGGGAGATGGGCAGTTCAAAAATGTATAAAAACAAACCAACAAACCCAATGCACATTCAGCAGATGAATCGTATCAATCGCACACACATTTAAAAGTGATGATGGACACAAACGTACAAACCACACACATTACAAAAAAAAAAAAAAAGGAACGCGGGCCAAGCCGAAGATGCTGCAAAAGATATCAAGAAACCCTTTCTCCCTTGAGGAAAGGGGATCTGCTTCTAGCTGTCAGTCAAGATTTAGCAACAAAGATAAATGGGAAGTTATCTTAGGAAGGATAATGAAAAGCATAAACCAGGAGCGGGGATGAAATCAAAGCGAAGGGGCGATTAGCCGTCCCATTCTTCAACCTGGAGCCCTCGGAGTTAATGCTTGCTAAGAGGTATTTGAGCAGCTCTTTTTGAGTTCTTACAGGCATTTCATGTAATCAATTCTCCCCCTCTGAATGTCAATTATCCCTGGTTTATGAAGGAATGCAGGCCCCCTTCCAACGTCTATTAGATTTGCCAGGGTTATTGACTAGCTTGGGTTGATATACAGCAAATGGAAACTGCCAGCTAAACCCTGGGATGCAAAAGCTGGATAAGTGCTTACTAACATTTATAAACCTGTAGCAAATCAGGGTTACTGTGACAGCCCATTACCATATTAGAAAACGCAAAGGGAGGAGGTGGGCAGAGGCAGAATCCAAAAGTGTCAAAGGATATATAACTTCGGCGGTAAAGAAGAGCCGCAGTTCTAAGGACGACAAATGTCAGAGCCTGGTTTAAAACCTTGATTCGAGAGCAGGAATCCCTTCCCGACATTTTGCATTTTGCCAAATAGGTAAAAGTCTTTTGAAGTGAGTGGCGTAGAATGAATTTAGACCATCATTCACGAGGTAAGGATAACAAGGCGAAGGATAAAGAATAAAAAGCCAACCACTTCAGGGAGTATTTTGCGTATTTTCAAAAAGGCCCTCAGCAAGGTGGCAGCTGCTGATTGTGGATTTTTGCACACTAACTGGGTCTGCACAACATATAGGGTTGGACTAGAAGACTGCCGAGTTCCCTTCCAGATCTATGATTCTATGAATGTCGGTATCTGTTGTGACCCCGACTCCCGAGCCTGTCCTAACAGAGGAAGAGGACTCAGAAGGTGATGGGGAGGAACTGACAAGGGAGGTCCTCCCACTCCAGACCCTCCTCTCTGGCAATGCCTCAGGTTCCATCCGAAGGCCAAGAGGAACAGCCTGGGATATGCCAGGAGGAAAGCATATCGGAACAACAACAGATAGGGAGCGAGGATGATGAATCCTGGCTTGATCCCAGGCAGCGTCGGAGGGAGAAGCGCGCGCAGCAACGAAAGAGGCGTGGGAGGGCCAGAGATTGAGCTGAGTCACTGAGCCACACCCCACAAGGAATAAAAGTGGGTGTGATTGCTCTTCAGGCTTTGTGACGGTCAAAGTTAAAAACCTGAGAGTGACATCGCGTTACCTGAAATCTGGCTTGTACGTATTTGGATTGGACCTTGGCTAACTCTTGCTTCGTGGATTACTTTTTTGCTACTGGACCGGACTGAGGATAAACTCTCTCTTGCTGACTGTGAGTGAAAACTGACTTGGCAGGCATTTCGCAGTTTACTGCCAAAACTCTTATCTGCAAGGGATTCTAGTCTGATTGCATAATAAAACCTTGGCAGGCGTGCCTGGTTGTGTGTTTGCCTGTGTAGAGAAGGGGGGACAAAACAGTATTATGCCATGGTTCACACAACACGCTAGGCTCTTCTGGTAAACTTGCAAGATTTGTTTCTCTTGGTACATGCTTATTTATTTGTTTGTTTGTTTATTTAGTCATGTTTATGTTTATATTAGAAGTGGAGAACCTCTGAGAGCTGTAAGCAATGTAATTTCATTTTAATGTATGCCGATTAGTGTACATTCAAAGTGACAATAAAGTATTCTATTCTATTCTATTCTATTCTATTCTATTCTATTCTATTCTATTCTATTCCTTTGCTTCTACTTCTCTCATTCTTCTACTTCTTCCTCTTCCTCTTCCTCTTCCTCTTCCTCCTCTTCGTCTCCTTCTCCATTCTATTCTATTCTATTCTATTCTATTCTATTCTATTCTATTCTATTCTATTCTATTCCATTCCATTCCATTCCATTCCATTCCATTCCATTCCTTCTCTTATTTCTACTCTACTCTGTTCTATTTTCTATTCTATTCTCAAAATAAAAACTCCATCATATATTTTATATATGCGAATGTCATCCATCCCCTGAGCTATTCACAAGCTACTGCACATGACTGATGAACATTTTTTTTTTTTTTTTACAAACGTATTCCAAAACTATTGTTTTAAGGTGTCTAGAAAATATTCCGGGGAAGAAAAATCCATCATCAAACGATGAGGTTCTTCAGCCTCCCTGAGACAACCTCACTTATCTTATGCTCCTTCTTCCCTGCCTCTTCTCATCAAAAGCTGTTATGTGGAGAAGATAAGATTGTCTATACCAGTGGTTCCTAATGTGGGGCCCATACCCCACAGGGGGGCAAACTGATTTTTTTTTTTTGGCGTAACATTTTTTATTTTTATTTCTCATAAACATATTTAAGTGTACAGTCTCTTATCCATCATTAATCATTGATCATTCATCTTATCCTTTAACTTTCATTTTTATTTGTTCGGGGCTGCCCTTTTACCATTTCCTCTTCTTTGTTTTACCGCAACCTTTCCTCTTCTTCTTCCCTCTCTTTTTCTTCTGTCCCTTTCTACTTTCTTTATTCCTCCTCTCCTCCCCTTCCCTTGCCCCACTCCTCTCTTCTTCCTCCCTTTCTAACCCTCTGTCCTAATCTTCTTTCCCCTCCCTTTTCTTCCTCTCCTTTCCCCTCCTTCCCTCTCTCTGCTCCCCACTTCTTTGTTGTATCCATTTTCAATTTAATCTAGAATGGTATTCGAGCAGCCCCGATTTTCTATTTACATATATCTTCATTTCAAATTCTTTTTTGTTTAATAACCACATCTGTTTTATCATTCATGTACACTTTTATAGTAACACTTTTTCTCTCCCCCCCCTTTTCCATTTACCCAGGCGTCAATGACTACTGGCATAAGCCTGATGATGGCAGATGGGATTCTGCCGAAACGTCGCTTCTACCCTTTTAGGGATATATCCACAATTACACGGGAAGAAACCCGAAATATTAACTATACACACACACATATATATATATACACACACACATACCATTTCCCCGAAAATAAGGCATCCCCTGATAATAAGCCCAATCAGGCTTTTGAGCACATGTGCTAAAATAAGCCCTCTCCGAAAATATTTAAACCTATTTTAGGTTCTATTTAATTGGGCCAAACTATGTTATAATAATAATTTTAATTAGCAATTTTATGATGTTTGTGTATGTATATTTTTCTTGACTGTATACCGCCTTGAGTCCTACGAGAGAAAGGCGGTATAGAAATATAATAAATAAATAAATAAATAAATAAACAAACGCAGAGCTGGAAATCAGGTAAGACGGCAAGAGGAGCCCCATCTTACTCCACGCGCCCCAAAATAATAAGACCTCCCCGAAAATAAGGTTTATTTCAGGGTTCAAAAAAAAATATAAGACAGGGTCTTATTTTCGGGGAAACGCGGTACATACATACATAGTATTGTATACAATCCTATGTATGTATTATACATACATACATAGTACTGTAGTGAAAATGTGTTCACTAATTTACACAGGTGGGGTTTTAGATTTATCTCCTCAAAATCATTCATTTGTCCAGGCTGCAGGCTAAAAGAAAAGAGGGGAGGGGGTTTCCACTTACAGTAGGACCTGTCTTCCTTCTGGGTCCCTCTTCATCTGTTCCCAGAGATTCTGTAAAGCTATTGGACCCGTTGTCTCTCCAAGGACAGCTATCATATCTGGAAGGAGGAAGGAAGAAAGGAAGAAAAAGGAGAGAGAGTGATACAACACAAAAACGTAATACCAATAGCATTTAAGACTTATATACCACTTCATAGTGCTTGTCATGCCCCGGTCAAGAGCCTGAATCTGTGGAGGAAGACGAGCTGGAAATTGAGCCGAGGGAAATCGAGGTGCGGCTTTGTTGGCTTAAGAGGAAAATGGGAAAAAGTCAGCCTAGTCAGGTCAGGGCCTTTCAGGTTTGGGGCAGCTTGTAGGCAGGAAGTGGGGCAGGATGACCAAGAAAAGCTAAGCAGTGAACATGAGACAGAGCTCAGGAGATGAGCAAGAACCATCCCCTCCTGATCCTCGAGCACAGAGAGTGGAGAGAAGGCGAGAACAGCGCAGTAAAATCGGCCGCTGCTCGCTTAGCTCTCTTGCTTAGCATTTTGTGATTGTAAACGGACGACTACCTGTACAGAATTTGCAATATAACTAGACCAGGCTGTAAACCATCAGGGCAGGTAGCTGGAGTGTGTGTGTGGAGATCTTCAAAGTAGCCGCAAAAACCACAACCCCCAGCTCACCGTGACGATAGGGGTTGTAGAGAGACATGAAGGCCGATCCGGCGGTCAGCAAGCATTTTTGCAAGAGGCTGGTGGGGATGTGGTTCGGATAGAGGGGGAAATTGTTCGCTTCTTCCAGGGGGCTCAGGAGGGCTGAGAGGGGGCTGGTGTGGCAAATCGTGCGTCCTGTAGGGAAGAGAAAGGGTTAACGTTAGAGAATCAGAAATATGTCAAGACACCAGCTTGCCTTCAGAAGTTATGGGCGATTCATCCCTGGAAGCTTTCAAGAAGAGACTGGACTGCCATCTATCAGAAATGGTGTAGGGTCTCCTGCTTGGGCAGGGGGTTGGACTAGATGACCTACAAGGTCCCTTCCAACTTTGTTATTCTGTTGTTGTTGTGTTTTCCTAACTTCCCAAAGCTCTGGATTGAGGTCAAAACACAAACAATGTTTAATACATTTTTTTTTTTTTTTTGTGGGTGACCTATAAATGACATCCTGTATGCAAACAGGGACGTGGTGGCTCAGGGGCTAAGACGCTGAGCTTGTCGATCAAAAGGTCGGTAGTTCAGCGGTTCGAATCCCTTAGTGCCGCGTAACGGAGTGAGCTCCCGTGACTTGTCCCAGCTTCTGCCAACCTAGCAGTTCGAAAGCAGGTAAAAAAAAATGCAAGTAGAAAAATAGGGACCACCTTTGGTGGGAAGGGAACAGCGTTCCGTGGGCCTTTGGCGTTGAGTCACGCTGGCCGCATGACCACGGAGACGTCTTCGGACAGCGCTGGCTCTTTGGCTTTGAAACGGAGATGAGCACCGCCCCCTAGAGTCGGGAACGACTAGCACATATGTACGAGGGGAACCTTTACCTTTATGCAAACAAGGAAGATCTGTGGACTTCAACTCCCAGGATTCCATGCTGGCTGGGGAATTCTGGGAGGTGAAGTCCACCTAGAAACAGAAACTTCGATCTAGGGTTTTGGGTGAGAACTTAATCGGTGTTTCTCGATGCTGGCCACTTGAAAGAGGTCTGGATAACTCCCAGAAGTCCACGCTGGCTGGGGAATTCTGGGAGTTGACGTCCACCGATCTTAAAGGGGCGAAGCTTGACAACGATGTCAACTTTTTGATAAACACTTGTATTTAAAGGAAGACTTTGCTTTTCACGAATTCTGGGGGGGATGAACGATTAGGTATGATTGACGTTGTTACCACACCTCTGTGCGTAGTTACTTCCTTCACAACAGCAAAAAGGACACCTCCATCTTTTGACCGACCTCTTTCTCTCTTCCAATCTGTCTCCACCCGAGCTACGTTTCAACATTGCAAAAATGTTGGGATTTAATCGGGGAATTAAACTCCTCCCTGAAACAATTAAAGGTTTTTCACTCATCCGGGGATTTGACGAAAGATTGCAACCAGAAAGAATCATTCTTTCCTCACCGCAGAAGCCTCATCGCTGATCACTGACCAAACAGGGCATTGAGCTTTTGGCTAGGACTGGAAAATATCTTTGATGCTTTATTGACTTTAATGGTGATGTCTTTTTGATGATTGCGGTGAGCTGCCCAGAGCCTTTGAGTGTCGTGTGCCATACAGGTTTCCTGGATTAGAATAGAATAGAGTTTGAAGGGACCTTGAAGGTCTTCTAGTCAAGCATTTCTGACAGATGGCAGTCCAGTCTCTTCTTGAAAGCCTCCAGTGATGAAGCTCTCACAACTTCTGAAGGCAAATCATTCCGCTGGTTAAGTGGTATCACTGTCAGGAAATTTCTCCTTAGTTCTAGATTGGATCTCTCCTTGATTAGATTAATAGAGTTGGAAGGGACCTTGTAGGTCATCTAGTCCAACCCCCTACCCAAGCAGGAGACCCTACACCATTTCTGACAGATGGCCGTCCAGTCTCTTCTTGAAGGCTTCCAGGGATGAAGCTCCCACAACTTCTGAAGGCAACTTCTGTTCCATGGGTTGATCGTTTTCACTGTCAGAAAATGTCTCCTTATTTCCAGATTGAATCTCTCCTTGATCAGTTTCCATCCATTGTTCCTTGTCTGGCCTTCGGGTGCTTTGGAAAATAGCTTGACCCCCTTCCTCCTCTCTGTGGCAGCCCCTCAAATATTGGAAGGCAGCTATCCTGTCTCCCCTGGTCCTTCTCTTCACTAGCCATGCCCAGTTTAGTTTCCATCCATTGTTTCTTTGTCTTGCCTTCTGGTGCTTTGGAAAATAAATCAACCCCCCCCCTTTTCTTTGTGGCACCCTTCAAATGCTAGAAGACTGCTATCACGTCATTAAAATCAAACTGAATTAAAACGCAGCACTGCTAATGTTAGCATATTGGTAAGAGCACGTGTAAAATATCATGATCTGTTCCAGAGGTGGGTTTCAGCAGGTTCTGACCAGTTCTGGAGAACCGGTAGCGGAAATTTTGAGTAGTTCGGAGAACTGGTAGTAAAAATTCTGACTGGCCCCGCTCCCATCTATTCTCTGCCTCCCGAGTCCCAGCTGAATGGGAGGGAATGGGGATTTTGCAGTATCCTTCCCCTGGATTGGAGAGGGAATGGGAATTTTGCAGTAACCTTCCCCTGGATTGGGGAGGGAATGGAGATTTTACAGTATCCTTCCCCTGCCACACCCAAGCCACGCCCACCAAGCCACACCACGCCCACCAAGCCACACCCACAGAAACGTAAAAAAATTTGAAACCCACCACTGACCCGTTCCTCTACAACGGAAGAGCTTGACAAGTTGGCCGACTGCAAGGTGAGGGCATATAAATGTGATATTTTTTTTAGATCAGAAAGTGAGGAGTTTGGGGAACGAGATCTGGAGCAAGACTTGCCTGCAAGCCAGCTGGACTCTGGACCCACGTTCCCTATCCAAGGCAGGAATCTCAGAGCACCTCTGGACAACAGCCTGTGCATGGTTGGGATTTTCCTCTGCGAAAATTTATGCAAAAAGAGGGTTTTTTTAAAAAAAAAATAATGCATTTTTTTCAGAGCAGGGAAAGGTAGCCCAGAGGGCTATTAAAGGCATTGCCAAGCGAAGGTTGGGGAATAAGACATTTCCAGGTTTGGATGTGGTGCTGCAGCGCCACCATCTGGCCAGAAGTGGCAATCAGAACAAAAGAGAAAGTGGAGGAGAGCGCCCTCTAGTGGCCACTCAAAACAAGACTCTGACTCCAAAGGAATCCGTAGTGTAGGCAAAGCAGGGAAGGAAGGGTTTTTTAACCAGAAAGTAACCAGAACTTAAATTATTCGATATAATGAACCAGAAAGTAACCAGAACTTAAATTATTCGATATAATGAACCAGAAAGTAACCAGAACTTAAATGATTCCATATAATTAACCAGAAAGTACCCAGAACTCAAATTAGTCCATACATGAACACACAGCAGCGATCTTAAAAAGGTAATAAAATCTACGAAAAAGTGTAGGAAGTTAGCACCCACCCCTCTCCTGGAAGAGTGAAATATTTTGGAAATATGAAAAAGGCAGAAATATGAGAAGCATATTTTACAGACAAAGCAGCTCCCACCTTCTGCCCCCACCCTTTGTCAATGGGCCATTAAGGCTTGGGCCAGTCTATTCTACATAACAAAGATCTACCTCCTTCAGGCAGAGCCATAGTAGGAATTGCGAAAGATAGGATTAGCCCTCTACACAATAGCAGTAGAAACTCACCACATGTGACCTGGGAAGCACATGTGACCATCAGCCAGCAAGACCCCCACCCCCTGGGAGTCTGACAACCAATCAGGATACTCTTTTGTGGCCCAAGAAATGCAGAGCCAGAGAGAGCATAAAAACCGAGGATTTACTGTATCTGCCCCTTTTTCTGTTCAGGAACTCAAGCCATGTGATCCTGTCCACCATTAAACCATCTTTCCAAGCAGTCTCCATGTTTCCAGTGTCTGTTTTCCCCACTTGGAGCAGAACCCAGAAGGATGTTTCTTCCAACAATTGGCGACCCAGCGGGACTCCAAGCTAACCTAACCAATGGACCAGGCCCAGGTAAGCCTCCCTTGCTAGCAGCAGACCCATTGAGTCTGTGGGTATGTTTTCCTGGACCTTGGCCATTTGGAACTAGGTTTTAAAGGGGTTTTGAGTTTGAGCTCAAAGGCTGCTTGGAAAGAAGGTGAGTACCTCTAAATTTTAATTTTGAAGTATGGAAAAGCATGGGGAATTTGTGTATGCCTGCATGTGTGTGAGTGAAGGCCCTTCTCCCAAGTACAGCTGGATCTTGCTTTCTCTGTGCATTTCCTAGCCGCAGAAAGACTAACAGTCTGGAGAGCATGGGGGTTTTGCCAGAGCACAGGACCTTCTGTTAGGGAAGGAGGATGTGTGTGTGTGGGATTCCACCTGGAAAACAGTCTGATTTCACCTCTTTGAGTGACCTCTAGCCGCACCTCTGCCTACTGCTAGCTCCACCGAGCCATGACCGGTAGGATAGAGAAAGCAAGGGGGGGTTGCCAAACGTGGAACTTTGTGTTTAAAAGGAATGGAAGCCGAGCGAACAGAAGCGTGTGAAGGGGGGGGGTAATAAAATTGTGAAAGGGAAACCCGGTTTTGTCCAGCCCAGACACGGGGCGAGCGTGTGTTTGTGTAAGAGGAGGTGCCCACACCTGGCTGCAGGGGTCAGCAGGTCCTCGCGGATCCCCTTTTTGGATCCGAAAAGTTGTGGTGATTCCCTAGAGGAAGGGGCCCATACTTCGCAAGGGAATCGAAGTCCTTCCCAGAGCTTTTTCTCTGAAAACTGACGGCGGCGTGCCACCCGGCTAAGTCGAAGTGATCCTTCCGGAGAAAAGGAAAGGGTCATGGGTAGCGATAGTTCGCGGGTGGCGGGGACCCCAGTAGATGAAGTGCTCGCGGCCTGGGACGCCAGGCGGGTGCCCATATTGAGGGGCATGGATAAAAGGAAATTAGGAAAATTGTGTCAAAAATGGGCTTTGCTAAGAGATAACACGGGACACAAATTTGGCTAAATAAAGGTACTTAAAAGAAAAGGGAAATATATAAATAGGAATGTTGGGGGTTTTGTTTGTTTGTTTGTCTCTCTGTCTTCTATGCAACCACGTGGTATGTTTAAGATTTGTGCCTTCCCTAATTTAACTGAGATTTATGTGGGAATGATCAGTGTGTGTGAAATCTCAGAGTTCTGCTTTCTTCTCTTTGTCCTTCTTCTTTTTATGTGTGTGTGTCTAAGTCTTTGTGCACCCTCAAGGTAATTGTAACTGTAAAATGTATCTGATCTCTAGAGACAAGAATTTTAAATTGTTAGAAAAAAAAAAGGTTGAAACAATGAAAAATGGGGAGAGAGAGAAAAAAGAAAGAAAGAGCCTTTGCCCTGTGTTTGTCTGGCCAACAAACACAGATTAAAGAGAGCATTTCATTTCATTTCTGTTTTTTTTTCTCCTCTCTCTGTATCTTAAAGTAACAACTCAAGTTTATGAGGAAACGTTTTAAGTTTGTTTACAAGAAAAAAAATCAGTCTTGCATTTACTGTATGTGTTTAAATGGGTTTACCTGTTCATCTCTTTCCTGAAGCATGTGAATCCAGTTTTTTTTTATCTGTTGTGTCTCCATTTTGTTGAAACTGCATTATCTGTTTAGTAACTGCAATACTGTTGTGTTGTTTCTTTTCAAACTCTGCCTGCAAGCTATCTACCCCCCCATCTTTAATCCTGTTACAATGCCTTTCCTGTGAAGATTACCCACAAAAAAGGGGGAGGGGACCCTGTTCTAATGTCTTTCAGCCCTGCACAAAGGACTCTGCAACCTGTGGAAGCAGAGCACATGGATCCAGATGCTGCCTCCAGAGGAGACCTTCCATCTGATTGAACCAAAAATTGGGTTTGAATCCAGCCTCCACTGAAAGTCAGCACAGCAATCAGAGTGGAGCAGATCTTCCCAAGCCTGACTGACCAGCCTTACCATCAAGCATGCTACCCAGCAGACATGAAAGAAAAGACCCTGAGATGTATAAGTAAAGACCAAAAGACTCTTTTCAATTCCCAGAAGACAGCTGGAAAGACTATGGGGAGGGTGGAAATTCATTGTAAGGTTTTCTTTCTTGTCTCATTTATATTGTAATCAGTTTATTGTAAAAATTGTATTTGGGAGTGATTGCCACAGCAAGTTATGTACACTCTAGATTTCTGTCTGGTGGAGAGGAGAAATATGTCCAAAATGTTTGTATTGCCTGTATTGTAAAAGTAGCTGCATACACATGCACACACAGAGAGACACACATTATTCAGAATTAGACTGCAACTATTCCCTTCCCTTACCTCCACACAAAGCTTCTCCTAGGTTGATTTTTGCTCTGTAGCACTAAAAGCCCAAGAAGTCATATCTCCCTGCTAATTCCAAGGGGAGGAAGCAATCCCCCTCAGGCAATTCCCTCACTTGAAGAGATAGCAGAAAAGTGATCTCCAAAACCCAAGCCCTGACTGTGACTCACAAATGATGCTGCCCAGTTGCCCAGTAAAGGAAGATATATTGCACTGGTGGTCTCATGAGTAGAAATCCCAGGGCTCATTATGTGTAACACCAAAAAAAAAAAAAAAAGAATGGATATTGTACACTGGCTAACCTCAATTTGGACTCACAAATCCTGGATGCACTAAACTAAGAGCTAGGACAGGTTCAGTAACCAACCCTTGGAAATGGGCAGCCTGCAATTTAAAGGAAAATCATGGCTGTGAAAAATTTTGGGACATGTGTTTGCTTGAAACCTGACTGGAAGCTCACAGAAAGTAATATCTGAAGTCTGAAATTAATTGGCATGGAAAATTGGATACTGTAAAATTCTTACCAGAACTTTTCTCCTGGCTGCTAGACCTTCATGGTTGAAAGCTTTCAAGAGCCACTGAAGGAATCCTTTTCTGTTGCCTCTATCAATGCCTCCCCTTTGCATTAGAAAATTAAAAGCACCCATTAAGGCTCCCTGATGTGATCAATTTTAATCTTTTGCCAAGAACTTGTTTCAAAACTCACGTTTTGAAAAAAAAGAGTAGGGATTGTAGGAAGTTAGCACCCACCCCTCTCCTGGAAGAGTGAAATATTTTAGGAAATATGAAAAAGGCAGAAATATGAGAAGCATATTTTACAGACAAAGCAGCTCCCACCTTCCTGCCCCCACCCTTTGTCAATGGGCCATTAAGGCTTGGGCCAGTCTATTCTACATAACAAAGATCTACCTCCTTCAGGCAGAGCCATAGTAGGAATTGCGAAAGATAGGATTAGCCCTCTACACAATAGCAGTAGAAACTCACCACATGTGACCTGGGAAGCACATGTGACCATCAGCCAGCAAGACCCCCACCCCCTGGGAGTCTGACAACCAATCAGGATACTCTTTTTGTGCCCAAGAAATGCAGAGCCAGAGAGAGCATAAAAACCCGAGGATTTACTGTATCTGCCCCTTTTTCTGTTCAGGAACTCAAGCCATGTGATCCTGTCCACCATTAAACCATCTTTCCAAGCAGTCTCCATGTTTCCAGTGTCTGGTTTTCCCCACTTGGAGCAGAACCCAGAAGGATGTTTCTTCCAACAAAAGAAAGAAAAACAAATATTGTACCTTTATAGGGAGGATACATGAGATGAGGGTGTGGCTAACTGATGAGGCCTTATAAGGCCGAAATAGATCTATCTTAGTCTCCCAATGGGCAGCAAAGGGTCTGCTGGCTGCCAGAAAGAGAAAAAAAAGCCCAGAAACTAGTGAATTGTGTTTTCACTGAACTAGGGCTGCATAACATCTTGGTTTACGTAGGTAGAACCTGGCTAAAGAGAAAGACACACACACACATACACACACACACACACATATATATATATAAAATACAGCAACATATATTACATTTTACTGCAATTAAGACCTGAGTGGTGTAGGAGGCTAATGCCTCCTACTAAGGCAGCGTTTAACATCCAGCTGCCTGCAATTTTTTTTTTTTTAAAAATTTGATTGATATGCCGCCCTTCTCCGGAGACTCAGGGCGGCTTACAACGCGCTCAGCAATAGCCTTCATCCTTTTGTATATTTATACAAAGTCAGCTTATTGCCCCCACAAACTGGGTCCTCAGTTAACCTACCTTAGAAAGGATGGAAGGCTGAGTCGACCTTGAGCCTGGCGAGATTCGAACCTACAGAAATTGCAGGCAGCTGTGTTAATAACAGGGTGCATTAAACCACTGTACTACCAAGGCTCAATTACTGCAAGTTCAATTCTCACCAGGCTCAAGGTCGACTCAGCCTTCCATCCTTTCTAAGGTGGGTAAAATGAGGACCCGGTTTGTGGGGGCAATAAGCTGACTTTGTATAAAAATATACAAAAGTATGAAGGCTATTGCTTAACGCCTTGTAAGCCGCCCTGAGTCTCCGGAGAAGGGCGGCATATAAATCAAAATAAAATAAAATAAAATAAAATAAAATAAAATAAAATAAAATAATAAAATAAAATAATAAAATAAAATAATAAAATAAAATAATAAAATAATAAAATAAAATAAAATAAAATAATAAAATAAAATAAAATAAAATAAAAATAAATAAATAATAAAATAAAATAATAAAATAAAATGAAATAATAAAATAAAATAAATAAATAATAGAAATTTAATAAAATAAAATAAATAAAATAAAATAAAATAAATAAAATAAAATAAAATATAAAATAAAATAATAAAATAATAAAATAATAAAATAAAATAAATAAATAAATAAGACAGCTATACTCCTCCTTTGGAGGAGGGAAGGGCTGGCACCAGCTCCCCCCACACACCGTTGCGTTCCAAAGCCCATCCTCCGCAGCCTGCAAGGGCAACGGGGGAGGGAGGGAAGGGAACCCCGAGGGAAGACGCAATCCCACCCACCCACCCCCTTTTTTTTTTTCCTTTTTGCCCAAGCCACTGACCTCCAGACGCTTTTACGCACCGATTCTCCCCAACGCTGAGTATTCCGGATCTAGGGACCTGTGTGTATATTGTGTTGTGTTGTGTTGTGTTGTGTGTGTGTGTGTGCCTTGCCTGTTGCCCTGTTGCAAAGACCCCCCCCCCCCCCGATCTCCCCAGCCGCCCCCCCCCCCCCCCTCCCCCCCCCTCCGCTTTGGCACGGCTCCCGGGCTTTGCGCGCAGTAACCAACCCGCTTTGCGTTTTTGCGCTTTTGCGCTTGGCTCGGCTTGGAGACCCAGCTGGCCGGGCTCGTGTTCCGGGCGGGCCTCTCTTTCCAGTAGTGCTGAACCCGGCAGTGCTAAGGCAGGGGGACCGGAGAGGCGGTTGCGCCGGCCGAGGACGGCTGGGAGAGGGAAGGCGCCATGCGGGCGGCGGCTGGCACGGCTTTGCAAGGGCTCTTCGCCGTCTACAAGCCGCCGGGCATGCACTGGAGGGCGCTCAAGGAGACGGTGGAGAGGCATCTGATCAAGGGTGAGAGCCGCTTCCTCTCTTTCTTTCTCCCACCCGCCCCCTCCCCACATTTTCCCCTCCCCCTGCCTTGCAACGTCTTCCCATGGAGGGAACCCAGTCTTTGAGTTCTGCAGCTGTTATCAAGTGAAACCAAGATTGAAGGTTGGCTTCTGTGAACTGGGTTTTATTGCTGATTAACAAGTTTCTTTAGTCGGAAAAGCCATCGATTTTCACTTGGGTGAAGGTCTGGGGCTATTCCCAGGCTATTCCAGGAGTGGAATAGGAGTATCTTGAAACTCCCCCCCCCCCAAAAAAGTATTGCTATTAGCCATCAAGCCTATAAAATACACTTTTCCCAAAAGGTTTTTAGAATTTTGGCCACTACTGTAGTTTTCTCCCTTCCTTCCTTCCTTTTCTCCTTCCTTCCTTCCTACCTACCTACTTACTTATCTTCCTTCCTTGCTTCCTTCTTTTTCTTTCTCTTTCCTTCCTCCTACCTACCTTTCTCCTTCCTTGCTTCCTTGCTTGCTTCCTTCCTTCCTTTTCTCCTTCCTTCCTACCTACCTACTTACTTATCTTCTTTCTTTCCTTCCTTCCTTCTTTCTTTTTCTCTTTCTTTCTTTCTTTTTCCTTCCTCCTACCTACCTACCTACCTTTCTCCTTCCTTCCTTCCTTCTTTCTTTCTTTCTCTTTCCTTCCTCCTACCTACCTACCTACCTTTCTCCTTCCTTCCTCCCTCCCTCCCTTCCTTCTTTCCTTCCAACTAACCAGTTTCTTTAGTCGGCTCCATAGATTTCCAATTGGGTGAAGGTCTGGGCTATTCCCAGGCCATTCCAGGAGTGGAATAGGATTATCTTGAAACTCCCCCCCCCCCCAAAAAAAAGTATTGCTATTAGCCATCAAGCCTATAAAATACACTTTTCCCAAAAGGTTTTCACAATTTTGGCCACTACTCTACCTTTCTTTCTCCTTCCTTCCTTCCTTTTCTCCTTCCTTCCTACCTACCTATCTTCTTTCCTTCCTTCCTTCCTTCCTTCTTTCTCTTTCCTTCCTCCTACCTACCTACCTACCTTTCTCCTTCCTTCCTCCCTCCCTCCCTCCCTTCTTTCCTTCCAATTAACCAGTTTCTTTAGTCGGAAAATTCATAGATTTTCAATTGGTTTAAGGTCTGGGCTATTCCCAGGCCCTCCCAGCAGTGGAATAAGATTATCTTGAAACTCCCCCCCCCAAAAAAGGGTGGTGTTATTAGCCATCAAACCTCAAAAATACACTTTTCCCAAAAAGGTTTCCACAATTTTGGCCGCTACTTTAATTAGACACACCCACAGGATTTCTAGCTTTGGAGGGAAGGGCTGCACTGGAGGGCCACAAACAAACCCTGGTTTAGGTAGGAAGCCTGCTAGATACATAATCGGTAAAGGAGAATATTTGTAGCTCAGCGCTGAAATGAGGGGGTCCTGTGTTGCTTTCTGAGTTTGGTGGTTTTCTTGCAGACATTGCTTGACCCAACTAGGGAACATCATCAGTGCTAGAAAGTAGTGGGGTGTGGAGAGGAGGAGCGATGAAGGAGGAAAGGAGGAGGAGGAGGACTGTGGGGTCCTCGGTGATCTCTGAGCTTGGTGGTTTTCTTGCAGGCGTTTCATCACCCAACTAGGTAACATTATCAGTGCTAGTTTGGGTAATGAAAGGATTGCAAGAAAACATAGCAAGCTCAGAGAGCATCATGGACCCCTCAGATACATAATCGCCCATTCCCAGATGTTGAGAACATCTGGAGGGCTCCAAAGGAGCAGAATGGATGCCTGTAAACTTATCAGGAAAGCTTCGTCCAACCCGGATGACCAGCCCCTTCCTTCCTTAAGAGGCATTTAGCAAAATGGGATGAGTTTCCAGAAAAAGAGTTGGAAGATTCCTTAGAGGAATTCCTTAGATTCCTGAAGACGTTTTTATTTCAGCAAGCTGGCCTGGCCTGAATAGGTTTTATGGGTTAGTTTTTTTATTATTTTATTTTTTATTAATTTGATTTATATGCCGCCCTTCTCCAGAGACTCAGGGCGGCTTACAATGCGCTCAGCAATAGCCTTCATCCTTTTGTATATTTATACAAAGTCAGCTTATTGCCCCCACAATCCGGGTCCTCAATTTACCTACCTTAGAAAGGATGGAAGGCTGAGTCAACCTTGAGCCTTGGAGAGATTCGAACCTGCAGTAATTGCAGGCAGCTGGTCTTAATAACAGGGTGCCTTAGACCACTGTACTACCAAGGCTCTAATTGTATAGCTTGGGGTTTTAAATTGGGAGGCCGATTAATTTATTTTTAGTTATCTTAACTTTTATATTGTATGTTATTTTAATTTTCGGCTGTTCACCGCCCTGAGTCCCTTCGGGGAGAAGGGCGGGATATAAATTATATATATATATATATATATATATCGCAACCTCCTGCTCAAATGCAAATTCCTGAATCGGAAGAACGTTCGGAACAATTCAGATGTTACAGTTTGGGATTTTAAGAGGGGGGAGAAAAAAAACACCTGTGTTTTTGTTTTCTGCTTTCAGACTTAAACTCCTTAAAGCGTCCAGAACCCCGTCAACAAATATGCTTTCAGCCCACCACGTCTGAAATGGAGACCGGAAGGAAGGAATTGACTCTGACGGTTAGCCAGGTTCCTATGCTGGCTGACCATCCTCTGGGTAAGATGGTGTGAAGAGAATTTGTAGAAATTGGGGATAGAGGCAAACTCGGACCAGGAACGCCACCTCACCCGAAGGAGAAACACAGTGTTGTGGCCCGGCAGTGGCCAGCGGATCTGGCAGCAGATTCGGACAGTGAGGAGGCTGTGGAGGAACATGGGCCAGTCCTGGAGTCTGGGGAAGGTTCTGATGAGGGCTCTGCATCTGAGGCAGAGAGGGGGTCAGGGCCATCTGACAGTTATCAGCTGCCTTCGGAGTCCGACATCAGTGAGGCAGACGAACAGCTGGAGCCTGTTCCCAGTGTGTGCATGCGCAGAGCTGCCAGACAAAGGGAACAGCTAAAGAACAAGGGTTGACTAGGGAGTAAGGCCACACAGGTGGATGATGAATGCCCCCTCCCAGTGGGAATAAAAGAGGAGCGAAAGGGGAGTAGAGTTTGCAGGCAATAATTAGTTCACTTAATTTATTTATTTATTATTTATTAGTTCAATTTATATGCCGCCCTTCTCCGAAGACTCAGGGCGGCTTAAATGGACTTATAGCAATAGCCTTCATTCTTTTGTATATACCTATATACAAATATACCTATAGGAGCTGAGGTGGCGCAGTGGTTAGGGTGCAGTACTGCAGCTACTTCAGCTGACTGCTAGTTCAGCAGATCAAATCTCACCGGCTCAAGGTTGACTCAGCATTCCATCCTTCCGAGGTGGGTAAAATGAGGACCCAGATTGTTGGGGGCAATATACTATTTAGTATACTGTCTTTGGTGTGAGCCGCCCAGAGTCCTCAGAGAGTGGGCGGCATAGAAATAATAATAATAATAATAATAATAATAATAATAATAATAATAATAATAATAATAATAGCTTATTAGGGCTTTTGGCCCCCCCATAAGCGGTGTTTCTACAAAGTCAGCTTATTGCCCCCACAATCCAAGTCCTCAATTTACCTACCTCGGAAGGATGGAAGGCTGAGTCAACCTTGAGCCTGGTGAGATTTGAACTCGCACTAATTGCTGGCAGCTAAGTGCTACATAACAGCACTTAGTCCGCTGCACCACCAAGGCTCTTGGTTTCTCCGAGACTCCTGGCCAAGTTTTGAAGATATCGGCCTGGCAGCTCTCCAAGCCAGATAAGGTCTGTGACTGTAAATTCACCCTTGAAAGACTTTTGCTGGATGTGAATGAGAGGAATTCACAGTAACTTCATAAAAAGGGTTTTTTTTTCTTTGGACAAGGGAGTCTGCTTCATGCTTTTTGGAGAAGCTTAGGTCAGAACACACGTACCCCTTCCGATTGTGTTTTGTTAAGTCATTTTTTTTGCTGAATGTTTTTTTTTTTAATTTGATTTATATGCCGCCCTTCTCCGGAGACTCAGGGCGGCTTACAATGTGCTCAGCAATAGCCTTCATCCTTTTGTATATTTATACAAAGTCAGCTTATTGCCCCCACAAACTGGGTCCTCAATTTACCTACCTGATCTGTCCCCGTCCACACACACACACAAACACAGCCAGCCGAGGGTTAAGGAAGCACTTGGCACACACCCAGGTCTTTATCTCCAACTTGGCAGCGATATACACACCGTCTGCCAAGTGCATTTATTTCCACAAAACAGAAAGATAAGATACTTAGCATACAAAAGTCCAATCAGAATAATATTCCTCTCAGCAGTTTCCGGACGAGGCTTTAGTGACTATCCAAGGTTTACTTTTGTTCGTCACAGGGATCGCTGGCCACCACCCTCTATTATATAGTCTCTGGGGTGTGGTCCAGTGACTCAGTTCTAATCCCTAGCACGCCTCCTGAGCTGCTGCAATCGTTTATCACGCCTTCAGAGGCGTGCGTCCAGGAATGGTGTCTCTCCCTCGCTCTCATCCGAGACACCTGTTTCTCGGCTAATCTCCTCTCCCTCGGCCGGCACCTGAGACAGTGCCAGAGGGGAGGGGCCTGGAGAGGGAGGCCTGGCTGACTCCTCTTCCTCATGCTCGGAGCTTTCTTCCTCCGATGGGATAGGCTCAGAGGGCAGGGCCACAACACTACCTTAGAAAGGATGGAAGGCTGAGTCAACCTTGAGCCTTGGCGAGATTCGAACCTGCAGTAATTGCAGGCAGCTGGTCTTAATAACAGGGTGCTTTAGACCACTGTACTACCAAGGCTCCTGGGGTGAAGGCTCCTTCGTGGCGTGAAATCAACCTAGCCAAACGTTTGCAAAATTGGCGCTTTTTCGGGGGCTGAAGGGCGTGGTTGAGAGACCATCCCGGCATCTTTAAAAATACAAGCTTGGGCACTTCCGAGGGAGGGGGAAAAAAATTAAAGGAAGTAATTTTCTTTTCTTTCTTTCTTTTTCTTTTTTGCTTTGCACAATGCAAGCGTCCTTCCGCTGTTAAAATCCGTGTTGGTTTTCTTCCACAGTTTCAGGACCGGTTTTTACGCAATTAAAAATTGGAGTGGGCAGCTGTCTGGATATGCAGTCCTCGGGAGTTTTTGGTAAGTAAAAGAAGCTCTGGGCCCGGGATGGCGAACTCGCGAGCCGTTGCCTCAGTTTAAGCTCCGCCTCCCACTGGCCAGCTGGTGTTTGGGTCACTGCCGTGCATACGTGTGGCATATGTGGGGGGCTATGTGTGCATGAGCAGGGTGCCTGCGAGGGGGGGGCGCATGCACGGCAGGGGTGGGTTCTAAATTTTTTTACTGCCGGTTCTGTGGGCGTGGCTTATTTTGTGGGTGCGGCTTGGAGGTCATGTGACTAGGTGGGCGTGGCTAGCTGGTCAGAGTCATTTCTGGAAAGTCCTCGCACTTACGACCCGACTCATTTGTTTGCTTTTAACACTGATCAGCTGTAGGGCGGCCCTTTGAAGCCCCTCGGCAAGAGTTTAAACAGTTTTTTTCCCTCTAGTCATCAGCTGGGACTCAGGAGGCAGCAATAGATCGGGGGTGGGACCAAATAAAAGGTAAGAATAACGTGGGGGGGTGGGAGGGCGGGGGGGGGGAGAACCGGTTCGGTGACGTCATATCGTCACCGCTACTGGCTCGGCCGAACCGGACCGAACCGGGAGGAACCCACCACTGATGCACGGGCCAGGGTGCATGTGTGGGGGCTGCACGCACATTGAATTTGAGGATCGGGCGCATGTACGTTTTGGCCACTCGGTCCCCAAAGGTTAACCATCATTGCTCTAGGCATTAAAATTCCTCCGGCGGAGGGAGGAGGGGCTTGATCAAACTTACTAGCCCCGTGACGGTGAGCCTATGGCACACATAGCCATTTCGGTGGGCACGTGAGCTCAGCTCCGGTGTGCATGGGCGCGCCGGCCAGCTGATTTTCGGGCCTTCTGGGCCCACCAGAAGTAGGGAAACATGCTGTTTCCTGCCTCCGGAGGGCCTCGGGGGTGGGGGTGGGGAAGGCCCGTTTTTTGCTCTCTCCCGAGCCTTTCCAGGAGTCTGGGGAGAGCAAAAACGGCCTTCCCCACACACCCCCGGAGGCCAGAAACGGCCTGTTTGCCAACTTCCGGTGGGACAGGAAATTGGCAAACGGGCCGTTTTCGGCCTCTCGGGGAGGGTGCGGAGGCTGTTGATTCGCCCTTCCCAGACTCCTAGAAAGGCTCTGGAGGCTGGGGAGAGCAAAAAACGGGCCTACCATGCCATTGTGTGCCAGGAGCGGTGGGAGCATGGGGGGGGGTCATGCGTGGGGGCAGGGCGCATAGAATTATGGGTGTGGGCATGCACGCGCGCGACCCCCACCCACCCCACTCCTGGCACATGATGGCAAAAAGGTTAACTATCATTGTACTAGCCAGTTTTTAACTGGGATATCAGCAGAGCATCAATATTCTCCTGCAATTCGCTCGGCTTTTAGAAAATGTTTCCGTTAACCTTTTAACAGAAGAGTTTATTTAGCTTCATCAGATTGGTTTTTTTAGCTTCTCCCATCTGGGGTTTATCCGGAATTTTTCTAGGATGGGGAAATTCGATTTCGCACGATCTTTTTTTCTTCTTCTTCTTCTTGGTCCACTTTGACTTGTCCAGTGCTCTGTGTTGTTCTTCCTGCTCAGATTAATTCAAAGCCAATTTGATCTGACTGCTAGAAACCTATTGCTGGGAAGTAATGGAGTTTTGAATTCTCAGTTGTTTGCCTTCTGCGTTTTTACTCCCCCAGTGCTCGGCGTGGGTTATGGCACCAAGTTGCTCAAAGACTGGTACAACGCACATCTTACCAAGGTAAGCTGTCCCCTCCGTTTCTGATGCTTAGGGTTAGGGTGAGGATATGATGTGGTGGCGGCACAGTGGTTAGAATGCAGTGTTGGCTTCCAGCAGTTTGGTACTTCGATCCTGGCTGGCTAAAAGTTCACTCAGCCTTCCGTCCTTCCGAGGTGGGTCAAATGAGGACCCAGATTGTTGGGGGCCAGAGGCTGACTCTCTAAACCGCTTAGAGAGGGCTGTAAAAGCACTGTGAAGCGGTATATACGTCTAAGGGCTATTGCTATCTATCTATCTGTCTGTCTGTCTATCTATCTATTTAATCTGTCTGTCTGTCTGTCTCTCTCTTCTCTCTCTCTTTATTTCTATCTTTATCTCTTATCATTATCCTTATATCTATCTTTCTATCTATCTATCTATCTATCTATCTATCTAATCTATCTCTATTTTTATCTATCTTCATCCATCCATTTATATCTATATCTATCTCTATATTTATCTCTATTTTCTCTCTCTATCTTTATTTCTATCTATATATCTATCGTTATCCTTATCTTTATCTCTCTCTCTACATCCATCCCCATTTATCTATCTATCTTTATCTTCATCCATCCATCCATCTATATCTATGTTTATCTCTCTCTCTATCTATCTATCTAATCTATCTCTATTTTTATGTCTCTATCTTCATCCATCCATTTATATCTATATCTATCTCTCTATCTTTATCTCTCTATCTTCTCTATATATCTCTATCTTTATTTCTATCTTTCTCTCTATTGTTATCGTTATCCTTATCTTTATCTCTCTATCTTCATCCATCCATCCATTTATCTATATCTATATATCTATCTTTATCTTTATATCTATATCTTTATCTATCTATATCCATCCATCCATCTATATCTATTTATCTCTCTATCTAATCTATCTCTATCTTCATCCATCCATCCATTTATATTTATTTTTATATCTATCTATCTATCTATCTGTATTTCTCTCATCTATCTTCATCCATCCATCCATTTATCTATATCTCTATATCTCTGTATCTATATCTTTATCTATCTATCCATCCATCCATCCACCAACCCACCCAGCCAGCATCATCAGTGTTAGAAGGGAGAACAATTTCTGGCCAAAACCATAGATTGGGCTATTTTGTCTTTTCTTGGGCTGACATTCTTCTTTTAAGAAGTTTTGCCCTGGTCCTTCGCAATCCGCAGTGTGTGCTATCGGGATGTTTTCCTTTTCAAAGGCCTACACCGTTAACGGCGTATTCGGCAAAGCCACCGACGATTTCTCAGACACAGGCAGACTGATTGAGAAGAGCACGTTTGGTAAGTGACTTAAATTGGCGATTTTTCAGGATTGGGACTTTTGGGGGAAAAAGACGGGGGGGACGGGGAAACCAGGGGAAAGGAAACTTAACACTGCTTGTCTCCTTCTCCTCCTTCTTCTTCGGAGATCATGTAACACGGGAGACGCTGGAGCGGATGGTTTCGGTGATCCAGGGATCCAATCACAAGGCTTTACTGCAGTGAGTATCAAAATTTTATTTTTATTTATTTTTATTTTATTTCAAATTTATATACCGCACCTTCTCTCGAAAGACTCAGGGCGGTGTACAGCCAGATAAAAACATAACAATACAAACATTAAAAAACAATTAAAAGGATATATATTAATTTGGCCCCTGTTTAAGATAACAAACCAATTAAAAATTAAAAATATGTTAAAAAATATGTTAAGCCAGCCCGGCTTGGCTGGAGGTTGCAGTGACCGTGTTTGAAAGGGCACCACTACGCTTCTGGTGTGGTGTGGAAGGGAACTGCCCGAAGTTAGGGACATTCCAGGAAGGGAAAGGATCTAAAAAAAGGAGAATAATTTGTAGATGAGGGATCTTTGGTGCTCTCAGAGCTTGCAGGTTTTCTTACAGACGTTTCATGACCCATTTAGGTAACATCATCAGTGCTAGCGATGATGTTACCTACTGTATTTTTCAGAGTATAAGACGCTCCGGACTATAAGACGCGCCTATCTTTTTGGGGGAGGAAAACAAGAAAAAAAAAATCTGTCTCCGCCTCCCAGAAATTTGCCTCATTGCAGCAAGCAGCAAACAGCCTGCTTTAGTTTCATTTTCATTTTCAGCACAGCCTGATTAGCACGAGAAAAAAAAAAAATCTGCCTCCCAGCAATTTGCCTCCTTGCAGCAAACAGCGGAGGCCGAAAACGGGGCGTGCGGAGGCGGCAATGGCAATCCCTGCAGCCTGAAACAGCTGAGGGTCGGGATCCAACCGACAATCAGCTGCTTGTGCTAAACAGGCTGTGCTGAAGCTGAAACGGGCTGTTTGCTGCAAGGAGGTAAATTGCTGGCCAAAGGGTGGGGGGCGGCGGGTGGGCGGGGCTACATTCGGTGTATAAGACGCACCCAAATTTGCACCCTGTGTGTGCAAATATAAGTGTATCTTATACTCCAAAAAATTGGTAGTTAGGATAATGAAGCTTCTGCAAGAAAACAAGCTCAGAAAGGATCTAGATGGGGGGGGGGATCCTTTAAAACCCCCTTTCTGCCTGAGGATTGTTAAAACAAAATAAGCCCACTGAGAGCAGCTTTCCAAAACGAAGACTTGAGGTGTGGTGGACTTCTGGGAGAATTTCTTAACGAAAGAATCTATATTGTGCACGGACGTTTTAGACCACTTCAATTTCCCGCTACTGGCCACTTGGTAGTTCTTGATTTATGACCGTAACTGAGCCAGGAATTATGGCTGTAAAGTCACTGCAGTCGTACGACCAGATTGGAAGCCGCCGCTGTTTTGTTTACAACCGTCCTTAAGCGAATGAATGCAGCAGTCGTAGAGCGAAGGCGTTTTTCTGGGCCAGGAAATAAGGAACAAAACAAAACCGGAAATGGGCAAAAACTGTTGAAAATCGGACATCACCTGACCGCAGGATGGTGCCAACGGCCATCCAGGTGAGCCGGTTGTTAAGGGCTCAAAATGCGTACCCACGCAGAGGTTGTAACTCTGAAAACGGGTTGTAAATAGCTCGGACGTAACTTTGAAACGTTCGTTAAGCAACCGTTCGTAAGTCAAGGACTCCCTGTCTAAAATCCGCAGACTCTGCCTGGAAGAAGGTTGGCCTGGCGAGGTGGCACGGAGGCTCTCAACCAACCTCCTTCTGTTTTCTTCGCAGGCCGCCTCCGTCCCTTGGCTTCCTCCCGCGCCGTCTCTACAGCCAGCCCAAAGAGAGCGAGGAGCCCGAAAGCTCCGAGCCGCTGTGCTTCACCAAGAGCTCCGCCAACCCCCGCCGGTTCACCACGCGGCAATCCATGGGCAGCGACCACAAGCAGCCCCTCTGGCGGGCCCTACTGATCAGCCTGACCTTTACGCTGCTCCTCCTCTGGTGCTATTTGCGCCCCGAGACCGAGATAGACCGGCGGGCCGAAGAATTATTGCAATTCCTGCAGGTTATTCCACAGCAGGAAGAACTGCCACCTTCTGTCCCTTCGGGAGAGGACGAGAAGAAGCCTTAACTACGACATGGCGGATCAGGAAACTGTGCCATTCTGTACCGCCAGGAATGGCCAGGGATTTGCATCCCTCCTGGCTCAGTTACTTGCAGGACCGAAGAGGAAAATGATCAAGAGACGGTTGATAGAGAGTGAAGGCCGATCGCAGAAACGGCTCTTAATCTAAAATAAAATGAACGGTGCCCAAATTGGCGACGGCTGTGAATTGAAGTGGTCTATCTCCTGCGTGGCCGAATTTTTCGTTTATTTAAAAAAATAAAAAACTTAGTGAAAAGGAGATTGGTTCCCCAAACTACTAAATTTTCTCAGTTGGGAGATGAGGCTGAAGGGCGAAAAAACATCATTTTGGGGGTGGGTGGGTGGGGAATGTGGTTTTAGAGCAGGAATGACTTTCACAGCAGGTAGCATAAATAAAATATTCCTAGGTTCGAACCGAGCGCCGAGTCTTGTAAAATGGGGGGGGGGGGGGGCGACACAGGGCCTGTTGTGACCTCAGCTTCCTGAGTCATTAAGACACACGAGTAATCCCAAAAACCTCTTTTATTGCAACAGCTGTGAATTACGTTCATTCACAGCTGAGTCCCAATTAGTTGGGAGAAGTCCTTCGGGAGAATCACCAGCCTTGACACGCTGCCAAAGATACTTTCTGGTCCTAGCCAAAAGCTCAATGCCCTGTTTGATCGATGATCAGTGATGAGTCAATAATGTTCATAGGAACATGAGCTAGAGAAAATACAGGTAGTCCTTAACTTACAACAGCTCCTTCAGTGACCGTTGAAAGTTACAACGGCATGGAAAAAAAGTGATTATTATTATTATTATTATTATTATTATTATTATTATTATTATTATTATTATTAGTCATATTTCTATGCCGCCCACTCTCCGAGGACTCTGGGCGGCTTACACCAAAGACAGTATACTAAATAGCATATTGCCCCCTAACAATCTGGGTCCTCATTTTACCCACCTTGGAAGGATGGAAGGCTGAGTCAACCTTGAGCTGGTGAGATTTGATCCGCTGATCTGCTGAACTAGCAGTCAGCTGAAGTAGCTGCAGTACTGCGCTCTAACCACTGTGCCACCTCGGCTCAGATTATGACCATTTTTCACACTTACGACCATTGAGCATCCCCCCCCCATGGGCCACGTGATTTACATTTGGGCGCTTGATATTTATGTTCATATTTATGACCGTTGCAGCATCCTGGAGTTCATATTTATGACTCGCAGCGTCCCAGAGTTCATATTTATGACCGTCGCAGCGTCCCGGAGTTCATATTTATGACCGTCGCAGCGTCCCGGAGTTCATATTTATGACCGTCGCAGAGTCATATAATCCCCTTTGCCATCTGACCAGCAAAAGTCTACGGAGGAAGCCAGATTCACTTAAACGACAACTGCAGTGATTCACTGAACAAATGTGGCAGGAAAAGTCGTAAAATGAGGGGAAAGTCGCTTAACAAATTTCTCGCTGAGCAACATAAAAATTTTGGGCTCCGTTGCGGTCGTGCGTCGAGGACTTTCCTGCAGGCCTTGATAATCGCGGTAAAAGGAGGCCGATCTCGCATCCCAGGCTGACCTGTTGCCAAATAATGATGCTTCTGTTTTTTTATCCTCATCCCTTCCCAGGTGGGCTAACCTTGACCTGAAAACTCAAGAATCCTATGAGCTGGCGGTCAAAGGCCTAATTCGGCCTATGGAAAAAAGTCCTCCTCTGATCACGGCAGTGCGATGCCTCCGTTTTGAACCGCCGGAATTCCAGCTGGGTATGGCCTTCTCTCTTAGTGGTGCGGTGGCCTGGAGATGGAGCTCTCGCCTCGCAATCAGGAGGCTGTGAGTTCGATCCTAGGTAGAGGCAGGTATTCCTCTCTCTGAGCACAGTGAGTATACAGTAGTGGCCAAAATTGTAGAAACCTTTTGGGAAAAGTGTATTCCCGCCTGGACTACTGTAATGCTCTCTACATGGGGCTCCCCTTGAGGAGCACCCGGAGGCTCCAACTGGCACAGGGTGCGGCCGCGCGGGTGGTTATGGGAGCGACGCGGCGCTCCCATGTAACACCTCTCCTGCGCGAGCTGCACTGGCTCCCGGTGGTCTTCCGGGTGCGCTTCAAGGTTTTGGTTACCACCTTTAGAGCGCTCCATGGCTTAGGACCTGGTTATTTACGGGACCGCCTACTACCACAAACAGCCTCCCACCGGCCGGTACGCTCTCACAGAGAGGGACTCCTCCAGGTGCCGTCGGCCAAACAATGTCGGCTGGCGGCCCCCAGGGGGAGAGCCTTCTCTGTGGGGGCACCTACTATCTGGAACAAGCTCCCCCCGGAGATACGGAGGATCCCGGATCTACGCACCTTCCGCCGCGCTCTTAAGACCTTTTTATTTCACCAGGCTGGTCTGGCCTAACCTTTCCCATTCTTTTTTAATGTAAATTTTAATGTAAATTTTAATTTGTTCTTAACCTGGGGTTTTAAATTTGTCTTGGGCTAAATTGATTTAATTCGATTTTACTTCTGCTCTCAAATTTTTGTATTCTATGTGTTTTATTCTGTGCCTGTTCACCGCCCTGAGTCCTTCGGGAGTAGGGCGGTATACAAATTAAATAAAATGAAATGAAAAATGAAATGAATTTTCTAAAGCTGGCTGATAACACCACTTTTTTTTTTTTGGAGTAGTACCATAAAATTATATATCAATGGAAAGATAATATAATCAAGAATGTAATGCAATATTTTTTAAAATAAAACATAAATCCATCATCCATACAATTGCAAACAGTGTGTCAGTCGATTACAAATTTTTTGTGGCTCCTCACCATATTCATTACTACTAATTATCTAATTTCTCATATTACCAATCTAATAAGTATCTTGGTAATATAATCCTCATTAATCATTCAACTATGGCTTTCCCCTCTTTTCATAAAAATTATTTTCAAATATTTATATTATAACGTTCATAATCATATAACACTGCATTATATTTTGTACATTTCTACCGTTCTTATGTTATAATGATCTCATCCCTATTTCATTTCCATGAAATTGTTTGCAATTGTATGGATGATGATTTGTTTTGTTTTAAAAAATAAAAAAAAATTTACAAAAAAAAAAGAATGTAATGCAATAACTTTTATGAAGGATTTGCTATTAGAATAGCAGTTATAAAGGAGAAAAGTGAAACACAGAGAAAAAACGAGATATAGAAAAATGACCACCATAGAAAAAATGAGATATACAGTACAAAAATTATCACGTCAGTTATAATAATTGGGTAGCCTTTAGCATGAATTACGACCTTACAACGTCTTCCCATGGAGTGAACCAAGTCTTTTAGTTCTGCAGCTGTTACAATGTGAAACGAAGATTGAATGATGGCTTCTATTAACTGGGTTTTATTGCTGGGTCGCTTCTGACTAAGTTTCTTTAGTCGGCTCCATAGATTTTCAATTGGGTTAAGGTCTGGGCTATTTGGCTCATTGCCAAAACAAGATGACACCTGATTTGGCTCTCTAAACACCCATGCTCATTGGCTACAATCAAATGAAGGAAAGCTACCTGATATCAACCTAAGCAAGTTGGGCTTCCTTTTTCTGGTTATTTGGCTATAACCTTTCATAGAATACAGATAATTGAACAAACTTTGCTGCATTACATTCTTGATTAAATTATCTTTCCATTGATATATAATTTTATGGTACTATTCCAAAAAAAAGTGGTGTTATTAGCCATCAAACCTCAAAAATACACTTTTCCCAAAAGGTTTCCACAATTTTGGTCACTACTGTATATCTGCTGAATATAACTCTGCATTGGCGATAGGAAGGGCATCCGGCCAGTAAACATTCAGCTCCATTCAGTTGCCCAGACGCCACCCCACAAGGGATTATGGCATCATTAAAAATGATGATGATGGCCTTCTCTCTCAGATTAAGGCAGATATGGCGCCTTTGTTTTATTTAAAAATAGGAAATTAAGCTCCGGAACGCTCTTTAAATCTTTAAACTTTGTTCCTGTCGCTCCAAACTGAAAAAGATGGCTTTGGAAGGAAGGAATGAGCAGGGGGATGGATAGCTAGAGGGGATGCTGCAAAAATAATCAGCATTGGTTTAGAGTTAATCAGTGTTTCTCAACCTTGGCCAACTTTAAAATATCTGGACTTCAACTCCTAGAATTCCCCAGGCTGGGGAATAATAGGAATTGAAGTCCAGGCATCTTACAGTGGCCAAATTTGAGAAACTTTGACAGAGACCTGGAGATTCTTCACTTTATCCACCGTACCGAATTTTCAGCAACATCAAAGGAAGGTGAAAATGCTGCAATTAAAGGCAGAACCTACATTCTGCTAAAATTCCTGATGCATCCAGTCAAGAAAAAAAAAATTTGGGCCAATAAGAATGTCTTTTACTCAAGAGTATAAACCTGATCCACCAGAATTGGGCTACAAAAGACAAAAGAATTGGAGCTTTCCGTAAGATGCCTAATGACTCAAAGATTATTTCTTAGCCAGGCCAGCCTGAAATCATCTATCTATATAAAAAAGGCTGTATGTATGTATGTTCTAGCATAACTCTGGAACGCCTTGAGCAATTTCAACCAGACTTGGTACACAGATGACTTACTATCTGGAATCAAATACTGTGGGGGTAAGACACCCCTAGTGTGTGTGTGTGCGCGCGCACTTGTGTGTTCCAGCATAACTGTGGAACACCTGGGCCATTAAGGAGAGGGTGTGTGGCGTCCTAGAGCAGCAATTGTTTGTGATGTCAGTTCCTTCGCAGCTTCATCTGGAAATGCAGCCGTGATGTTCGCCCTCCAGTGGAGCAATGGGGAAGCGCCTGATGGATCTGGGGCAAAGTGCCAGGATTGTAGACAGGGCGGATAGAGGAGCGCATGGGAGGGGGAAGGGAGAGGGCAGGGATGATGGGCATGGGAGTAGGGGGAAGAAAGGCCCCTCTCAATGGCTCCCTGTCAGATAAAGGCTTTGACATCTATAAATACCCGGGCAACGCCGGGTTACCAGCTAGTTATTTTAATAAACCGGGGGGGAGGGAACAGATTTTTTTAGAGACACATTGAATTCTTCAAGTGGTAATTATGAATTTACAACTTTAATTTAGCTTTCTTTTCCTGCCTTTCTTAGAAATTCACTGCTTGCACGAGACCCCACAGTATCTCCGTAAGATTGTTCACGAAATAGGGTTGGAACTGAAGACCACGGCGGTGTGCAGCCAAGTGAGGCGGATACGGGACGGCGTTTTTGTGCTGGAGGACGCCCTACTGAGGACACAGTGGGACCTCCCGAACATCCAGAGGGCAATTTTGCAAGCCAAACAGAAAGTAGAAGCTGAACTTCAAAACAGCCTTGCGCACCTGAACGCTAGGGCGGATCATGAAAGGGACCAAATCTGAGCCAAATGTTGCATTCGCTAGGAAATTTTGCGAGAGTTCTCAGAATATTGGGGGCGGGGGAGCCATACGAAACATCCCGGAATTCCAATTTTTAGCTTGGATCAGAAGGTTCCAAGTTGGCTGGTTCCTCCTCTAAAACTGTACACAATGTGCCAAGAATATTGCAATTTAAGAGAAGGAAGGAAGGAAGGAAGGAAGGAAGGAAGGAAGGAAGGAAGGAAGAAAAAGAAAGAAAAGAAAAAAAAGAAAAAAGAATGGATGGCAGGAAGATAGGAATGAGGGGAAGAGAGAGAAGGAGAGAGAGAGGGATGGAGGGAGGGAGGGAAGGAAGGAAGGAGATGAGAGGATGGATGGATGGATGGAAGGAAGGAATGAAGGCTGGACACTGTGCCCACATCCAGCACAGCAAAATTAGTTTTTGTGGCTGAAATGGGATATTTCAAAAGTAACAGATTGTTACTACAGTTGTATATTTCAAACACCAACCGAATTTCTATTGAAGTAAGCTATTTTGTTTCTTCCCTAGCACAGAAATAAACATTCTTAGCAGATATTGCTTACTAAATGGAACTCAAAAAGGTTTGATCTGGGTTTTTTTTTTCAAATTTATGCCCATGTCTATGGAATGCAGCGTCTGGGATTTTAATGCCAAAACACACCCCTTTATTTCAGCGTCGAGAGCTTTAAACCATCTCGCAAATGCTTCTGAAATTCACTCCCGAGCAAATAATGCACCGTTTTTATAGACAAGGTGGTTTTCTCTGAGTCCCTTGCTCTTTTCAACAGCCGTATTTGAAACCTACGTTTCAGATCATAGTTTAACAATTCGTGGTGATTTGGAGAGGATTCCACTTTCAAATCCAGCCCTCTTAGCTCCCGGTGTTTTCTTTTCTGTGGGGAAACGGGTCCAAATGGCTCTTTGTTTGAGGTTGCAGACCCCTGATTTAGACCATCAATCACATCTGCAGCGTTTATACAATGAATAAAATCTTTGCTATTTTTATGGTTTTATATTTTAAGCCTGGTCAACTCTCGCAACGAATAAGACCATTAACAATTCCTCAATCCAGTGCAGAAAATTCTGTTCTTTTCCATCTCTAAATGGCAGCAATAAACCCAACAGCTTCTCCATCCGTTAAATGATTTATTTTTGCCCCCAAAATTAAAGCTATTCTTTCATCGATATTTCCAGGGGGAATAATGAACTTACAGTGGTTGTTTTTTCACCCCGTATTATATTTCCACAGTCTAGGTGGTGCGTCAACGTTTTACATCCCGCCTAATCATTAAGGTCCAGGTCAAATTCAGGGTAGAGATCTTTGGTGGTGACGCCCCTGATCGCAGCTAGGAGAAAAAACACACAAAGATTGTGTAAATGAGCGCGGAAGGAGAAAACACAAACAAGGCAGTAATTGCTTCCACAAATTCTCTGTAATTGGAAGGCAGAGGTGGGGGAGTGATGTGCGGACTTCGGAACCTCCAGAGGCTGACAGTAGAGAGGCAGAGGAACAGGAGGAGCCTGTTCCTAGTGCACGTATGAGAAGAGCTGCCAGAAGGCAAGAGCAGCTAAAGCAAAAAGGACAACTCAGGAGTAAAGCCAAGAGATGACTGGCCCCTCCCATAAGGTTTAAAAGACCAGCAATGGCTCTTGGCTTCTTTGCTGAAAAACAACCGTTGAGAGAATTGGTTCTTGTTTCACTGTATTCATTTCTTGTCGGCGTCTTCTGCTTCCAAGAAAAGCCTTTGGCAGTTTGCCTAATTATACCAAGGTCGGTGATAAACTGAGGAATGGTGTTTTGAAGAATTTGTTTTAATTTAGTTTGGACTACGCTGAGAATTTTTTTATTTGATTTATATGCCGCCCTTCTCCGGAGACTCAGGGCGGCTTACAGGGCGTTAAGCAATAGCCTTCATACTTTTGTATATTTTATACAAAGTCAGCTTATTGCCCCCACAAACTGGGTCCTCAATTTACCTACCTTAGAAAGGATGGAAGGCTGAGTCAACCTTGAGCCTGGCGAGATTCAAAATTACTTTAATTGGAGACAGCTGGTGTTAAATTACAGTGCCTTGTCTGCAGAGCTATCCAGGCTCCAGAATGAGTTAATTCTCGGTTGGTCTAATAAAGTCTGTTTGTTTTCGAATGGATTGCATCTGATAATACCTACCTGGGCCTGGGTCACAACAAACTTAGAGGCACCAGGCAGTGATGGACGATGCTAAGTTATCTAAAGGAGAATATTTAAAGTAATAAAGAAAAATGTACCTTCACCCACCCAATATGGTTCTATATTAGTCCTCCTTACCCAATCTGCCTAAAAGCATTTGTCCGGCGTCTTTGATCTCGTTGTATTCATGAAGCAGAGTAATGTGGTTTTCCAGTTCCTCCAGGTTGTATCCTCTTGGAGGGGGGGGGGGGGGGGGGGGAGAAAAAAAAACCAACATCAGAAAAGTCAAGACGAACCAGATGTGTGATCCTTAACAGCTGTTGGAAGAGGAACAAGATTCGAGAAAAAATATTTATGACTATTTTATATGTATTTCTCCTGTCTTCTTGTAACCCCAGCCTTGCTTAAATTAATAACACGTGCCAACCCCATTCCCGAGATATTGGAATTCTAAAATACTCCACTTTATTCATTAATCTCTGGCAATCAGGCTGTGCCGGGGTCATTCCATGGTTCTCCAGAAGCTAAAACATACGATGAACGGTTGCAGGAACTGGGCATGGCTAGTCTAGTGAAGAGAAGGACCAGGGGAGACATGATAGCAGTCTTCCAATATTTGAGGGGCTGCCACAGAGAGGAAGGGGGTCAAGCTATTTTCCAAGGCACCCAAAGTCAGACAAGGAATAATGGATGGAAACTGATCAAGGAGAAATTCCACCTGGAAATAAGGAGGAATTTCCTGACAGTGAGAACAATCAACTAATGGAACAGAAGTTGCCTTTGGAAGTGGTGGGAGCTTCATCACTGGAGGCTTTCAAGAAGAGACTGGACTGACATCTGTCAGAAACGGTGTAGTGTCTCCTGCTTGGGTGGTGGTGGGGGGTTGGACTAGATGACCTACAAGGTCCCTTCCAACTCTATTCTGATTGATTAATTGATTCAACTTGGAAATAAGGAGACATTTCCTGACAGTGAGAGCAATCAACCCATGGAACAGAAGTTGCCTTCGGAAGTTGTGGGAGCTTCATCACTGGAGGCTTTCAAGAAGAGGCTGGACTGCCATCGGTCAGAAATGGTGTAGGGCCTCCTGCTTGGGCAGGGGGTTGGACTAGATGACCTACAAGGTCCCTTCCACCTCTGTTAATCTGAATCCATTTATGCTATGCCTTCCAAGTCCCAGCTGATCGGGAGGAAATAGGGATTATGCAGTAACCTTCCCTAGCCACACCCACAGAACCAGTAGTAAAAAAAATTGAAACCCACCAATGCTCCATTCCCCACAGTAGGTTTGGCCCACATAAATTAACTCAAACTTTACTCCTGGAAAAGTTACTGTACTCGAGCTGCCACGCCCACCCACACTATACAGCAGTTTGAAACAGATGTCTTCGTGCACGTCAAAACATGTATAAAAATACACACTCGGTCTTGATTTGGGCTATTTCCTGATCCACAGCGAGCTCCTTGCGTTTTAGCTCTTCGATTTCGTGCTGCAAAATGTCCTTATCGGCAGGCTGACAGCTCCTCGGAGGAAGAACCTGTTGAGCGGAGACAGACAGAACAATGTTAAACGTTGTTTTTTTTAATGATTTCAGCACGGGTGGTGGTGGGTGGGATGCCAAGGGATTTTAGAATAGCTTCACCGCTATATCAGGATGGGGTGGAGGATGGACACCATAAAGAGAGGGCCAAAATTTACCCTCCTACCATCGGGCAGGAGATATAGAAGCATAGCCAGCCGAACAAATAGGCTGAAAAATAGCTTTTATCCATGGGCTGTTAAGACTTCTGAACGCAACGTAACACTACAATCAGGTTTAATAGGATAGACTTGCAGGGCCAGCATGTTTATGCCGGTGTAATATAATATACTGTATTTTTCAGAGTATAAGACGCACCTTTTTCCCCCAAAAAAGAGGGTGAAAATCTGGTTGCGTCTCATACTCCGAATGTAGCCCCACCCAGCTTCTCAAATGGAGGTTTCAGAGGCTGAAAAAAGGATCAGAAACGAAGCTTCAGAAAAAAAAAGCCTCCAAACAGAGCTTCAGAAAAGAAACCTCCAAACAGAGCTTCAGAAAAAAAGCCCCCAAACAGAGCTTCAGAAAAAAGTCTCCAAACAGAGCGTCAGAAAAAAGTCTCCAAACAGAGCGTCAGAAAAAAAGCTCCCAAACAGAGCTTCAGAAAAGAAACCTCCAAACAGAGCTTCAGAAAAAAAGCCTCCAAACAGAGCTTCAGAAAAAAAGCCTCCAAACAGAGCTTCAGAAAAAAAGCCTCCAAACAGAGCTTCAGAAAAGAAACCTCCAAACAGAGCTTCAGAGGCTTTTTTTCTGAAGTTCTGTTTCGGAGGCTTTCAGAGGCAGAAAAAAAAGCAAAAAAAAAAGCAAGGCACAGAGCTCACAACCAAGGAATTCACCTCTGAGAACAGCTGATTGGGGGTATTCTGGGAGGCAGAACCACCTGCCAATCAATTTTTTTCTTATTTTCCTCCCCAAAAACTAAGGTTATACTCCGAAAAATGCGGTAAGGCTATCTACCCGTGATGACAAATCTATGGCACGTGTGCCACAGGTGGCACGTGGAGCCATATCTGTGGGCACGCGAGCCATTGCCCTAGCTCAGCTCCAGCGCACATGCCAGCCAGCTGATTTTTGGCTGGCCCCACCCACACCGCCCCTCCCCTCCGAGGAGTCTCCACGCGGCCCGTTTTGGATGCCAGGTAAATACAGGGCTTGCAACAGAGGCTTTTGGAAGGCGTTTTCGGCCTCCAGGGTTGGGGGGAGGCCGTTTTCACCCTCCCCAGGCTCCAGGAAAGCCTCTGGAGCCTGGGGAGGGTGAAAAATGGGCCTACCAGTAACCTTTTGACCGTCGCTTGCCAAAAGCAGGGGTCGCCTGTGGGGATCACGTGTACATGCATGGGGTGTGTGTGGTGTGTGTGGGCATTGAATGATGGGTGTGGCCACTCCCCCCCCACGCTCCCCCCCCCTTTTGACACGTGACAGCACAAAGGTTAGCCATCACTGCTATATATATATACGTATATGGGAATGTATGTTAGTTATTACTTATTTGGATTTAGGGATTTCTTTTTCTTTCATTTATTGAGTTATTAAGACGTAATTGTGTTTTTTGGGGGGGGCTGCACCAAGGGAGGCTCACTCAACTTCATTGTACATGTGTTGTGCATTGACAATAAAGATTTGCTTTGATTTGAAAATCTATTCAGCGCTATGTAGTATATATCTATTGCCAAGAAAATAGATCATTTTTACTCCAAAAAATGTTATTGCACATATTGCACCCTATCTCCTGTTGTCCTGACAATATTAAGACTATCAAAATAATGTTTGGTTTATAAAAAAAAATAAAGTTGCGATTCCAAGCCATCCTATTTACAAGCAAAAGACTTCCGTATCCTGCAGAAAGATTCTTAGGTTGCAACTTTCCCTACTCACTAAAAAGCCAATCCACCCAAATAATATGGGTTTACAGCTTAGCGTTTTCTACGAAGATGAAAACAAGAGCCTCCAAAAATGTTGCTTTACCTTTACAAAATTTGATACGGTTTAGTTTTGTGATTGCAAATAAAGGTATACAGCCAATCAGCACGCATAATCTTATTTTGACCTGTTGAATGTAACTTTTAGTCCTACTTGGTTTACAGCCAAGAGATAACAAGCGGGATCCTGGCCACGTATCAGAATCACCTACAGAACTCTTTCTCAAGGAATCTGGACTACAATTATGGCTTCCAAAATTGCCTCCTACATTCCCAAAATGTTCAGACCCATCTATCGATGCACGTTCTATAGAGCTGTGATGGCGAACCTATGGCACGCGTGCCACAGATGGCACGCGGAGTCATTTCTGCAGGCACGCGAGCTCCACCACGCATGAGCGCGCGCCTCCTGCCAACCAGTTGATTTTCGGGTCTCTGACGGTATGCGGGAGATGCGGGCGCATGCCCATGCCGTCCCTCCCCTCTGAGGAGTCTCCACGCGGCCCGCTTTGGATGCCAGGTAAGTACAGGGCTCGTGCGGAGGCTCTGGGAGGGCAGAAAACGGGCCTACCGGAAGTTCGGAAACAGGCAGTTTCCAGCCTCCAGAGGGTTGGGGGAGGCAGTTTTCGTCCTCCCAGAGCCTCCAGGAAAGCCTCTGGAACCTGGGGAGGGCAAAAAACAGGCCTCCCAGAAGTACGGAAACAGGCCGTTTCTGGCCTCCAGAGGCTTCAGGGAGGCCTGCTAGGCCCAAAACGGGGTGCGTGGGGGGGTCGCGCACAAATGTGCGTAGGGGAGCGCGGGGGTGTTGTGCGTGCCTGCACAGGGGGGTGGAGCGTGTGTGGGGGGCATTGCATTATGGGTATTTGCACGCGTAGAAAAAACGGTTAGCTATCACTGCTATAGAGGGATGAGAAATTTGTTTTTACAGACACTTACCGGAGATTTGAAGCTTGCATTACAACTTCTCCGGGCTGCTTGAGATGTCCTGAATTTAAAAAAAAAAAAGAAAGAAAAGAAGGTCAAGAAAAGAATTTAAAAGTTCTTCAAAATGAGTCAGGACAAACTTGAGAATCCTCAGGTTAGCCAAAAAAATGAATTCAAGTGGAAGATTTAAACCGCTCTTACCTCCCCATTAAAGGTTTGGGGGAGATTTTCCCCCTTAATCCCAGGTTATGCTTGCCCCCTTGATTCAAAGGGGATTCGTGTTCATGTTTAGCCAGAATATTTTCCAAGCCAGCGGTAGAACTGCAATCCGCAACCACTTCCTTTTCCTTCTGCATCTGGTGATTCATACAGTTGTCAGGAACAGAAAGAATAAATGGATTTTTGCAGCTCACGGTCGTGCGTAATCCATAAACATCTTGTTTGCTAGGTTGTGGTCCAAAAACTGAGATTGTTGTCTTATTTCTTGCAGGGATACCTCTCCTCTTCTCTGTCAAAGCTGTGACATTAAAAAAAAATTGTAATTTTTTTTTTTAAATCGGAATGATTCCAAAGTAAAACATCAGAAAACAATGGCCAACATACAAGGGACTAAGTAAAGGGGCCAGCAAGGCAAACAGAAAAAAAAAACCACAAACAGAAAATCAAGTTCCTTTTTCCAATTCAAGAAATTGCAAGGCAAGCATCATACTAAAAACCAAATTTAGCTCTTGTTAAACTAGGAGTTAGTGTTGGGAATAATTGGGTGGTTTTGGAATAGTAATGACATCCATGTTAAGGTGGTGTTTAAAAAGTCGGTGGAGGATTTAATGCCAGTTAAATCAATATTATGGATTCCTCAACTATCAGGCGAAATATTGCACCCTTACAATAATAATAAAAATAATTCATTCAATGTCTTTGCTTCCACCTTTTCCACCTTTTCCATCTAAAATAGAGCTAGAAAGGACCTTGGAGGTCTTCTAGTCTCAAGCAAGCAAGGAGACCCTTTCAGACAAGGGGCTGTCCAGTTTCTTTAACACAGAACCTGCCTTTTTCATATATTTTTTTCCCCAAGCAGTTTCCTTTGCCTTTGGAAAAGCACCTTGGAGATTCAACCCAGCAAGGGCCAAATATCCTGCCCTGCTCCTTTACGGCATGCAAGCTGCAGGTTAGTCAGTGCAACTTGGGTTGGGTCTTTGCAGACCTGGGAAGACTCAACTCTAGGAGGAAAAACATGTTCTTTGAGGAGGTCCCTCCTTAATCCTGTCCTCTTGTGAGCCAACCTGATTTACAGAATGACTCAGTGGGAAGGGATTTGAAGCACCAGCTTTGATCGCAACCATCTGGCAGACAGGGTTGCCTTGCCTTGGTTAACTAAGCCAGCTTGCAAAAAAGGGCAGCTCCGAATTATTTAGAGGGGATTTCGAGGCTGTTGGGGTGGGGGAAAGTTTTTTTTTTAAAAAAGAGGGGGTGCTTGCAAAGCTGTGAAGATACATCTCTTGGGCTCCCCCCTTTTGGAAAGCAAAAACCACCTGCTGATGATCTGGCAAAATCAAACATTTACATTGAAAGAAATAATAATTTAAAAAATTGTGGAAAGCAGCCCAACAGGTTGGACCGGATATTGTCCAAAGCCTAAAAATGAGATTTTTCTTTTTCCAGGCAAAGCTCAGCAAGCAGCTTTCTTCACAAAAGCTCCTATTTTGGGGGGAAGGGGAGGTTATTGCAAAGCTGCAACTCTCTCCCCTAATATTAGCCCCCCACCCACCCACCCTTTCAGGGCAAGAGGACTCCAACTCCCATCTCTCTCTCAGGCTGGGAATGATGGGAGCTGGAGTGGGGGGACTCAGAAACCCCCACAAGCCCCAAGAAAAAGGTCTTGCTGAGTCTCCAAGCTCCTGCTCTGTGGATGATGGGCGAGGTGGCTCCAGGCTCTGGGTAGCTGCAGTCCCCATCCCACCCCCCACTACCACCAACCCCAGCTCCCATCATCCCCAGCCTGACTCTGTTGGGACTTCCCCTTCTGTTTCCCTTGAGATTTTTTAAATCTCAAAATTAAAAAAAAATAAAATAAATTATCCTTGCATCATTATGCCTCAGAAGAAAGAAGAAGCACAGATGCTCGTACATCAATGAAGACCAAGAAAAATAAAAAGGGCAGAAAAAATACAGCAGGGCGGCCATTACAGGCGGGAAGCAGAAGGGCGCATGCGCCACCTCCCGCGCCTGCGCGGACGCGTCTCGAGCGAGCCCAGCTTGGCGGGGGCGGTCCGAAGGGGCGGCGCCTCCCCTCGCCTGCCTGTCTCCCTTCCCTCCCTCCCATTGGCCCAACGGCAGCGCCGCCCCGCCCGCTGTCAGCCCCCGCGCGTGCGCAGTAAGCGCCGAGGCCTAAGTGGCCCGGCTGCGGGAGGAGCCTGCCTAGCCGCTTCGCGTCGCGCCGCCTTGCCGGGTTGACGTGGCCGGGGCCCGGCGCGGAGATGGCGGACGACAGCAGGCAGAACAAGCTGGCGGCGGCCAAGAAGAAGGTAAAGCGGGAGAGTTGAAGCGGCCGGCCTCGGGTTGCTGTCTGAGGCGGCGAGGCCTAGTCCGGGCCTGGCCTGGTTTCCCTCAGGAGCCGCCCCTCCGTCCGCCTCGGGCCCCGTCTGGAGGGACGACGCCCACCCTCCTGGCTTGCCTCTTTCTACGCCCTCCAAGCCCCCATCCTCCTCAGGCCTTCCGGCGCCGGGGACTACAACTCCCATCCTCCCCTCCCCGCGGCCCTGAGAACCGGGGGGGGAGGGAAGGAGGGAGGGAGGGGCAGGCTAATAATCCCGGAGGTCTTCTTCCCGGTGGCGGGTGTTGCTGGAGGATCAGCTCCCTGGAGACCGTGGCCTTTGGAAGAAGTGGAGGCTGATGGGACTTGTAGTCAAAGGTTGTGGGGGGGGAGTCCTCGGTTGGGGTGGGGGAGATGTTTGAGGTGAAGGCAGGGAGGGGAGAAAGACTCGTATCTTAGCCCTTGGGATGCTGGAGACCCTCCCCATAAATCAACCACTGGAAGGGTGGAGGCTGATGGGAGTTGTAGTCTAAGGGGGGAGTCCTGTTTGGGGGGGAGATGTTTGGGGATGAAGGCGGGGAGGGAAGAAAGACTCGTATCTTAGCCCTTGGGATGCTGGAGACCCTCCCCATAAATCAACCACTGTAGGGGTGGAGGCTGATGGGACTTGTAGTCAAAGGTTGTGGGGGGAGTCCTGTTTGGGGGGGAGATGTTTGGGGATGAAGGCGGGGGGGAGAAAGACTCGTATCTTAGCCCTTGGGATGCTGGAGACCCTCCCCATAAATCAACCACTGTAGGGGTGGAGGCTGATGGGACTTGTAGTCAAAGTTGGGGGGGGAGATGTTTGAGGTGAAGGGGGAGGGAAAAGACTCAATCTTAGGCTTGGGATGCTGGAGACCCTCCCAAACATAAATCAGCCATTGTAGAGATGGAGGCTGATGGGACTTGTAGTCTAAGGGGGAAGTCTGGGTTGAGGGGGGGAGATGTTTGGGGTGAAGACGGGGGGGGAAAAGACTCAATCTTAGCCTTTGGATGCTGGAGACCCTCCCCATAAATCAACCACTGTAGGAGTGGAGGCTGATGGGACTTGTAGTAAAGATGGGGGGGAGTTCTGAGTTGGGGGTGCTTCTGCAGAAATGAAAATGGTGAGGTGACTATATCTTGTAATGGGGGCTTGCGATGCTGGAGACCCTCCCCATAAATCAGCGAAACCTGGGGAAGAAACTATTGGAAGGGTGGGGAGGTTGATGGGAGTTGTATTTAAAGGTGTGGGGAGGGAAAGTTCTGAGTTGGGGGTGCTTCTATGGGCGCCTGCAGTTGTGAAAGTGGTGGGGTGACTATATCTTGTAATGGGGGCTTGCGATGCTGAGGCCCTCCCCATAAATCAGCCCCCTCCTCTGGGATTTAGTACATCCCTTTGCAAATTTGGGAGAGATGGCGGCTTGGAAAAGAGGGGAGGAGCCACTTCTGTGCCTTCTTGGGGGCTAAAAGTTTGATGCACCCCCTCCCTTTATTTGCCCTTTTGCAAAGATGTGCTTTGTGTGCTCCCATAGAGGGGGAGGAAACGGACACCATAAGTGGATCCCCATAAAAGGGGATCCCCTCGGGATTTAGTAGAAGGGGTGGAATTTAAGTGGATAGTTTCAGGGAAGGGAGAAGTAAATCTGCTTTTACTTAAAATATTTCTTTTATTGTTGGGATTCGGGGTGAGGCCAGAGAATGGCAGCTTTTTAAGCATCAGACAGGTAATCCTCATGTTACGACCACATTTGGTACCAGAATGTCCATTGCTAAACAAGAGGGTTGTTAAGTGAGTCACATATAATTTTACGACCTTGTAAACTTGAATCGCTGCATTTAATCCGGTGAATCCGGTGTTCCCCATTGACTTTGCTTCTGGGAAGTTATTTTAAAGTTTAGAATCTGTTCCCAAATCCCCCCTGCCTGCAAATTATTATAATAATTTTTGAGGGGCAAAAGTTGTTCCTTTCCCCCGCTTCATAGAAAAATCTATACAGGTAGTCCTCAATTTACGACAGATCATTTAGTGACCGTTCAAAGTTACAACGGCACTGAAGAAAGGGACTTACGACCATTTTTCACCCTTACGACCATCGCAGCATGGTCACGCAATTTACATTCAGATGCTTGACAAAACAAAAAAAGTAAAAGAGGAAAGGAACATAATTAAACATAAAATAAATCTGATAACTCAAAAAGAAGTAGCCCAGAGAATAAAAATGGCAAAACAAAATTATTTTGAATTCGCAAACAAAACTGGTAGATGGCTGGCGTACAAACTGAAAAAAGAAAAAGATAAAAGAATGATACACCAAGACAACTGACTCACATTTATGACGGTTGCAGTGTCCCCCGGGTGATGTGATCCCCTTTTTGTGGCCTTCTGACAAAGTCAGTGGGGAAGCCAAATTTGCTTAACAACCGTGTTACTAGCTTAATCAGCTGCAGCGATTCACTTAACAAGTGGCAAGAAAAGGCCGTAAAATGTTGCGAAACTCACTTAACCAACGTCTCACTTAGCAACGTAAATGTTGCCTCAACTGTGATCGTTAAGTCGAAGATTACCTGTAGCTTTATCTCTCATGGCTAAATCGACGTATCCTGAAACCTAAACGGCCTGTAAGCCAGGTGAAAACATTCTATCAGGTGAGAGTTTTGCATGCCGAAAACTCCAGCTGTTGTTTTCCAAACTCCTGGATAAACGAGACACCCATCCATGGTATGTGCTGATTTTGTGGCGTTTGGTCCTTTCATGTGGGAGCCTCTCGGGCGGCACTTTCTGTGAAACACAGACAGGATCATCCGGAATGCCTTGAAAATCAACCCTCACATGTGTGTGGTTCAAAAAACTAGCCATCGAAATTGGTGACTCTAACACCGAGATCGTGAAATTTTCCCCTAGTGTGGAGATCGACGAAAATTAGTTCCCGACCTCTTAGCAGAAGAGCTTTTTTAATCATGTGTGTGCCGTGTGTGCGTGGGTGGTTGACTTGTCTGTGCAGGGCAGCGGATTCTAGAAATTAATTTTGTTTGTTTTTTTGGCCTGGTTTCATATTGTCCTCTACCCAGGAAGAGAAGAAACTTATCTTAAGAGCCTGGAGTATTTATTTTGTAAAAGGCACAGTAAGAAAAGTAGAGACGTTTGGCAGTGTTTGACTCGACTCTCTGTAGGTCACAGTGAGTTTCCTACCATGTTTCCCCGAAAATAAGACCTTGTCTTATATTTTTTTTGAACCCTGAAATAAGCGCTTGGCCTTATTGCCATGCGCTCAAAAGCCCAATTGGGATTATTATCAGGGGATGTTTTATTTTGGGGGAAATGGTAGGTAGGTAGGTAGGTAGGTAGGTAGATAGATAGATGATAGATAGATACCGTGTTTCCCTGAAAATAAGACCCTGTCTTATATATTTTTGAAACCTTAAATAAGCGCTTGGCCTTATTGCCATGCGCTCAAAAGCCCGATTGGGATTATTATCAGGGGATGTCTTATTTTGGGGAAAACGGGGGATCTATCTAATCTATCACTTATCTATATCAATATGCTATCTCTCTCTGATTGGGCTTATCGGGATGTCTTATTTTGGGGAAAACAGGATATGTATCTATCATCTATTTATCTACCGTGTTTCCCCGAAAATAAGACCCATAAGACAAGTTTTTTGAACCCTGAAATAAGCGCTTGGCCTTATTGCCATGCACTCAAAAGTCCGATTGGGCTTATTATCAGGGGATGTCTTATTTTGGGGAAAACAGGGTAGCTTGCTGTCTGGCTGTTGAATGTAGCTTGTGAATTTCATTCAGCTTGGTGGGTAGCAACTTATCCCAATGCTAAACGATCACTGAAGGTGTTAAAGAAGAGATGGGACAGCCATTTGTCTGGAATAGTATTGGGTCGCCTGCTTAAGCAGTGGGCTGGACTAGAAGACCTCCAAGGTCCCTTCCAACTCTGTCATTCTAACATAGAGAAAGGCTAGGGGTGACATGATAGCAGCATTCTAATATTTGAGGGGCTGTCACAGAGAAGAGGAAGTCAAGCCATTCTCCAAAGCCCCTGAAGGCAGGATAAGAAGCAATGGGTGGAAACTAATCAAGGAGAGAAGCAACCTAGAACTCAGGAGGAATTTCCTGGCAGTCAGAACAATCAATTAGTGGAACAAGTGGCCTTCAGAAGTTGTGGGTACTTCAACACTGGAGGCTTTTATGAAGAGATTGGACAACTGTTTGCCTCAAATGGCATAGGGTTTCCTGCTTGAGCAGGGGGTTGGACTAGAAGACCTCCAAGGTCCCTTCCAACTCTGTTATTCTACTCTGTTATTATGTCTAGTGCAGTTGGTGGTAAAGGGAAAGAGCTTTCCTTTTTTTTTTTTGTCTTGTATGAATGAAAGAGTTTAAAGTCAGCTTCGGCAAAATTTCAAGGACAGGTTCGGTAAAAGGACACGCCCTTGGCTTCCAACTCAAATAACAAGTAAATCAAATAACAAGGTAGATTATTAGGGCACTAAGTTTAGTATTTGTTTGTTGGCTGTGGCTATGGCTGTGTTGCAACCTTCAGTCAAACAATGTATGAGAAATAGGTAAACAGAAGAAATCTTAACTATTTCATTTGGATTTTAATTTTAATCCAGTTCTGAAATGATTGAAGGAAGAAATTGCTTCCTTGTTTTAGGAAGAACAGAGTAGGTTTTGATTCATTTTTGGTGATACTATATAAAGAAAGATTGCACATAGAACTGGAAAAAAATGCTTCAAATTGCAGACTCCTGAATATCTGGATGTACTTAATAGATTGTTTATATAATTCTTTAAAATGTTGCTATGTATGTTTTATCCAATCTTCAGCAGACACTTACTGGTTACTGTTGGTTTCACTACATATTACAATCTTTTGGAGTGTATGAGCCTAGTACTTAATAGCTAATAAAAACAGGCAATTTATATGAGAATATGTAGTAAATACCTGGAAAATTTGGATTGAACAGTAATTATATATATATATATATATATATATATATATATATATATATATATATTTATTTTTAATTTGATTTATATGCCGCCCTTCTCCGGAGACTCAGGGCAGCTTACAATGCGCTAAGCAATAGCCTTCATCCTTTTGTATATTTATACAAAGTCAGCTTATCGCCCCCACAATCTGGGTTCTCATTTTACCTACCTTTGAAAGGATGGAAGGCTGAGTCAACCTTGAGCCTTGGTGAGATTCGAACCTGCAGTAATTGCAGGCAGCTGGTCTTAATAACAGGGTGCCTTAGACCACTGTACTACCAAGGCTCAGTTTCATATGTTGGGATATCAGTATCAGTTTCATATGTTGGGAGGGAGGGAAGGAAGGCTATTTGAAGACTATGTTGACTCCTCTATAAGCCAGTTGTATAATTTTCCAAAATATATATGGATATTTTTCCTTCCCACTTTTGCTATATGTAACAGGAAATGAGCTTGTGAAAGTGTGCAACCACATCATTAGAACTGTTAAAATGTCACCTAACGGAAACTTAACGGATTAGGAGATCTAACATTATGAGCAGTTTTTCAAACTGTAGGGACCGTTTAATTAGCTAGTACCAAGTCAGGGAAAAATCACCTGAATAATCAATACATTCAATAAATAAATTCCTTCTTTTCCTGAGGGTGCCCTGTTGTTGTTGTTTTTTAACTTTTCTCTGCCATATTTTAGTTTTGCACGGAGATGGTTGCAACTTCAGCTTAGATTAATTTCAAACCGTTCAACCTTTTTTTTTTTCTCAGCTGAAAGAATATCAGCTGAAAAACAGCCCTGTGTCCACAGCGGGGGCCAAAAAGAAACGGAGAAGTAAAGAAGCAAGCCGTCCAGAGACGCCAGTTAGTGATGGAGTACAATCTCCTGAAAACGTAAGTTTTCTCCTCCTTAGGGGACTGGAGGCTAAAACAGGCGATGAACGGTTGCAGGAACTGGGCATGGCTAGTCTAGTGAAGAGAAGGACCAGGGGAGACAGGAGAGCATCTTCCAATATTTGAGGGGCTGCCACAGAGAAAAGGAAGGGGGTCAAGCTATTTTCCAAAGCACCTGAAGGCCAGACAAGGAATAATGTTTTCCCCTTTTAAAGGGGAAACCATTTAGGTACAGGGTTGCTTGCTTTGAGCAGTGGGCTGGACTAGAAGACCTTCAAGGTCCCTTCCAACTCTGTTATTCTACTCTACTCTGTTATTATCATAGATGTTAATTGTCGTTCATTAGCACTAGAATTTTTAATTGTATATTTTTACTGTGTGTTTTTATTTGTTCTGGTCTATGAGTGCAATAAACTCAATTGATTGATTGAACCTTGTGTAACTGACCCCAGAGGACAGAGAGTCCTCAGCTTACAGCTGCAATGGAGGCCAAAATTTCTGTGGCTAAGCGAGACGGTGGTTTGCTGGGTTTGCCCCTTTTTACAACTTTTCTCGTTCAGTGAATCGCTGTCGTCGTTAAGCTAGAAACAGGGTTGTTAAGTGAATCTGGCTCCCCCGTTGAGATTGCTTGTTGGAAAGTTTCAAAAGGGGATCGCATGACGCCCGGGATGCTGCCACAGTCATTGATATGAAGCAGTTGCCAAGCATCTGAATTTTGACCGTGTGACCACAGGGATGCTGGAACGGTCATAAGTGTGAAAAACGGTCATAGGTTACCCTTTTCAGTGCTTTGGACGGTCACTAAACAAACTGTTGTAAGTTGAGAACTGTCTCTCTTTCTCTTTCTCTCTCTGCCTCTGTCTCTCTCTCTGTCTCTCTCTGTCTCTGTCTCTCTCTCTCTCTCTCTCTTTCTCTCTCTCTCCGTGTGTGTGTGTGTCTCTCTCTCTCTGTCTCTGTCTCTCCATCTCTTTATCTCTCTCTGTCTCTTTCCGTGTCTCTCTCTCTCTCCGTGTCTCTTTCTCTCCCTCAGTCTCTCTCTCTCCGTCTCTCTCTCTCTCTCTGTGTCTTTCTCTTTCTCTCTCTGTCTGTCTCTCTCTCCGTCTCTCTCTTTCTCTCCGTCTCTCTCTCTCTCCGTCTCTCTCTCTCTCTCTCTCCGTCTTTCTCTCTCTCTCTCTCTCAGTCTCTCTTTCTCTACGTCTCTCTCTCTCTCTCTCTCTGTCACCCCGTCACTCTCTCTGGTATTAAGAAACAATAGACAAAACTGTAAGAAAGAACGTTTGATTGTAGAGTTGCGTCCTGGCAAGTCAGAATAAAGTGTTCCCCCCCCCCTCTTAAATTCGCCATCCTAACCCTGAAAGAAATCAAGTGCCAGCGCGTTCCACGGTCTCCAGTGGGGCCCTCGCTTGTCTTTCTTCACTTTTCCTGCCGGGCTCTTCTTGGGTCTCGTTCCTTTCGCTTTTTTTTTTTTTTTCGGGGTGGTGGTGGATCAACATTCCCTCCTGTCCTTTTTTACTTTTTTTTTTTCTTTTTCCTCAGCTCTTTCTCTTCCCCCCCTTTTTCTCTTTTGCTCCTGTAGATTGAGAACCTTCTGAAGGTGCTGGTGTCCGACTTCAACTGCTCCAATGGGGTAGCCATACCTACATTGGACAAGTGGAAGGTGAGGCAGCTTCCACGAATCGATCCGGCTGGGCTTGCTCTCCATCCATACCGCCGGCTTCCGATCCGGGCTGAGCCCGTGGCGGGGAGGGGGGGGGAGGTTTCGCAGGTTGCAGAGCCTTTGCGGCCCGCGCTGGGAATGTCGTCGTGGCTTGTTCGTGCGGTGTTATTTTTAACCTTCTGCTTTCCTTCCTCTCTGTTCCTCTCTGCATGTGACTCCTTAACCTGGTTCAGATTACAAGGGCCAAACGCCCCCCCACCCCCTGGGTTTTTCCAAGCAGATCAGCTGCTGTGAAACGCAGGTAGTCCTCGACTTACAACCGCAGTAGAGCCCGATCAGGGAAGCCTTTGTTAAGTGAATTTTGCTCCGTTTTACGCCTTCTCTTGCAGCAGTTCTTAATTGCTGCAGTTGTTAGGTTGGGTGTAGCTTGGTGGGCATGGCATGGCTTGGTGGGTGTGGCAGGGGAAGGATACTGTAAAATCTTCATTCCCACCCCAATCCAGGGGAAGGATACTGTAAAATCTCCATTCCCATCCCGATCCAGGGGAAGGATACTGTAAAATCTCCATTCCCACCCCAATCCAGGGGAAGGATACTGTAAAATCTCCATTCCCACCCCACTCCAGGGGAAGGATACTGTAAAATCTCCATTCCCACCCCAATCCAGGGGAAGGTTAATGTAAAATCTCTATTCCCTCCCCACTCCAGGGGAAGGATACTGCAAAATCCCCATTTCCTCCCGATCAGCTGGGACTCGGGAGGCAGAGAATAGATGGGGGCGGGGTCAGTCAGAGGTAGTATTTACCGGTTCTCCAAACTACTCAAAATTTCCGCTACCGGTTCTCCAGAACTGGTTAGAACCTGCTGAATACCTCCTCTGGATTGGTCACCTGGTTGCTAAGTGAAGCTGGCTCCCTTCCCCCAGTGGATTTTATTTAAATGAAGTCGATTTAAATCATGATTTAAATTGTGATTCAAATCACCAGTAAAAAGGCTTGATTTAAACCATAATTTTGAAAGAGTAGCCATCGTCTCTGACCAGCTGTTGACCCACCGACCATCCCAGTCACTTTAATGGGACGGCTGGTGATGCGGCAGGGACACAACAAGGTGAGGGGCGTGGCGAGCAGCAGGTGAGTGGATGCCCGCTAACAGGCGCTGCTGCCATGATGGATCAGAAACGACAGGCGCTCTTTAAATGTAAGGACTCATTTTTGGCTGGTGATTAGAATCTTTAATATGATTATTTGCCAACAAAACGAAGGTTTCCGATTTAGCTTGCAGAGCTCTGATTCATTGAACGAGTTTACCAACAATGTAAATATTGCAGAATATACACAGCCTCATGCTACATAATTAATAATTAACCTCCATTTCATGCTGAAAGAACTTAAATTATTAATATATCTTAAACAGAAAATTATCTTTAGGTAGATTTTTCACTCCAAAAGCATTTTATTAAAATAAATTTGATTAAAAATTTTAAAAAAAATCCGATTGAAAATTTTAAAAAAGGTTGCAAAAAGGGGATTGCGTGACCCCCGAGACCTTACAACCGTCGTAAACACGAACCAGTTATGGAGCGTCTGAATGTAAACCAGGGGACTCTGGGAAAAATGCGGCAACGGTCGTCGGTCGGAAAAAACGATCCCAATTCTCTTTCTTTCTTTCTTTCTTTCTTTCTTTCTTTCTTTCTTTCTTTCTTTCGCAGCACCCTTCCTCACCCCCCTTTTTTGGCCTAACAGGCCTCAGGGAAGCCTCCTGGGAGCAAAAACGGACCCCAATAGGTAGTAAAAAAAAATGCTTTAAAAAGTAAAAAAAAAAAAAGTCAGAACCTTTTTTAAAGAATTTTTTAACTACCTATTGCCTGAACGGGTAGTAAAAAAAAAATGCTTTAAAAAAAAAAGTTCAGACAATCAACTGTGCCATGCAATCGTCGGAACTTTTTTTTTAAAGCATTTTTTTACTACCGGTTCGGGCGAACCAGTAGCATTTTCACTACCGGTTCGGGAGAACCGCCCCGAACCGGTAGCATTTCATCCCTGCATTCGACATAAAAAGTACTCCTGTTTTGAGTGGTTATGAACCTCACGTGCCGTCTGATCTGAAGATTTCTCTGTGTGTGTTATCACATTTATATTCCGCCCATCTCACACTCAAGCGACTCTGGGCAGCTATGGACACACAAACACAACACACTAGAGGTAGCCCTCGATTTACGGCCACAACAATGGAGCCCAACAGCATTTCTGCTGCTAAGCGAAACGTTTCTTTAGCGAATTTTCTCCTGTTGTACGACCTTTCTTGCCACCGTCGTTAGGTCAGTCGCTGCACTGTTAAGTTAGCAACCCCGTTGTTAAATGAATCTGACTTCCCCCCACCCTTGCTTGTCAAAAGGTCACAAAAGGGGACAACCCACACACCCCCTCCACCGGGGACGTGGCAACCGTCCTAATATGAGTTGGTTGCCAGGCGTCTGAATTTTGTTCCGGTCTTTGAGGAGATTGCAACGGTGAAAAAATGGTCATAAGTCTCTTTTTCCAGTGCTGCGGCAACTTCAAATGGTTGCTAAATGAGCTGACAGTTTCCTTCTGTTTTCGTATTTCTTTTACCTGTACAGGTGCCAGAGGAGTAGCTTGTGCAGAATCAATTTGCTTTTTCTTTTTTTCTCTCTCTCCTCCCTCATTCCTGGCAGGCATGTGACTGTAGGTGTAGCTTTCATTCCCCATGCAAATATTGCAAGAGGGGGCCTGCCCCATAAGGAGTGTGTGGGCCGCAGAATATTCCTCTCTTGGAAAGAGCGGCTGCCCCTCACCGTCTGAGAGAAAATCCGATTCCAGACAGTGTTGATTGACAGCTCAGTTGGGCAGGAGCACTGAACCCTGATAGCTGATCTAATCCTCTTCGTTTTGTTTTACGTTAGCAGGAAGAGTACGCTTCCTGCCTTTTCTCTTGGCGTTAGGCCTGGGCTCTAAACAGTCCAACAGACAGTGGGAAAAGTGCAAGTAGGCCTCAACTTACAACAGTTCGCTTTAGCGACCGTTCAAAGTTACAACAGCACCGGGGGGGGGGGGGGGAAAGTGACCTAGCACCGTTTCTCACACTTACGACCGTTGTAGCATTCTCCCTCCCCCCCCATGGTCCCGTGATCAAAACTCAAGACGGTTCATATTTATGACGGTTGCAGCGTCCCCCGGGCTCACGCGATCCGCTTTTTGCGACCTTCTCACAAGGGTGAGAAGCCAGATTGACGGAAGCACCGGGTGACAGCTGCTGAGATGCGCTTAACAACCTCGGTAAGAAAAGCCGTAAAACGGGGCAAAACTCACTTCAACCAAATGTCTCGCTTAGCCACGGGAATTTTTTGGGCTCAGTTATGGTCGTTAGGTCGAGGACTACCTGTACCAGAATAGGTTAAAACAGTGAAGCTGCTTGACATAACAATCATTGCCGGGGTTTGATGACCCTGGCCAAAAAGTATGAAATATAGAGCAACGTTTTCAAATTTGAAATGCTATGATTTGGGGAGTATGCCCCCCCCCCCCCCCCCCCGATCTAATGGAGCAGGTTGAGGTCCCTGCTAGGATTAAACACTCCTGGTATTAACCACGTTTCTTATAGAAGAGATGTTTAATTATTTTAATGCTGCGAAAGCCCTACTAGGCAGATATATACAAAAGTATGAAGGCTATTGCTTAACGCATTGTAAGCCGCCCTGAGTCTCCGGAAAAGGGCGGCATATAAATCAAACCAATAAATAAATAAATAAAGTAGAATTTCGTTCATGAGCCTCGTTGAGGCCGAACATAGTTTTTTCCCCTCCTGTGAGTTCCTTTATTAATTTACCTGTTCCTATTTCCAGCTTGTGACGGTCAGGTCTAACAGCCCAGATTTCTGGGTGATTGTCCACCTACGCTGCTTTGACAGGCACTCTGGCAATTCCCCCCCCCTCCCATTTTCCATTTCTACTGAGTCACCAATGAATTGCCTTCCTTTTTTTGTTGTTGCCGTTAAAATAAAAAAGAGCCATTTAATTGGTTCGATTTTATATGCCGCCCTTCTCCGGAGACTCAGGGCGGCTTACAATGCGTTAAGCAATAGCCTTCATACTTTTGTATATACCTGCTTAGTAGGGCTTTTGGCCCCCCTAAGCGGTGTTCTTTTTTTTTTATATACAAAGTCAGCTTTTTTTTTTCTTTTTTTTTAATTTGATTTATATGCCGCCCTTCTCCGGAGACTCAGGGCGGCTTACAATGCGTTAAGCAATAGCCTTCATACTTTTGTATATACCTGCTTAGTAGGGCTTTTGTCCCCCCTAAGCGGTGTTCTTTTTTTTTTATATACAAAGTCAGCTTTTTTTTTTTCTTTTTTTAATTTGATTTATATGCCGCCCTTCTCCGGAGACTCAGGGCGGCTTATAATGCGTTAAGCAATAGCCTTCATACTTTTGTATATACCTGCTTAGTAGGGCTTTTGTCCCCCCTAAGCGGTGTTCTTTTTTTTTTATATACAAAGTCAGCTTTTTTTTTTCTTTTTTTTAATTTGATTTATATGCCGCCCTTCTCCGGAGACTCAGGGCGGCTTACAATGCGTTAAGCAATAGCCTTCATACTTTTGTATATACCTGCTTAGTAGGGCTTTTGGCCCCCCTAAGCGGTGTTCTTTTTTTTTTATATACAAAGTCAGCTTTTTTTTTCTTTTTTTTAATTTGATTTATATGCCGCCCTTCTCCGGAGACTCAGGGCGGCTTACAATGCGTTAAGCAATAGCCTTCATACTTTTGTATATACCTGCTTAGTAGGGCTTTTGGCCCCCCTAAGCGGTGTTCTTTTTTTATATATATACAAAGTCAGCTTATTTTTTTTATTATTTTTTTAATTTGATTTATATGCCGCCCTTCTCCGGAGACTCAGGGCGGCTTATAATGCGTTAAGCAATAGCCTTCATACTTTTGTATATACCTGCTTAGTAGGGCTTTTGGCCCCCCTAAGCGGTGTTCTTTTTTTTTTATATACAAAGTCAGCTTTTTTTTTCTTTTTTTTTAATTTGATTTATATGCCGCCCTTCTCCGGAGACTCAGGGCGGCTTATAATGCGTTAAGCAATAGCCTTCATACTTTTGTATATACCTGCTTAGTAGGGCTTTTGTCCCCCCTAAGCGGTGTTCTTTTTTTTATATATACAAAGTCAGCTTTTTTTTTTCTTTTTTTTTAATTTGATTTATATGCCGCCCTTCTCCGGAGACTCAGGGCGGCTTATAATGCGTTAAGCAATAGCCTTCATACTTTTGTATATACCTGCTTAGTAGGGCTTTTGGCCCCCCTAAGCGGTGTTCTTTTTTTTTTATATACAAAGTCAGCTTTTTTTTTCTTTTTTTTTAATTTGATTTATATGCCGCCCTTCTCCGGAGACTCAGGGCGGCTTACAATGCGTTAAGCAATAGCCTTCATACTTTTGTATATACCTGCTTAGTAGGGCTTTTGGCCCCCCTAAGCGGTGTTCTTTTTTTATATATATACAAAGTCAGCTTATTTTTTTTATTATTTTTTAATTTGATTTATATGCCGCCCTTCTCCGGAGACTCAGGGCGGCTTATAATGCGTTAAGCAATAGCCTTCATACTTTTGTATATACCTGCTTAGTAGGGCTTTTGGCCCCCCTAAGCGGTGTTCTTTTTTTTTTATATACAAAGTCAGCTTTTTTTTCTTTTTTTTTTTAATTTGATTTATATGCCGCCCTTCTCCGGAGACTCAGGGCGGCTTATAATGCGTTAAGCAATAGCCTTCATACTTTTGTATATACCTGCTTAGTAGGGCTTTTGTCCCCCCTAAGCGGTGTTCTTTTTTTTTATATACAAAGTCAGCTTTTTTTTTTCTTTTTTTTTAATTTGATTTATATGCCGCCCTTCTCCGGAGACTCAGGGCGGCTTATAATGCGTTAAGCAATAGCCTTCATACTTTGGTATATTTATACAAAGTCAGCTTATTGCCCCCACAAACTGGGTCCTCATTTCACCTACCTTAGAAAGGATGGAAGGCTGAGTCAACCTTGAGCCTGGTGAGATTCGAACTTGCAGTAATTGCAGGCAGCTGACAGCTAAGTGCTATTTAACAGCACTTTAGTCCGCTGTTCCACCAAGGCTCTTTTTAGCCTTGAAGAGATTGGACTGCCATTTGTCAGAAATGGTGTAGAGTCTACTTGAGTGGGGGGTTGGACTAAATGACCTACAAGGTCCCTTCCAACTCTGTATCCTCTGACTAAGCGGCAGGCTTAGTCTCCCTCTGTGGAACCTTAGCTGACTTTGGGCATTAAGAGGATTGGGTTGGGTTTTTTTTTTTTGATATTAGGATAATCTTTGTGGGGCAGGTTTCCAAGCGAAGCTGTGCATCTGCTTCCTTCTGGTGGCTTTAATCCTTGTGGTGTTGTGTGTTTTCTGACAGGCCCACAACGATGGTGACATAGCCGCTGGCGTCTCCTTGCTGTCTAACAGCAAAGATGTGTCTGCCTGTGTTGCTCCAAACCCCGGGCAGCTGTCACAGGTTGGTGAACATCCACTTCTCTCCGGTAGACCTCAACTTACGACCACAGTTGAGCCCAACCTTTCTTTTCCGAAGTTTTAATTGAGTTTTGTTCCATTTTGAGACCTTTCTGTCCCCGGTCGTTCAGGAAATCCCTGCAGTGGATTACTTATGTTGTGACCGAGGCTTATTGAGTAATTACAATACCCAATTAGTCCCAAGCAAACCTATTTTATTGTAACAGCTGAGAATTACGTTCATTCCCAGCTGAGTCCCAATTAATTGCAAAACAAGTCCTTCGGAAGAAGTCCTTCGGGATAATCACCAACCTTTATCTTCTTTGACATCCTGCCAAAGGCCTTACTTGGCAAAGCCCCACGAAGTTCAGAAACAAATGAGATGCCGACTGGAAACAGAGTTAGCAATGTTGCTTTCCTGCAAAAAGGCCCCAAGTGCCTTTGTTTCTCTTTTAAGCCTTATGGGAGGGGCCAATCATCTCCTGGCCTTACTCCTGAGTCGTCCCTTTTGCTTTAGCTGCTCTTGCCTTCTGGCAGCTCTGCGCATGCATGCACTAGGAACAGGCTCCTCCTGTTTCTCTGCCTCTCTGCTGTCCTACTCTGGGGGCTCCGGAGTCCGCGCATCACTCCCAGATGACCCTGGCTCCATCTCTGCCTCCGACGCAGAGCCCTCGTCTGGGTCTTCCCCAGCCTCCAGGACTGGCCCATGGTCCTCCCCAGTCTCCTCACTGTCTGACTCCACTGCCAGCTCTGCAGGCTGCTGGCAGACCACAACAACTTAGTCACCCTGTTGTTAAGTGAGTCGGGCTTCCCCATTGACTTTGCTTGCCAGAAGCTCACCTAAGGGGACCCCAGGGACACTGCAACCGTCGTAAATATGAGTCAGTTGCCAAGGATCTGAATTTTGATCCCCTGACCATGGGGATGCAGGAATGGCCGTAAGTGTGAACTGATGTCAGTTTTTGTGTGAACGGCTGTAAGTGTGAACTGATCAGTCAGTTTTTTCAGTACCCTTGTAATTTTGAATGGTCACTAAATGAATTGTTGTAAATTGAGGGCTATCTGTACTTGATAAGCTAAAGAGAAGTTCCCTGGGGATGGGCTCCAGCACGAGTCCGAACGCTTGGAAGACTAAACCTCTGGTCCTGGTTACCGACCCAGATTAACATTATCCTGGGACACCTAGATAGGCCTTCATTTGTGAAGGTGTCTCTGAAGGTGTCTGTGATGACCTGGGGCACGGCACAGAGGCAACAAAGGCAGCTGACAGTTCAAACCCTTTATTGCTCCAAATTTCCCCAAACGCTCCCACGTTTCTGGCAAGTCCCAGAGCAAAGTGATGACACAGACGCACCTCAAGCAGCCTCTGGCTGCAAGTAGTCCATCCAGCATAACGGTATGAGCACAACGGCTGCAAAGCAAGAAATCCAGCAGGGCAAGTCTAGGAGTCCAGGAAGGAACGGAGCAAGGTAGTTAATCCAGAAAGCCCAAAAGAAGGCAAGGAATCCAGGAAAGTTCAAACATCGGCACTCAACACTCCCTGAATTCAGCATTTGTTCCCAACAAATGCCCCTCTCCACAGCGTCTCCTTAAGTCTCAGACCCCAGGTGTGCCTTGTGAAGAGGGGTGGGGCGCTCTCCTCCCGAGTAGCCAGCTCAGTCTGCGCTGTTCTCGCCTTCTCTCCACTCTCCGTGCTCGAGGATCAGGAGGGGGTGGTCCTTGCTCATCTCCTGAGCTCTGTCTCCCATGTTCACTGCTTAGCCTGTCTTGGTCATCCTGTCCCCTTGCCTACAAACTGTCCCAATCCTGAAAGGCCCTGGCCTAACTGGGCCTGCTCCTCCCCATTTTCCTCCCAAGCCAACCAAGACGCCCCCTCAATGTCTGTCTGCTCCGGTTTTGGCTCGTCTTCCTCTGATTCAGGCTCTGACGGAGGCATGACAGTCTCTCTGCGTCTACCTGTTCTTTATGTGCTCTTCGAAGTATGATCTCGTGGCTTAATTGTGCGGCTTTCTCTCTTCCACAGATCGGTGACACTGATAATACCGTGTTGGACGAAAACAGGTGAGAGATGGTTTCAATTTCTACAACAGAATATCTTTCTCCCCACTCTCTCTTCCTGGCCACTGACGGACCAGACGAGTGATTCCAGCTTCCTTTTTAATCCCTCGTCTCTCCTTTAGGTCTCTCTCAACAACGGAGAGCCTCCGCAAGCTCTCTGAACAGTTGAACGGCATGGTCAGCCAGGTACGAGGCCATCTTTGACCTTTTAGCTTATTTCTTTAAAGCTCAGAAACAAACCTCGGAATGTTGGGGTCCTCGGTACCCTCCGAGGTGGGTGGAAGCTAGCTCCCCTCCAGCACTGATGATGTCACCTAGTTGGGTCATGAAATGTCTTCAAGGATACAGCCCAATGTTGTGGTCCGCCAGCAGCCTGCAGAGCTGGCAGTGGAGTCGGACAGTGAGGAGTCTGGGGAGGAACATGGGCCAGTCTTGGAGTCTGGGAAAGGCTCGAGCAAGGGCTCTGCTTCGGAGGCAGAGATGGGGCCAGGGCCATCTGGGAGTTATGCACAGACTCCGGAGCCTCCAGAGTCAGATATCAGAGAGGCGGAGGAATAGGAGGAGCTTGTTCCTAGTGCGCGCATGCGCAGAGCTGCCAGAAGGAAAGAACAGTTAAAACTAAAGGGACGACTCGGGAGTAAGGCCTGGAGATGATTGGCCCCTCCCATAAGGCTTAAAAGAGGAGCAAAAGCACGTGGGCTCTTTGCAGGAAAGCAACGTTGTTAATCCTGTTCCCAGTTGGCAACGCTGTTTGATTCTGGACTCTGTGAGGCTTTGCCAAGTAGGTCTTTGGCAGCGTGTCAAGGGAGATAAAGGTTGGTGATTCTCCCGAAGGACTTTTTGCAACTAATTGGGACTCAGCTGTGAATGAACATAATTCACAGCTGTTGCAATAAAAGAGGTTTTTGGGACTACTCGTGTGTTTTAATGACTAGGTCACAGCACCCAGCTCAGAAAGCACGAAGGACCTCAAATTCAACTCTGAGCTACAAATTGTCTCTTTTCTCGAAACTTATAAGGATTCCTGATAATCAGAGTTAGGGCAGCTTGACAGTGAAGCAATAAAGCAGTTTTGCCATGGGGTCTGTGCAGGGGTGAAATGCTCTGAAGTCTGCTACCAGTTTGCTTTGCTATCGGTTCGCTGCGTGTATGCGCCAAAAGCACACTTCATGTGCACTCACACTATAGGCAGTACTATAGGCGCAGCGTTGAAAAAGGAGGATTAAGGTTTTCTAAGGTAAGTAAAACAACGAGGGGGGGAACAGCTGTGCCGCGCAATTTAGATTCTCTAGAAAGCAGGATTTCCTGCTTTTTCTAGTGAATATAAATCGCGCTGCACAGCTGATTGTCGGAAATACCGGTTCGTCTGAATTGGTAGAATTTTTTTTACTACCGGTTCGGGCAAAACAGTCCGAAGCGGTAGCATTTTACCCCTGGGTCTGTGGGAAACGTGCGTGAAAACATTTTCAAGCCTTATCCCTTTTCAGGGGGGAAAAAAATAGCATTTAAGCAGAGATTGGATCCATGAAAATAGAACAAATATTGGAAGGACAAGGGAGTTGGCACAATCAATCCGTCCGCCTTCAGGGCTCTGAAACGTCCTTCAGCTTATTATTAGTATTTTTTAAATTCTTCGATGGGCTAAAAACAGCCAGTCGTGCTCCCATATAGCTTGGAATTACCGATCGACCTGTGGGAACAGAATCCAGATCCTTACCGTGACCCTTAACCTATCTTTTGCAGACCACGACTTACATCAATGGAGAAAACATCATGCCGTCTGCGAACATGAAAGAGATGGCGGTAGGTCTACCCTTCCGGGCACTCCGTCAGCCAGGATTTTGTAACCATCCCTCCACGATGTTTCACCCACAAGCTACAGCTCCCACAATGCCTTATAAGGAGGCATGCTGATTAGGGGAATCCTGGGTTTTTGCCTTCCCTGTTAGAAGAGCTTGGGTTGGGGGAAGGCTTTGAGTTCAAGAGATATCCCCGTGGCAGGAAAAACGGCGTAGAATTTGGACCACAATTTCAGCCCAATCTTAAACTGGACTCGTCAAGGTTGCATATCTTTAAATCGGTTGCCTTGACTTTGAAATAGGGGCAAAGTTTTTAGGGTGCGGTATGTGATTCAGAGGGAGATGGGTTTGGGGTTCTTTCGTTGAGGAGGGGTTGCAGAAAACTACTGAAGTTTTCCCCTCTTTTTTTAAAAAAAGTGTTTTGCCTTTTCTCTCTCTCCTCTTCTTCTCCTTCCTCCTCCTCCTCTTCCACCTCTGGCTGTCTGCATGTGCCCCATCAGACTCGTTACCAGGAGCTGGCAGTAGCTTTTGACTCCAGCAATTTAACAAACAAACAACTCAGTGCAGAGATAGAGGAATTGGTAAGGAACCTAACTAGATCGACCGATTTGGCTTTGGCTGGCTGCTCTTCTCTGCTCTCTGGGCTCCTGTAAGGTCCTCCATCCTTTCACTGTGCCACAAGACAAGGTGTGTCAGTGTGCACCACTACAAATCCATTGATCGGCATCCTTCAATAGTCACTGTCCTATCTGGAATTCAGGAACCCCAATTAAAACTTTGTTCAGCGTTATGTTTTCACACCTGAGCATGTGTGCGAAGGGCTCATTGGCTAATTACTGACTGAGTATCTCTGCATTAGAATGTCAACTCGCAAAGCATCCCTGGCCTATTCTTGAGTTGCTATAGGCAAGGGGGATGGGAAACTGACAAAACAGCATGGCAGCCAAAGACAGATGCACATTCCAAACTTATCTCTCTCAAGGCTGTATCCCAGGGTTACTTACAGCGGCCGGAAGGGAGTGATCTCTACAACCCGCAAAATTGCCCCATTGGTGAATGTGATTGATGACACACCCTGGGGGGAGGAGGGAAACGGGCATGATTGGGGCCGTAAATTATGTGGGGTCAAAGCTGGCTTCTGATAAATAAGGCTAAATCGAGGCTCATTATTTAATTAGGGCATTCCTTGGAACCCTGACAGCAAGCCAGCTCTGACCCCACGTAATTTACGGCCCAATTTGCCATGAAGCTTGGCAAGCATTTTGTTCAGACCCGTCATGGCTCTTCTGCCTGTCTTCCCAACAGCCCCCACCCCCCAATTGGAGATCAAGTTGGTTCCCAACCTGTCTGTGTTTAATCTCTGACAGGTTAATACTACTAGGAGTTTCATCGTCCTTGGAAGTGAGATCTTCAGCCTTTTAGTAGCAGAACTGTCAGAAAGGGCCAGCTTGGAGGACAGGCAGAGATTGACCAGGAGAGAAATTTGCCACAAAATAAGGAAGGATGGGCTGAATAGAAGCAGCCAGGTAACTTTAAGAAACTGTAGGGTTGCGCCCCAGGTGCTTTTGGGGAGAGGGAGAAGCTGTAGGTTAAAAAGATAAAAGGAATCCTTGCAGATTTTACTCCTCTAGTCGCCGCCAACTCTAGGGTTCATCTCCGTTTCAAGGCCATCGAGCCAGCGCTGTCCGAAGACGTTTCCGCGGTCAAGTGGCCAGCATGACGTCACGGAGCGCTATTAACCTTCCCACCGAAGTGGTACCTATTTATCTACTCGCATTTGCCTGATTTCGAACTGCTAGTTTGGCACGAGCTGAGCCGAGGATGGGGATCTCACCCCGTCGCATGGCGCTCGGGTCTCGAACGCCTGTTGTCCAGCCGACAAGCCCAGCATCTTAATCACTGAGCCATCGCTCCACCCTATAACCTGTAGGCATAAACCCAATTCATCCCATCAAGAAATGGGTTCAAAACTCATTTTGAGAGATCCTGAAACCTGTGCTCACCCCAAGATAACAGTCCTGATTTTCCTCATTTGTTCAGTGTTGACTCAGCAAGAGCAGATCTTTCTAGATCCAAAACTTAAGATGAGCCAGACGCCTGTTCTACTCTTGTGGCACTGTGAGGAACCCCACGTGGGCCATCTTGGCTTGTGGCAGCTTCTCTTCCTGCTTGCCGTCTTCCTTGCACCTAAGGGCTGTTTTCGGGTAGCAAAAGGGGCCTCGCTGTGTTTGAAACCTTCCTTCTTGTGTCGCCCTCTCCAGCTTGTTTGCACGCCCTGTTTTTATTCCCCCCCCCCTCGTTTTTTTTCCTTTGAATTCTCATTTTTTTTCCCCCTCTCTGGTGGGTCATGAAGTCCTTTACGTTGGAACGCTGCCTGTCTCTGGACAAGGCAGGAACATAAGTCCCAAGTCGCTTCTTTTCAGTGCCGTTGTGATGGTCTCTAAACGGCCGGTTGTAAGTGGAGGACCCCTGTACCCCCGAAAGCAACACAGCACGGGTTTGGGGGACCCTGGTTGGGGGTGTTTCTGCTGGCCTGACATCGGCCCCCGAGCTGTGTTGATCCCCCACAAAAGCCTTAACCAGCATTGCCTAGCTTCAGACATGATCCTTGTGTCTCCGTTTTGTTCCTTCTGCAGAAACAACAGAACCAAGAGGTGGTGAATGAGTTGGAGAAGGTAACAGAGAAAGAGATATTCCAGAGATACAAAAATGGTGTTATTTTGCTTCCACCCCTCTCCCACCCCCACCCCCGTCTTCTAAACTTTATTGGGAGGGTTTCAACTGCCTTAGGTAAAAGTAAAGGTTCCCCTCGCACATATGTGCTAGTCGTTCCTGACTCTAGGGGGCGGTGCTCATCTCCATTTCAAAGCCGAAGAGCCAGTGCTGTCCGAAGTCATGTGGCTGGCATGACTAAATGCCAAAGGCGCACGGAACGCTCTTACCTTCCCACCAAAGATGGTTCCTATTTTTTCTACTTGCATTTTTTAGATGCTTTTGAACTGCTAGGTTGGCAGAAGCTGGGACCAGTCACGGGTGCTCACCTCGTTACACGGCGCTAGGGATTCGAACCACTGAACTGCCAACCTTTCGGTCGACAAGCTCAGTGTCTTAGCCACTGAGCCACCATGTCCCCTCAACTACCATGCAGTTAATTTACAGACCCCCTAATCCTATGGATGGTGAAATTGCATTTACCCTCCAGGGTAGAGGTGTAAAAATTACAACCTTAATTCATACGGATCGGTTTCCCCTCCAATTTTTCAATCTGAACAGGTCTTTGTGGCGAGCAGAACAAAACACACGTTTTTTTGTTCTTCCGTTCCTCACAGTTGTGTGGCTTGCCATCAAGTCACAGTCGTCCTATTGTTTGCATTCATTTTTTTAATGTAAAAGCTGCTGTATGCGGCTGTATCAGCTTCTTCCTGTCCTTCCAGATGCCAATAATTCTGCATTTCTTTTGATCATCGACCCGGTTAGTCTTGCTCAGCTGAGGGGGTGGTTCTCTTTTTGTTTTAAAAACCTTACGCCTTTTCATTTAGGTTTTTTTTTTTTAAATTAACACAATGTCGGTATGCATTTCCAAAGCAGATATTTATTACCACGGCAATAACTTGTGTCTGCCAAATAAACACGAGTGCCCATTTAGTCGTAAAAATATGAAGGAACAGAGGCCGCTCTCCAAGGATAGTTTCCCAGCCTCTTCACCAGCATTTCTGAAAAGTTGTTTGTGGAAAGACTGTAGAAAGCTTTTAAACGCTGCGTCTGGGCCCGAGCGGTTCTAGCAATATCTGAATATAATAAATCGGTGTAACCTTGTGTCCTAACCTAGGCTCCCTTAAAAAGCAGGAAGCAGAGTCTTGATCCTGGCAAAACCTCTTTTATTTACACGACTCTGAATTCCTTTCATTCACAGTCAGCAAGGCCTGTCCAAACAGTCTTTCAAAGGAATATTTATCAACACAGACCTTATCTCGCTTGGCAAGCTGCCACGTAACTTGTTTTCAAACGCAGAGTAAGACAAAACTTGGCCACAGAGTCTCTTTAAGAGTCACGAACAGAACTTTCCACTCTTGAAACGACCGACCAAACGAATAGTTTCCTGCAAAACGCACTCCCCTGTTCGCTCCTCTTTTGTTTCCTAGGGGAGGGGCCAATCACCTCCAAGGTGTAGCTTTACTCCCAAATTGACCCTGCTTTCTGAGTAGTTCTTGTCTTCTGGCAGCTCACACTGAGAACGGGCTCCAGCTGTTCCTCTGCCTCACTGCTGTCTATCTCCCTCTCTGCCTCCGACGCAGAGCCCTCGTCCGAGCTTTCCCCGGCCCCCAGGATTGGCCCATGTTCCTCCCCAACCTCCTCACTGGCCACCGATGGGCCACAACACCTTGGCAGTTTGAAGATGGCCAAACTTCACCTCCATCCATCTTCAAAGTGCCAAGGTTTGAAATGAAATCCGTCACTTTTGACAAACACTGCGCTAAAGACTGGAAAACCGCGCCGCTAAACTTGATCGCCGATCTGGCCGAGCGTTAAATAAATCGTGTTTCCACAGGAGAAGAAGGGCTTTGAGCAGAGGTTTGCGAAGGAGCAAGCCACTCTACGAGAACAATTACAGGTAGGTGTAATTACCCTTTGGTATCAGGTTCCCATCCCTTGTCCTGGTGGCCGCCTCCAACTTACAGGAGGAAGCTCCTGGTTTTGTGGGAAGCCGTGTTCGGTTACCCGCTGTCTCCCTCAATGTTCCTGAGCTCATCCCACTCTCCTGGGCTTCCTTTAAAGGTCCACATTCAGACCATTGGCATCCTGGTTTCTGAGAAGTCCGAATTACAGACAGCCCTCAGCCACACACAGCAGGCCGCCCGACAGAAAGCAGGTAGGTACCTGTTCTGACAGGTTTCCCAAGAGCATGAAGCAGACTCCTTATCCTGACAAAACCCCCTTTTTATTAAGTTACTGTGAATTCTTCGCATTCCCATCCAGCAAAGTCTTTCAAGGGCGAATTTACAGTCACAGACCTTATCTGGCTTGGAGAGCTGCCAGGCCGATATCTTCCTAAACTTGGCAAGGAGTTCGGAGACACAAACCAATTAAGCGAACTGATTGTCTCCTGCAAACTCCACTCCCCTTTCGCTCCTCTTTTATTCCCACTGGGAGGGGCCATTCATCATCCACCTGTCTGGCCTTACTCCCAAGTCGACCCTTGTTCTTTAGCTGTTCTCTTCGTCTGGCAGTTCTGCGCATGTGCACAGTGGGAACAGGCTCCAGCTGTTTGTCTGCCTCACTGATGTCTGACTCCGAAGGCAGCTGATAACTGGCATACGGCCCTGGCCCCCTCTCTGCCTCCGACGCAGAGCCCTCATCAAACCCTTCCCCAGACTCCAGGACTGGCCCATGTTCCTCCCCAACCTCCTCACTGTCTGAGTCTGCTGCCAGATCCGCTGGCGGGCCATAACAGTACCCTTTAGAGCGCTCCTCTCCTGGCCGCCTTCCTTATTCAATCACCTGGAGGCATTAGAGACCTGGCATTCTTTTCCCACCGCCTGAGATCTTTTTGTCCCATCTTCAAAGAAATCCACTTCGATAGGCTTGATTTTTTTTTTTTAATTTGATTTATATGCCGCCCTTCTCCAGAGACTCGGGGCGGCTTACAGTGTGTTAAACAATAGCCTTCATACTTTTGTATATTTCATACAAAGTCAGCTTATTGCCCCCACAAACCGGGTCCTCATTTCACCTACCTTAGAAAGGATGGAAGGTTGAGTCAACCTTGAGCCTGAGGAGATTCGATCTTACTTTAATTGCAGACAGCTGGTGTTAAATTACAGTGCTTCTGTCTGTTGAGTTAAACCAGGCTCAATTTAAACTTATCCCGGGTCCGTTCCTTTTCCTTTCTGATCCTGGAGTTGGTTGGCACCAACTCCAGTCCAGCTTTGCTTTTTGGAGCAGCCCAAGTGGTCACTGAATCCTGTTGGCATTGTGGGGTTCAGGTGCGCTTGGATGCCGGCACCCCTAATCTTGGTTTGTTTTTTTTTCCTGGGACAGGGGAAGCTGAGGATCTGGCCGCTAGGCTGCAGTCATCCCGCCAGAGGGTCTCGGAAGTGGAATACACCCTCTCCTCTCTCTCCGTTCAGCAGAAGCAGACAGAGAAAGTAAGCATGGGACATTTCCCCTCTTCTCGTCTTCTTTTGACGCCGTGGCTTCCTTTTTTTGTGAAGTAAGCCCTAGTTCCCTGCCCCAAATGCTTGCCAAGCAAGTAGAAATAGGGTGGTGTGGCCTGTCAACCGCCGGCCCCTCCGGCAGCCAAATCGGATGAGGAGGGAGCATGGGAGTCAGGATCAGCATCAAGGCAACTGAGAGCTCCGAGGGGGGGAAGAGGAAACAGAGCTGTCAGAGAGAGAGAGACAGAGGCAGAGCCTGGGCCGTCCATCAGCCCTCAGATGGAGAGTCAACAGCCCCCAGGTCTGAAGGTGGCTGATGAGGAAGAGGAGGAACAGCTGGGTCCAGTGCCTGATGCACGGATGCGCAGAAGGCAGAGGAGAGGAGAGCAGTGGAAATCTATGGGCCAGTCCTTGGGACGGAAGAGCCACCGCTGCTAGCAAAGCCCCACTCTAGCTCTGGAGATAAAAGGCAGGGGAAGGAGATGAATAGATGTGGCAGACAACTATTCATCTCCTGACTGGATAGACTTGTTAGCCTGAGAGAGAAACTTTTTGCCGGGGCTGCTGGCGCACCTAATAAAGGAAATATTTCGTTACCTACAGAGCCAGGTCAGAACATAAGGGTTTATTCATTTATTTTTTTAAATAGACCTCACACACTTTGCCTTATCTTTGTCAATAAGCACCCAGATCAGCAAAGATTAACTTCAGACCAACCATCAAGTAGTAAACAATATCCCAATCAAGAGGTCTTCCTTCTCCAGCTAAGACCCTTGCTCAATTCTTTAGGGACAAGTAAAGGGGCATTTAACGCAAATAGGGCTGTTAGCATCTTAGCTATACAAGGCAAATTGTTTCCATGGGTGGGGGGGTGGGATGGATGGATACTGGTGAATATTCAGCTTTTCCTGGCTGAATTTTGCTTTGGCAGAAGTCAGTGGGCTAACTCGCTGTCGAATTCTGCGTAGCAGTTTACGAGATCTTGTTTTTTTTTAAAAAACCCATCCGTTCCATACTTTTTTATTTTTTTCAAAGCGGTAAAGGGAATTGGACTGGTCAGTCAATCTGAATTATTTTAATCTAATAACAACAGATGCCGGGGAATTTATATAGAATCCTTAATTTTGGCAGTTAAATGCCCATCACAGGAGGGAGATAATGCCGGTGTTCTCAAGTTTCTTATCTGAAGACATTTCTCCCAGTGAAATATTTGTCTTTTTTTTTTTTAAATGCCTGTTTTGATGGGTTTTCCTTGTTTGACCACAGCACAACAAAGAGCTAGCGAAGGAACGAGATAACCTCAAACTGGAAATGTATAAGCAGAGGTGAGATTTGTCCTTTTTTTGCTTTAGCGCGATTGTTTGCGGTATTGACAGTAACAAAGGAGTGGTGTCATGTCCTAGAGGTGAAGGTCTCACCTCACAATCAGGAGGCTGTGAGTTCGATCCTAGGTAGAGGCAGATATTTCTCACTCTGGGCACACTGAGATTATATCTGCTGAACAAAACTCTGCATTGGTGACAGGAAAAGCATTAGGCCAGTAAACACTCAGCTCCATTCAATTGCCCAAGACTCCGCCCCGCAAGAGATTATGGGGTCATTAAAAGAAGATGATGATGGATAGTAACGAACGAGATCTTCATTTTGTTCTCTGGGGCTGCTCTTTTTCTCTCTCTCTCTCCCTAGTAAAACCAATGAAGAACTCAAGCAGCAGACTTCGGAGTTGTCCGAGAAACTCCATAACCTCATCTCTGAAAATTCAGCCATGAAACTGAACATGGAAGATTTGCACAAGAAACTGGAAATGGCAGAACTGGTGATTCAGCAGGTATCGGCGTTATTGTGACTGCGAGTAGTATTTTAAGCAGAGACCATTCAAAGTTACAACGACCCCTGTGTGTGTGGGGGGGAAACGAAGTCGCAACTGGTTCTGTGGCACTGCAAAAGCCATTTGCAGCATCCGCACGATCAAAAATTTGTGAGCTTGGCAACCAGGTTGTATTTACGACAGTTGCAGTGTCCTGGCGGTGGGGTGGGGTGGGGTGTCATGTGATTTCCATTTGCAACCTTCCCAGCCAGCTTTCCACAAAACCGGTAGGGGGAAAACTTGTATTTGCCTCTGTTTTATACAACCAAGGATAGTGTTAGCTTTTTTGGCTGCTGTCGCACACGGCTGGCTCATGTTTAAGTGATTGTCCATTAGGACTCCAAGGTCCCTCTCACTTTTTTTTTTTTTTTGAGTCAGGTTTCGCCTAATCTGTATTTGTACCTTTGGTTTTTCCTGCCTAAGTGTAAAAACCTTGCTTTTCTCCACATTCAATTTCATGTTGTTGGATAGAGCCCATTGTTCAAGTCCATCAAGATCTTTTTGGATCCTGAACTTTTTTTCTGGGGTGTTGGCTCCTTGTAGTCTTTCCCCAGTCCCCCCAAGAATTGTATGAAGCATGCTATGCTAAGCCACCTGAGTCTCCCTAATTCACTACTCTAACTCAGCAGTCACCAACTGGGGGTCCGCAAGAAAATTTTGGTGGTCCGCAGAAAAATTATTTGCATTTTTTATATTGCACTAAATCAGGGGTCCTCAAACTACGGCCTCTGGGAGATACATGCAATGAACGCTTGTCTTGCTGCAGAGAGTCTCCCCCTTCAGGGTCTTTTTGTGTGGGTCAGAGAGGGGCAGAAATTCTGACTCGGGATCTGCTTCAGCCTCCTGGTGTGGGGCTTTGGGCGAAGGCTGGAGGGAAATGCCTCTGGTGGCAAAGAGCCGGAGGGCCTCGTTCCAGTGGGGCAGCCTCATGGCCTGGAACTGGCTGACCATCTCAGCCCGCTGAACCTCCAGGCACCGGTATCTGGCCTTGCACTCTCGCAGTTCTTCCCTCTGCTTGGAAAACCTATGCTCCTAGTCCTCAGTGAGGTGCTTCTGCTGAGCCTCCTTCTTGGTCAGATCCAATTTGAACTGAGCCAGCTGTTTTGCCAACTCTTTCTTATGGTGACTGCTTCCTGTTGGGGCCCTCAGCAGCCCGGGCGGGGAGGGGAGGAGTGGCTGGGTGGGGAGGGGCGAGTAGAGCCGGCGAGGCGCCCCTCGACATGAGTGACATTGAGTTGGCCATGCCCACTCAGTCACATGACCACCTAGCCACCCTCACCCAGCCGGTCAGTAGGCACAATCATATTAGTGGTGCGCGGGATTTAAAATTATGAATTTAGTGGTCCCTGAGGTCTGAAAGGTTGGTGGCCCCTGCGCTAACTAATGCACCACTCTGGACCTCACCTTGACAAATCTCTCCTGGACAAGGGGAGAGAAGATTCATTTCATTTCATTTTCATTTTATTAAATTTGTATACCGCCCTACTCCCGAAGGACTCAGGGCGGTGAACAGGCACGAAATAAAACACATAAATACAAAAGTTAAGACATGATTAAAACCCAATTAAATAATTTTTGCCCGAGACAATTTAAAACTCCCAATAATTTAAAACGAATTAAAATTTGAGTTTAAAAATTTAAAAGAACGGGAAAAGATAATGGAACAAGTTGGACTTGGATAACTGTGTGGGTTTTTTTTTACCCTTCTACTAGTTTTCAAGCCAGCCAGGGATCTCAGATGCTACTGCTCAGCAGCTACAGGCCGCCCTGGAGGAAAGAGGCAACTTAGAAAGTCAAATTGCCCAGGTAAGGTGGATGTCCAAAGGGCATGATTTGGAAAAAGGCCAGGGATTTGGCCTTGATGGCAGTGGTTCTTCGAGAATCTGATTAGCACCCACCCGACTCTTCTCTTTCCTTCTTCCCCACTGAGCAGCTGTCAGAGTCTTTGCAGAAACTGCAGGCCGAACGCGATCAATACGTCCTGCGCCTGAAGGAGGAAGGGAACATCTGGCAGCAGCGAGTCGAGCTCCTCTCCGAACAGGTGAGGGCTATACCTGTGAGATCCTTTGGGGATCTCTAATGTTTTCGGAGGTTGCCCTTCAAGCTTGGTACAACTGGGTTTCCCATAGGTCCGGGCTCTGATGGGAGAGAAAGAACTCAGCGAGATTCGGATTGGGGAGCTGGAGACCAACCTCTCAGAGCTGCTCAGCAGTCAGTCAGGTAAATGCCGGCGTTCGCAACCGCCAAAGTGCCTCCTCCTAGTCACCTGATTCACCCCGTCTGTCTTCTCTAAGTTGGGGCGCGGTGGCTTAATAACACAGGAGATTATCTTTGCTCCAGCGGTTCAAGTCCCAGCACCGTGTGAGTTCCCATCACTCACTTCAGCTCCTGCCCAGTTAGCAGTTCTATGCGAGTGTTGTGGTCCGCCAGCAGACTGCGGAGCTGGCAGCAGTCGGACAGTGAGGAGGCTATGGAGGAACATGGGCCAGTCCTGAAGTCTGGGGAAGGCTCGGATGAGGGCTCTGCGTCAGAGGCAGAGATGGGGCCAGGGCCACCTGGGAATGTGCGGACTCTGGAGCCTTCAGAGTCGGACATCAGAAAAGTAGAGGAACAGGGGGAGCCTATTCCTAGTGCGCGCATGCGCAGAGCTGCCAGAAGGCAGGAACAGTTAAAACAAAAGAGGTGACTCGGAAGTAAGGCTTGGAGATGATTGGCCCCTCCCATAAGACATAAAGGAAGAGCAAAAGCACGTGGGCCTTTGCAGGAAGCAACGTTGTGGATGGTGTCGGTTTGTACTTTGAAGCTCTGTTTTTGATTCTGTGTTTCCGTGTGTCTTTGCCAAGATAATTGCCAATTAGGTCTTTGGCAGCGTGTCAAAGAAGATGAAGGTGGGTGTTTACCAGCCTTATTTGAAGGACTGTGGCAGACTTCCGTTGGACTATTTATAAACTCTTGGTGATTCAGCACGTGCTGTGAATGAAAGGAATTCACAGCCGTTAAAATAAAAAAAAAGAGTCGGGACTAATTGTGTGCTTTTTACTATATTGGGAAGCCTAGGTCAGAACAGCAAGTAGATAAATAGGTACCACTTCAGTGGGGAGAGGAGCCGGTGCTTCATGCGGATGGTTAGAATCCTGCTGGCACTGGGCCTTCCGAGTTGCAAGGCCCATTTGCAAGGCGGCTTTGGCAGAAGGAGAGGGCCTCGGAGGACCCTGCAAGAAAGCCGTTCGTTTTTTCTTTCTGGTGTGGAACTAGCTCGCCCCCTCTAGCACATCTCAGAAAAGCATGAACCAAACAGCAGGCGAACTACTACTCTGCGTTAGCATTATAGTCCGACTAACGTATCATCGCTATACACGAAAACAAATCTTCTAAATCCAGCAGTCTTTCCTCCATACATCAGTAGCTCGGCGGAAAGATCCCTCTGCTCAGAGGTGGTATTCAGCCGGTTCAGATCGGTTCGCACCGAACCGGTTGCGGAAATAGCAGGTGGGCCTGCCCACCTACCCCTCCTCTATGCCGTCCTATTTAGGCACGTTTTTGAGGCACGGAAGGCCGGGCGCATGTAATGGAAGGCAGGCGCACGTGCAAATTGGGCGCACATGTGTACGGAGCGGGTGTGCGCGCAGGGGACGAACCAGTAGTAACATAACGTGAAACCCACCGCTGGACTCTGCTGCAGCACGTTGGGTGCTTGCTCCAAGATGGTGGTCAGGGACAGAGGGTGGGGAAGATGATCATGTCTCCGGCTAGGTTTCCCATTAGAGTTGGCTCGATCCGAGGACGTTAGCCGTAAATTAAGCCGCCTTTCTCCTCCACCGGATTCCACAGCGGTGAAGGCCCAGGAAACGCAGCCCGTCCCTGCTGCCCCGGGGCCTTCGCCAACGGAAGTGCACCTCCAAGAGGAGCTGGCACGGCTGGAGAAGGAGAAGGAGGAGCTGCTGGACCGATGGCAGACCCAGGTGCGAGACAACGGGCAGCTGAGCCAGCTCAACCAGGAGCAGGAGGAGCGGCTTCAAGAGCTGGAGAAGGCGTTGCAGCGCTACAGCGAGGAAGCCGTGGACAAGCAGCAGATCTTGGAAAACATGCAGAGCGACAAAGCTACCATCAGCAGGGCCATAACCCAGAACCGGGAGCTGAAGGAACAGCTGGCGGAGCTGCAGAACGGATTCGTCAAACTGGTGCGTTTCCCCCCCCCCCCCATCCGAGGCCGAGGCGTAAGTCCTCGGGTTATGACCATAATGGAGCCTTATGCCCGAAACTCCGGACAGCAGAGGCAGGGGTACTTTTGAACGTCCCAAATTGAAATCCCAAATTTGAATCCCACATTGTTTTATAGCTCCGTCCGTCTTATTTATAGAGAAGATTTTTTGCTTAAATCTGTTATGTTTGCCTCTTTAACTTTATTTCCTAAACATCTCTCATCCGTTTGATTTGGGTACAATTAGTCCTCGACTTAATAGCAGTTCGCTTTAATGACCGTTCGAAGTTACAATGGCACTGAAAAAAGCGTTTTAGGACTATTTTTCACACTTATGACCGTTGTAGCATCCCCATGGTCCTGCGCTGCTTGGCAACTGACTCACATTTATGACCGTTTCAGTGTCTTAGAGTCACGCGATTCCCTTTTACGACCTTCTGACAAGCCAAGTCCATGGGGGGAGCCTGATTCACGTAACAACCGTCTGGCTAATTGTAACAATTTATTTATTATTTATTTATTTATTCAATTTCTATACCGCCCTTCTCCCGAAGGACTCAGGGCGGTGAACAGTTAAAATAATATACATATAAAATGTGAATATAAGATGATTAAGCCAATTAACAAACTTAACAAACAAGCTTAACAATTAACAAGCTTAACAAACGCAGCAAGAAAATGTGGCAAAACCCCCTTAACAAATTTCTCACTCAGCAACCTAAATTTTGGGCTCAAATCGTGATCGTAAGTCGAGGCCTACCTGTATTTCCCTTGAACCATCTCTTCCCCTTTCCTCTCCTTTTCAGACCAATGAGAACATGGAGATCACGAGTGCCTTGCAGTCTGAACAGCACGTGAAGAAGCAGCTGGCCAAGAAATTGGGAGAACTTCAGGAGAAGCTGGTGGACTTTAAGGAGAAGGCAAGGCTCTTTGGACTTCTGAATCCAGTCTGGCTTTTATTCCTGGGAGCAGAACTATTTTTTGCACAGGTGGCTGTGGATTTTGGGGGTTAGGCTGCATAGTGCAGCTTTCCAACACAAGAATTTGGAACTACTTGGCTCAGTGGGAATCCAGCTCCTTGTTGTCAGACCATTTGTTTCAAAAGCACCGTTGGTTGATTGCCCCTGCAATCCTTCGTCTTTGACTAGAGCAGTGATGGCAAATCTTTTCGGCACCGAGTGCCAAAAAGGGAGCGTGCGCGTACACTCATCGGGGCCGCAACCCGGAAGAGGAACTGCCCAGGGGGCATGCGCGCACCAGGAAATGAACTTCTGGTTTCCGGCTTGTGTATGCGCACCAGCCAGCTGATCTTCCAGTTTCCAGACAATCAGCTGGCGTGCATGCATCCGCCATAAACCAGAAGACCAGCTCTTCCAGTTCCCTGTACTGCCGTATGCATGAAGGCCAGCTGATTGTCATGCGCACATGCGCACCAGAAACCCAGAAAAGGAACAGGAGATGCTGCACATGCCAGGCGACATGGCTCTGCGTGCCACTTCGGGCATGTGTGCCATAGGTTCGCCATCATGGGACTAGGGTTTCTCGGCGCTGGCCCCTCTAAGATAGGTGGATTCCCAGAATTCCATGGCGGCTGGGAAACTCGGGGAGTTGAAGTCCACCTATCTTAAAGTTGCCAAGGTTGAGCCACTCTCTGGTCTGGATTTTCAGGGAAGCAAAATTGATCTTCTTCTTAAACATGAAATCATGGCTGAGATGCCCTCAAACTGGGGAGAATTGGTTTTGGGGAGGGGGGGAGAATCTTGGGGAAGGCAATATGTCACCCTTGATCGGGTTTAAGCTTGATCCTAGTGATGCTGTCAGGAGAGCTTCAGCTCCTATACATAGTTATGGGAGATGCTGGGAAGAGATGTTGTTGGATGAGATCTTCGTTCACTGGGTCTTGTTCCATCCAAGATGGCTCTGAAGACCCACGAAGCTCAGGACTTCCAGGACCAGAGGGATCAGTATTTGGCCCACCTCCAGCAATACACTGCAGCCTATCAGCAACTGACGGTTGAGAAGGAGGAGCTACACAAACAGTACCTCCTGCAAACCCAGCTCATGGACCGTCTGCAGCACGAGGAAGTCCAAGGCAAGGTGAACGCCGAGATGCACTTCAAAGAACTTCAGAAAGCTAAGGTGAGCCCTGCAGATTTGACCTCTGGATTCTCTTTCGGGAAAGCCAACAGATAGATGTGGCTAGCACTGATGAGGTTCCCTAGTTGGGTCATGAAACGTTTGCAAGAAAACAGCCAAAGCATCAAGGACCCCACACTCCTCCTCCTCCATCCTTCTTCTCTTTCTCCTCCTCCTCCTCTTCCTCCTCACAAACCCCACTCCCTTCTAGCACTGATGATTTTTCCTAGTTGGGTCATGAAACGTCTGCCAGAAAACTGCTAAGCTAAGAAAGCATCAAGGACCCTACAATCCTCCTCCTCCTCCTCTCCAAAAACCCCACACTCTTCATTTGTTGATGAAGTTCCCTAGTTGGGTAATGAAACGTCTGTAAGAAAACCACCTGGCTCAGAGAGCACCAAGGACCCCATGGTTAGATCTAAGCTTGAGAGCATCTGCACCATCCAGATTCTCTACCAAGCGGAGCTTGATGGTTGCAAAGGGTTGATGTGCCTTCAGATGGCTCTCTCCATCTTTTCTTCAATGCAGGGATGTTATTTGGCCTTTGTCGGCCATCATATCGTGTAGGAAGTCAAGCATGGAGGGGACGAACCTGAGAAAGGGCTGCTCGGTTGAAAAAAGCTGTCTGTCAACATGCAGCTTGAGTATCCAAATAAAAACCCAGGATCATTTCGATTCTGAAAAGCTTACTGTTTATTGAATACATAGCGTAGGAAGGTTGAGGTAAAACTAACTGTGAATTTCAAAGGCACTAGTTCACAGTATTAAACAATCAATTTCCCAGCCCGGGTGTCAGCAACCTGGGGCTCCGGAGCCGCATGTGGCTCTTTGGGCCCTCTGCTTTGGTTCTCTGTCAGGTGATCCTACCATTGGCTGGCCCTGCCCCTCGCCCTCCCTTCCCAGTCACTCCTCACCTGGTCTGAGAAGGTAAGGGCGACGGTGGGGGATGGAGAAGCAGCCAGGGCAGAGAGACAGAGAGAGAGTGAGAGGAGAGGAGGGGAAAGGGAGGGAGGGGAGAGAGAGATGTCAAAAGGATTTTGTGGTTCCTGGTGTTTTTTAACAACTGGTTCTCTGCCCTAATGACCAGCTGGGTAGGCATGGCTAGGGGGTCATATGACTGGTGGAAATGAGTGACATTGTGTTGGCCACGCCCACCCAGGTTTTGTGGCTCCTGGTGTTTTCTTTTTTGTGGGAAACGGGTCCAAATGGCTCTTGGAGTGTTTAAGGTTGCAGACCCCTGTCCCACCCCAACCCCCCAGGCTTCCACGTAGATGGTATTAAAAAGTCCTCTTTGTTATGGGAACCATCTGCCGCCTTCAGCACACCTGTTGATCTGACCTTGAAAAGTTTCCAGAGTCTCCCAAGCTCCCTTTGGAACTGCAGAAGTTTCCTTTCTCCAAATTAACCCATTTGTAGTCAACATCCCCCCCACCTCCCTTACTCTAATGACAGGTTGAAATGAAGAGGCACATAGCTGCCCATGTTACATTCTTGACACAGGTTTTGGTGAAAACAGGAAAGATTAGGGATTCCTAGGTTTCTTTCACAAACATTGCTGGAGTAATTTGGCCAGGATTATTCTCAACCTCCTGATGTGAAGTTGGAACAGTTACTGAAAAAAAGACCTTCCTGTCCCAACAGAAAACCCTGGAATCCATTTCTAAGGAGAACAAGGAGCTTCAAGCCCAGGTCACCCAACTCATGGCCGAACTGGACGAAAGGATGCTACCCAGGGCCCAAGGTGAGTAGGATTGGGATGGGACGAAGCACGGACCGTCGGATCCCAGCTAAAGGTGATCCCTACCATCCTCTCTTACGGCTTTGCAGGAGATGGAGTGGAAGCGGCCGAGTTTGTGGACTCAAAGACATCTCAGCTCAGCATTCCGGAGGATTTCGAGAGTAAAGAGGAAATGGTGAGCCCCTCCGTTCTCCTCCCTTGCTGTTGTTGTGGCCCGCCAGCAGAGCTGGCAGCAGATTCGGACAGTGAGGAGGTTGGGGAGGAACATGGGCCAGTTCTGGAGTCTGGGGAAGGGTTTGATGAGGGCTCTGCGTCGGAGGCAGAGAGGGGGCCAGGGCTGTCTGACAGTTATCAGCTGCCTTCGGAGTCAGACATCAGTGAGGCAGAAGAACAGCAGGAGCCTGTTCCCACTGTGCACATGCGCAGAGCTGCCAGACGAAGGGAACAGCTAAAGAACAAGGGTCGACTCAGGAGTAAGGCCACAGGTGGACAATGAACGGCCCCTCCCAGAGGGAATAAAAGAGGAGCGAAAGGGGAGTGGAGCTTGCAGGAGACAATTAGTTCGCTTAATTGGTTCGTGATTCTCCGTGATTTCTTGCCAAGTTTTGAAGATATCGGCCTGGCAGCTCCCCAAGCCGGATAAGGTCTGTGACTGTAAATTCACCCTTGAAAGACTTTGCTGAATGTGAATGCGAAGAATTCACAGTAACTTAATAAAAAGGGCTTTTTGTTGGGACAAGGAGTCTGCTTCGTGGTTTGGGGAAGCCTAGGTCAGAACAGCCGTTTGTGCTAACTCCGTTGCCTGAATTGTGACCACAAGGGCAGTGCAAAGGTCGTGAGGGCCACTGCAAGTCAAAAGTGGCATTTTCCAAAGCTGTCATAACTTCGGTCTGTTAAACCAGTGGTCATAAGTCGAGGGGAGGTCAGCCACAAGAGCAACTGGGCTGGGAGGAAGCATGGTCCTAAATCCCAGACACCCTTCTGCTCCGGATGTCAGCGTCCCAGCACTGACACCCTAAGAGTTTGAAGTTTGAAATTTATAGCCGTGCCGCCCCGCTCAAATCGCCCAGCCTTCCTTTCCTAGGTGGCTTTCTTGACCTCCGCCGTGTCCCAAGCGGAGGGCGAGCGCGAAGAGATCAGACACCAGCTGATGGAAAAGAAAAAACAGTGCAGGGAGCTGTTGCAGCAGATCGCTAGCCTGAAGAAGGAGCAGCAGCTGCAGCTCACATCCACAGGAGGTAAGAGACCCACGCTGGAGAAGGGAGACCCCCCTCCCCACCGACCTTCCTCCTTGGGCTGTGCAAAGGCCCCTGTGCTCCTGTGACTCTCACACTCCGCGTCTCACTATTTCAGGCTCCGATGCCGATTCGGTTCCAGGAGAGGTCCATGAAGCCTTGAAAAGCGCCATGGAGAAGCTGCAGGTGAGCCTTTGGGAGACTCCTAAATGTCGACATTACGGTAACTTTGGGGTTTGTGATGCTCTCTGAGCTGAGTGGTTTTCTTTCAGACATTTCATGACCCAATTAGCTAACAGCATCAAGGCTACAAGGGAGAGAGAGCAAATCCCACATCTTTCTGATGCTGTTACCTACCATGTTTCCCCGAAAATAAGACCCTGTCTTATATTTTTTTGAACTCTGAAATAAGCGCTTGGTCTTATTGCCATGCGCTCAAAAGCCCGATTGGGCTTATTATTAGAGGATGTCTTATTTTGGGTGAAACAGAGTATCTAGCTATCTAATCTGTCAGTTATCTATATCTACATTTCAATCTATATATCTATCTGCTATCTATCTATCTGCTACCTCTCTCTCTCTCTGCTATCTATCTATCTATCTATCTATCTATGAAATGAATAGATGAAATGAAATATTTTCAAGAAAACAATCAAGCTCAGAGAGCATGAAGGACCACACAGTTGTTGTCATCCTCCTCCTCCTCCCATATACCCCATTCCCTCCTAGTACTGATGATGTTACCTACTTGGGTCATGAGACGTCTGTAAAAAAAAAACCCACCAAGCTCAGAGGGCGCCAAGAACCCCTCAGTTCAACCCTGAACTACAAATACTCTCTTCTGTTATGATAACTGAATTATCTTCGCCCAGGATAAATTCCAAGGAAGTTCCACCTTGCTTCAATTTTAAATAACCGCAACTCAGTCGTTGTAAGGTACCTTGTTACCTTTCAAGAAGCTCCAGGTCTCTGCTTGAAGGCTCATTTTGAAAATCTCTGGCCCGCTTCTCAGTGGAAGCGACGGAAGCCCTTTCCCTCTTGACTGATCTCTTCCCGGAAGGAAGTTCAAGAGACGCTTCCAAGAACGACTTCCTAAATTAGCATCCTTTGGGTGAAGATGCTTGGGGAATAATCCTTGTTGGGAGAATTGTGGCTGTCTTCCCCTCCTTTCAGCCACGCAATCTCCTTTTTTCTGCTCCACCTTGTAGCTCCGATTCACGGACCTGATGCGTGAGAAGGTGGAGCTGAAAGAGCGCGTGGAAGAACTGGAGCACCACTGCATCCAGCTGTCCGGAGAAACGGACACCATAGGTAAGCCTGACCCATCTGTCTGATAAATTTACCCTGTTTCCCCAAAAATAAGACCCAACCGTAAAATAAGCCCTAGCATGATTTTTTCAGGATGTTCGTAATATAAGACCTACCCCCAAAATAAACCCCAGTTAAGATTGTCAGCCAGATGGATGCATTTAGTATCGTATTTCCCCAAAAATAAGACCTAATCAGAAAATAAATCCTAGCATGATTTTTCAGGATGCTCGTAATATAAGCCCTACCCAAAAAATAAGCCCCGGTTAAGATCGTCAGCAGATGGCGGCGTATAGTACCGTATTTCCCCCAAAATGAGACCTAACCAGAAAATAAGCCCTAATGCGCCTTTTGGAGCAAAAATTAATATAAGACCCGGTCTTATTTTGAGGGAAACACGGTAGCATTATCATTTTGCTTGAACATTGGGCCCTATCACAACACAATGAAAATTTCAGTGGTGAAAAAAGGAAGGTTCTACATTTAGGCAAGGAAAACCAAATGCACAGGTGTAGTATAACTGTGAGAAGGATCGTGGAATCCTTGTGAACAATCACTTACCGTATTTTTCGGAGTATAAGACGCACCTTTTTCCCCCCTAAAAGGGGGTGAAAATTTGGGTGCTTCTTACACACCGAATGTAGCCCCGCCCACCCACTGGCCCCTACCCTTTGGCCTCTGCCTCCCAACAGTTTACCTCCTTGCAGTAAGCAGCAAGAAAAAACAGCTCCTTTCAGCTTCAGCACAGCCTAATTAGCCCAAGTTGATTGGATCGGCCTCCCCACTCTCAGTTGTTTTGCTCCCAGCTGTTTTGTGCGGGCTTCTGCTGCTTGCTGCAGGGAGTAAATTGCTGGGAGCAGATTTTTTGTCCTTGTGCTAATCAAGCTATGCTGAAAACGAAAGTAAAACAGGCTGTTCACTGTTTGCTGCAATGAGGCAAAATTGCTGGGAGGCAGAGGCAGATTTCTTTTTCTTGTTTTCCTCACCAAAAAAGGTAGGTGCGTCTTATAGTCCGGTGCATCTTATACTCCGAAAAATACGGTAACTATGAGCCAGCCATCTGCAGCAGCTGCCAAAAAAGCCAACACAGTTCTAGGCTGCATAAGCTGGCATAGAATCAAGATCGCGGGAAGTGTAGATACCGTTTTTTAAGGGCCACACTTGGAATACTGCATCCAGTTCTGGTCGCCACGATGTAAAAAAAAGATGTTGAGACTCTAGAAAAAGTGCAGAGAAGAGCCACAAAGATGATTAGGGGACTGGAGACTAAAACGTAGGTAGAACGGTTGAAGGAATTGGGTATGACTGGTTTAATGAAAAGGACTAAGGGTGTCAGGAGTCTTCCAATATTTGAGGGGCCACCACAAAGAATAGAAGGGGTCAACCTATTCTCCAAAGCACCTAAAGGCAGGACAAGAAGCAATGGATGGAAAGTAACCAAGAAGAGATCCAACCAGAGATGGCATTCAGCCGGTTCGTGCGAACCGGTAGCAACAAAATATGAAACCCACCGCTGGATCCAACCTAGAAATGAGACATTTCCTGACAGAACAATTAATCAGTGGAATGGCTTAGCTCCAGACGTTGTGGGTGCTCCATCACTGGAGGTTTTCAAGAAGAGACTGAACAGCCAATTGTCTGATACGATCTAGATCAGCGGTCACCAACTGGCGGTCCGTGGACCACTGGCGGTCCACAAGAAAATTTTGGTGGTTGGCAGAAAAATTATTTGCATTTTTTATCTTGCACTAAATCAGGTCCTCAAACTGTGGCCCCTGGGCCGGATATATGCAATGAAAGTTTGTGTTGCTGCAGAGTCCCCCCCCCTTTGGGGTCTTTTTGTGTGGGTCGGAGGGGGGCAGAAATTCCGACTCGGGGTCTGCTTCAGCCTCCTGGTACGGGGCTTTGGGCGAAGGCTGGAGGGAAGTGCCGCTGGTGGCAAAGAGCCGGAGGGCCTCGTTCCAGTGGGACTGCATCATGGCCTGGAACTGGCTGACCATCTCAGCCCGCTGAGCCTCCAGGTGCCGGTACCTGGCCTTGCACTCTCATAGGTCTTCCTTCTGCTTGGAAAGCCTATGCTCCTAGTCCTCAGTGAGGTGCTTCTGCTGAGCCGCCGCCTCGGTCAGATCCAATTTGAACTGAGCCAGCTATTTTGCCAACTCTTTCTTGTGGTGGCTGCTTAGCTTCAACAACTGCTTCCTGTTGGGGCCCTAAGGAGCCCAGGCAGGTGGCGAGGAGTGGCTGGGAGGGGAGGGGCGAGTAGAGGCCAGGAAGGCGCCCATCGATGCGAGTGACACCGATTTGGCCATGCCCACCCAGTCACATGACCACCTAGCCACGCCCACCCAGCCAGTCATTAGGCAGATCATATTAGTGGTCCACGGAATTTAAAATTGTGAATTTAGTGGTCCCTGAGGTCCGAAAAGTTGGTGACCCCTGGTCTAGAGAGCTTCCTGCCTGAGCAGGGGGTTGGACTAGAAGACCTCCAAGGTCCCTTCTAACTCTTGTTATTCTGTTAAAAGCGTTGGCCCGAGTTGGTATGAACCACACAGCTCTGGGCATCAGTGTATTTATTCCATCCCGGTTGTCTTCTCCTAACCCTGCAGGCGAATACATTGCCCTGTACCAGAGTCAACGAGCAATTCTCAAACAGCGCCATCGGGAAAAGGAAGACTACATCAACCGGCTGGCTCAAGACAAGGAGGACATGAAGGTCAGGCCAAAATCCTCTTTCCTGGCCGTCCCAATCAGGATTGGGCCCTGTCAAGTTGGGCGCAGCCCAGGCGATACCTGGACTGCATTTGTCTCTCCTTTTGCGACCGTCGGTCCTCATTTAAAGCATGGTGTCTCAGTTCACTTACCTTCCCTACCGGTTCGCAAATGTGAGCGTGCGCGGCCTTCTGCGTGCGTGCATTACATCCGGGCATGTGGGCGGAGCCTCCCACAGTCACCCCTACCGGTTTGCCCGATCTGGAGCGAACCGGCTGAATTCCCCCCTTAGGTATTGCTGCTACCTTTCTGCTCCCAGGAACGAAGACCTTCTGTTCCTTCCCCAAGTACGTAGCTTTTCGAGCGACTTAGCAGATGCCCAGAGAGACACGACAGACAGACGGTGAAGCCGAAGATTCATGAGGACTAGCCCCTTAATATTTGTAGCTTAGCTAACCAGAAGTGGGGAAGGAAGCCTTTGGTGCGCTGGGAGGCCCCTCCCCCGCCCCTCGGTGCTTCTTTCCATTGTCCCCTTTAGGTTCTTTTTTGTTGTGGTTGCAGATGAAGTTACTGGAGCTGCACGAACTGGTGATGCGCTTGGTGGGCGAGCGGAATGATTGGTACACTAAGTACACGATGGCCACGCAGACCGGAGAGCCACAGCCCGGGCACGAGAGGGAGGCCGGCGCCCAGGCGGACGGCGTCTTCGAATCGAACGCTTCCAAGGTGGCAGGTGAGAGGCAGGAAACGGGGGAAGGGGAAGGGGTCATCTAGGTAAAGACCCTACTGTATCCCCCATATCTGGACTCCTGTCCCTCCCCTTCCCCATCCTACCCCATCATTATCTGGCTCGGGAATTCTGGGAATTGAAGTCCGCACATTTTAAAAGCGGCCAAGGTTGAGAAATACAGCTTTAGAGTGTACAGGTAATCCTTGACTTAACGACAGTTTGTTTAGCGACTGCTCTAAAAGTTACGATGTCAGTGAAAAAGCGATTTCAGACTGTTTTTCATACTTACGAACCATGATCATGTGATTAAAATTGGACGCTTGGCAACCGGTTCATATTTATGACGGCCACAACGTCCTGGGGGGGTGGGAAGAGGGGGTTCACGTGATTTCCCTTTTGTGACCTTCTAACAAGCAAAATCAACGGGGGAAACCAAATTCTCCTCACATCCGTGAAATGCAGCGATTTGCTCAACCAACACTGGTGAAAAAGGCCGTAAAAACGGGGCAAAACTCCCTTAACCAAGGTCTCCCTTAGCCACCTAAAATTCTGGGCTCAATTATGGTCATACGTCAAGGACTACCTGTACAACTCCATCACTGAAGCTCCATTTCTCTCCCCCCCCCCACTCCCGGCCCCACTTTTTGCTTTCCAGACCTGCAAGAAGTGAGCCTGACGGACAGGCCCGAAGTGGACGCCGTCGCTTCACAATCCCACCCATCCCACAGCGACCCCCAGGGCCCCCAGCCCGCTCCTCGGGACCCCACGGCCCAGCAGATCCTGCGGCTTCTCCGCGAAATTCAAAACCCGCAGAATCGGATGGGACCCCTCTCGGAAACCCTGTGCATCCCGTTTTTCTATCGGGTGGATGAAAACGACGAAGTGAAGCTTCTGGTGGTTTAACCTGGAACGGACATTGTGGGCTCCCGAGGGGCCGGGTGCGGTGAGGGGACTGGGCTGCCTCGAGGGCATGCACTGGATGGGCCAAGCTTTTTGTGCTGGCTGTGAATCATACCGTCATCCAGTAAAGCTCAGTATTTTCCGCCACCCAACGACCCATTGGTTCCTCCCGGTTCAGGAGGGTTCCTCCCATTGGTTCGCGGCCTGCGAATTTCATTCTCTCTACCACGGTTACTTAGCCTCTCCCCCTTTGGTTATTTCGGCTTTCTTTAGATCAGATTTTATGCCCTTCTTCCAAAATCTTCCTTCCCCTCTTTTAACTTGCATGATCCCAATCCCACAAACCCCACCCCCACCCCACCCCCTGGCCATCTCTCTTCCCCCTTGCCCCAAATCCTCTCGTTCCAGTTACAACATTCGGAAAGGGCTCCGGGCTCCTTGAAGCCAGACGGTTTTGCGGGGAGGGGTATAAAAGCTTCATTATTATTTTTTAAAACTGGATGTAACGTTTGCATTAAGAGGTGGAGGGTTTTTATTTATTCTTCAAAGATGCGGAAGGCAAGCTCGGAAAAAAGGAACAGACGGGTGGGTGGGTGGAGGAGTCAATTCCACCTCTCGCGCGCGGAATCTCTTTTCTCCCGGGTCGAGCCAAACTTTATTTCAACCATCTAGATATTTTGAAATAGATTTCGATGGTTGACGGTTTCTCTTCTTTCAATCTCTGAGCCCCCCCGCGCCCCCCCTTCTCCCGCATGTGGAGCGTGACGGAAGAATTCACTTTATTTGTGAGAGTGTGAAGCAGGTTTGATTGAAATTGGTGGTGATTTGGTGTGCTTGGCACAAGATCCCGTTTTAGAAGGACAACGACACATGTGTAACAAAAAAAAAAGGATTAGGAGGCGACCCAGCTGTCTAGTTTTTAGCCCAGGTTCCTTGCTCCCGGGAAAGAGACACCGGCCAAGTTGCGTTTTCCTCCTGGGACAGTTTGCTAAGAAAGAAGCCTACCTAAAGCACGGAGGGAAGTTCGAAAACCAAAAAGAAACTTCCGCTCCAATTTTCTAGCAAAATCGCACGTTGACTACCCACTGTCTTTGCAGCTTGTAAAGCAGAATACGGCAAAAAAAAAAAAAAACGACAACACCCACAAAAGCCGGACTGTTTTCCACCATCAGTGTTACTCATTCCCTGGGTGCGTTAGGTCAGGAGGCTGGCGAAAGGGCTCGCGAGTCGCTGTTGGCACAAGTGTACATATTGTATCTGTGTAATATTTTTGTACATACCTTGAATAATAATAATAATAATAAAAGAGAGAGAGAGAATAAAGCCACGGGCAGCGTTTTTCTGGCTGCCGGAAGGCTATCCTGGTAACCTTGTACGATATTTGGGGAAAAAAAGAAATTAACTCTAGTTGAGGTGGGAGGTGCAAAGCAGAACAGGAATGTGATTTACTATAGAATATTATTCCATATTTATTAGGTGTGGGGTTTCCGGGGGGGAAACGTGAAAAACAAAGCAAAGGAAGGAAACAGCCAGAGTGAACTCTCGTATTCTGTTGCCGAGACAAATTATATCCTGTTATAAAAAAATTGGTCTTTCTGAATAAATCTGTTTCACTTCACTGATGTTGCACATTGCTCTTCTGTCCATCAGAAGCATCTTTGGTGGGGGGAAGGGGCGTTGTCTGCCAAATAAGCTTTGCTTCATTTAGTGACTGTTCAAAATTACAAGGGCACTGAAAAAAAGTGATTTACGACCGATCTTCACACAATTGTTTGACCCCCATGGACAGGGTATCAAAATTCAGACTCTCGGCCACTGGTTCATATTTACGACGGTCGCAGTGTCCCAGAGTCACGCGATCCCATTTTGCGAACTTCCGAGCAGCAAAACGGAGAAAGCCTGATTTGCTTAACCACCGGGTTACTCATTTATCAACCACAGTGATTCACTTAACCACTGTGCCAAGAAAGGTCATAAAATGGAGCAAAACTCACTGAATCGATGTCTCATTTAACAACAGAAATGTTGGGCGCAATTGTGATCGTAAGTCGAGGACTACCTGTATCTTCCCTTTTTTTGAAGGAAAAAAAAATCACAAATTTTTAAGTGAGGAAATAAATGATATTTGTGTTCATATATTCCCTCAGCGTGGCCCCATTTGGAGGTTTAAAGAACAGCCTGTTCCTTCAGTTTTGTTACTTATGGTTGTGAAATCGCTTTCGTTGTGTGTTTGGCTTCTTGTGAGATACAGCGGGATTTTTTTCCCCTTCCAGACTGGATCCGGCGTAGTTTTGGTTTCTGTTATTTTTTGGCATGAGAACTACTAGAAAAGGAAACGTCGGTTTAACCCACGGGAATGTGAACTGAGGTGACCCCGAGTTAATTCAGATATATCCTCGGATCATTGCAACTCCTTTTGTTTTGCAATCTGGCTTGTTGTAGTAAATTACTCCCATCAGTGGCTGCGTTCACACATGTTTGGTCCAGTTGCCAAAAGATTTGTAAAGATTTTACGATGCCGTAAATCCTACAAAACCCATGTTAAAACGAACCGAGTTGATCTCCTGGAACAAACTCACACGTGGTGTGAAAGACCACCAAAATGTATTGCAAGAAAGGGACGGCAAAGAAACTTAATCTATATATATAAAAGGCCAAATCCACTCACTCATCACTAAATCTCCAGAACTGTAAAGCCTACAAACTTGAAATTTGGCACGTACGTTCCTCTTGGCTTCTAGGTGCTCCCTAAAGAAAGGATTTTTTGAAATGACCATCAGATGATTAGTATTTCATATACAGTATATTAACATGCTCTGATGCTAAGAAGTTAGACATTCTACTCCCCCTCCCCACCTGAAAAGAACTCTGTTCCAACTGCCACTTGCCTCACATTCCGTTACCTCAGTTTAAACTGGCAGATGGTCCACTCCTTCACTCAGGAGCAGTCTGGGATTCCTTACAGTACTAAATGTCGCTATCTCACCAAAATGTCCACGCCTTCCACTTACAGAACTGCTTCCGTATTCAAGATGGTGGGAGAGATATTCCCTTACATGTTTCAATCACCGACCACCACTGAGCTCAACGGATTGTGAGCCAAATTTCTCCTGCATAGTGTCCCAGCCCCAACTCACTTCTTACACTGACCTCCTCAGTTCAGACGAATCTGTTCCTTCTACTGGAATACCAGTTAAAGGGAAAAGACTCTCTTTCTGCTGCCTGCATGTACAACGGATGCTTCCAAATGACGTCTTCTGGAGCCAGAGAGGTGAAGGAGGGAAAATTTATGCCAACATTCAAAGTGCAGGGGCAGGTCTACCACAGGATAGGGGAGTATCATGGCAGGGCATCAGCAGCAGCCTTCATTTCTCCAGATAGACTTCGTTGGGGATGACGACCATGAGAGTCGGTCAAGACCACGGGGATGCTACAATGGTCGCAAGTGTGAAAAAATGTTCATAAGTAGCGAAGCACGGCTATCCAGCTAGTAATAAATGAACGACGTGTGTTGGGATTCCTGCAGCGAAAGACTTTCCCGCCCCCCCCCATCAAATATGACATGCAAAAGAACCGAGAGAGGATTTTATTGAAGGCATGACATCTCTGTTATACAGAAATAATTTATTTCAGCCAGTGAACAGGAGATGATAGGTCACACACGGCATTACAAGTACTACCAGGACTGCAAAAAAAGGGGAAAAAAATCACCCACAATTTGGGAGCAATAACCCAGCTGCAGCAACTGAATTACATTTTTATCAGGTGTGCGTACAATGTGCATGTGTTATACACACACCCACGAACACACATTCTTCCTACTCAAGTATTTGCTAAAATCAACAGTTGGAGGCATTTAAAGGCTTTTAAAACATCTGGACACCATATAGACTTTAGATCTTTATATATATATATGTATATATTTATAGATATTTATATAACAGTAAAGATGTGTTCTGTTACTACAATATAACTCATTGGCTTTGTTTAAAATTCTGTTTTAAGCAACCAGGAAGAAGGACCAAAAAAAAAAAGGGGGGGACCAAAAAAAACCCGAAACAGTTTCACTAGAGTCGTATCTGATATGTGCAAGCCACAAGCTACGACAGAACAAAGCTGTGGGGTTTTGTATTTTTTTTTTTTTTTTTTGTAGTTTTGTTTTTAAGATGTGCGTTCGATCATTCCAGGACAGGACAGCTAAGAGGCAGATTAAAAAAGACGGATGAGCAGAGTTACATGTCAAACGATGACTTTGGGCTCTCCGGACGAGAGGGACTGGCTTTGCTAGGCCGGCTGGAATTCAAAAGGAAGAAAAGAAGAAGACAAGGAGAACAAAAAGAAGAAGAAGGAGAAGGATACGGGGAGGAACAAAAGAATTAAAACAATAGTTAAAATGCAGAAAGGAACAGACATCAGAACTCAACTCAAAACACCGTTCAGATCAAGGAACGTAAATTGGACTTAAATGGTGGCTTTTAGAAGGACAGGAAAGTGGCGGACTTTGGGGGGGTTTTTCCCCCCCACATTTATTCCTAAATAGGTAGGTCACAGAGCTGGTGCCGAGGGATGTCCAAGTTGGCAATAAAAATGTGTATTCCCCCCCCCATAATGAAATACGTACGTCCTGCATGCAAGGAAGCGAATGGAATCACCAGAATACTCAAGACATCAACACACGTTTGAAGAGGTCCTTGTTAAGATTTTTTTTTTGTCAGAAGCAAAGCTCATAAAACATTTACACAACAAACTCTCTCTCTCTCTCTCTCTCTCTCTCTCTCTCTCTGTTTTTTGAAATATCAGCTGGTCCATTCTGTCTGAGAAGGAACTAGATTAAACCTCGGTCTCTCGGTCATGCCAGAAAAGCTAGCTGAAGCCACCATGCCTCCTGTCGCGTCTCTCCGAGAACGGAGGGTGACCTCTGAACGTTGGTTTCAATCCATCTGATCAGGTCCTCAGGAAGTCTGCGCCATCCAGGAAGCCCCTCCCTGGCCACCAAACCAGTTGGCCCTGCTTGAAAAAATCAGCCCCCCCCCCCCATCGGGCCCCCGTGGCCGCACCTTGAATTCAATCCCGTTTCTCAAGAACGTGAAAGCATTCCAGTCCAGGTTCTCTCGCCGAGTGTGGTGCTCCTCAAAAGAGTTTCCAGCACAAAGACCATGTGTTTCTGTCTTTACTACAGTAAAGGGAACGAAATGGACTACGTTGCTACGGATTAAGGGCTACAGCTGAACCAGGCAGGCAGGACACCAAACCCAAGACGAGCCGGGTACGTCGAGGCACGGATGCTCCTGTAAGTCTACGCCTCGGAGAACTCAACGGCATTCACGATTCATGCCCTTCGACTAGAACTACTCTAGGCTCACAAGCAATAACGGACGCACAATAGTAGACAAAGTGCTCAATTTACTAAATGAGCATGTTTTTTTTTTTTAAACCACATGGAGGAAGGGGCAGAAGAGCCGAGGGGGATGCTGGGTTGGCAGAGTAGAGGGGAAACCCAGGTTATAAATCTAAAAGGGAAGATTCAGCTGATCGGATTAATGTGGCTCGTGTAGGTGAAGAAGGGCCCTTCCGGCTGTGAAGGCAGAAAAAGATAAAAAAAAAAAAAAAGCGAGAAGAGAAACACACAGACGGAGATTAGCATGGTGGCCAGGCCAACTGCAATTGGTCATGCTTCTCACCACCTCATCTTCAACCAGGACCACCGATATAATGTCCGTGTCCCTGACGGCAGCCGCTTACTCATTTGAACCCCCCTTTCCACCTCCAAATTGCTGATTCAAGAGAGGACGGTCTAATGACCCGTTGGATGGAATCTGGTGGTCGGTCTTCTAGATGGAATCCATCCAGGACTTCCCCAAGCTTCACCAACCTGGAAAGTGGTCCTGGCCTCTTAAGATGACTGTTGAGAAGCATGAAGCACAAGTATGGCGATGTTGTTCGTCAAAGCGCATGAAGAAAAATGTTATTTGAGATGGAGGTGACCTCTGTGAAAGACCTGTTTCAAAAGTTGACGGCTAGTCCATTAACCTGAATCGCTGGTCTGCACCTTTCACCCATTCAACTTCAGTCCCAAGTGGGATTCCCCCACACCGTCTTCCAGCCTTTTCGGATGTGAGGGCCACTCCAAGGGGATGAATGGGGTGAGATCTTTCCTGGAGGGAGAAGCAACCATACAATGATGCTTTCAACTCAAGTACAACTTGATTGGATTCACTAATGGACTGGATTCAATGTGAACGCTGGAAAACCCTAACTACTGTAAACATATTTTAAAAAAGAATTACGGAATTATCTGTCTGAATGAGCCTTGACCTCCATCTCTGAAGGCTTCCAAGGCCATCGTCATTAACGAAGTGCCTCTGTCACCAGTTAACTGAGGTAGCAAGAACTTCATGGCTATGGCCATGTCATGTTCATAGCCGTAATCCGAAAGGGTCTTCTGGTGTTTTTTTTTCAACTTCCCAGCCTAGGCTACAACCTTGGTCTTCCAAGATCAACCAAGGTTGGCTGTGTGCTGGGGTCTTCGTGGGCATTTCTGGTCCATCAACCTCCATTTAGTTTGGGAGATGACAAATGGATGAAACGTATTTGGCTAAACGATTCGTTCCATCAGCTACTTCTTCCAATGCAGCTCTGTTGACTTGTAGACCATCTACATCTCAATCATCTCAAACTTAATTTTCTCAGGACGTCCTGCAATCTTTGGTGGTTTTTAAGAGTAGGTCTCAAAAGGGGCAACAGCGGAGCCCCTTCAGAAAGACCAGCTCTCGTTAAGTAGTCCAACGAAAACTGAGTAGCCATGCCCGAATTGAATTGGATGGACTAGAAGCCAGGAAGTCACCGTGACTTAAAAGACCCTTTAGAAGAAAGGCCAACTTTCACCTATGGGCGGGTTGCTAAATTGCCAGTTGAGCTACAAGCCTCTGATGTAGGATAAGGAGGGATCTAACCACAGTTCTGGATGGTGGGATGAGATATGTTGGAGATTAATGTGCCCCACCCATATACCATTGGCCTCCCCCTGGTTTTTTGTTTACACAAGAACAAGATCTCACACACACCCATTAAGGTCTGGAGTCCACCTGGTAGAGACAGCCTCTTAAAGAGGACTTTCTCAGCATTTCTTATTCAGCATTCTTATTAAGAAAATAAGGTTTTCTTATTTTATTCCAAGCCCACTGCTTCTTTATCCAATCTCTCTCTCTCTCTCTCTTTCTTTCTCTCTGTTTTTCAGGAACTTGTTAGAAAAACCATCAACAGCAAATGCTGGTTTACATCACACTATTCATTATCCAGTTGTTCCCGTTGGGGAACGTTTAAAAGGAAACAAGTGTGTTAAGGACTTGTGCTTATTGGGGAAGGGGAAGGGGAGTAATCGGGGTAAATTCCTTTTTTTTTCCCCTTTTCTTTTAGCACATAGACACACTTTCTCACACACACACAACGATTGGGCAGGGACTTGGCAATCTGAAAATGTCCAGTACAGGAACCACGTTCATGCAACTCTTAAGCAGAAATAGACGAATAATCTTGATGCATAACATTTATGCTGGTCATAAATGTTGACCTTCTTGGCTGCCAATGCTCTACAACTGTCCATATTCATTTTTTGCAATGCTTTGGATCTCCAGTTTGTAGAGAGGAGGAGCTTACGTTCTTCCAGATGTTGATGGGACTATGGTTCTTAGAAGCTCCAGCTAGTCAAACAGATAACAGGGCATGTTAGGAGCTGAAATTCATGAATATTCTAGAATAATTCTCTTGTTTCTTAACTGCGGTGTTGATTGTTGGGATTTTTGAAAAGCCGCGGCAAAGGTGTGATACCCAGCATCAACAAACCGCATCTCAAAAGAGAGAACTGTTCCCAGAGATCGGAATCTTGCAACTGTCCTACCTTAATTTCACAGAAATTTATGAAGTCTATTCAGGGTTTTCCCCATCATCTGTTATTCTTTCCCTCAAATTAAGGTGGGAATGGTGGAGTAAGTGCCTGGAACTGTTTGAGGGCGATAGGATGGGGTGTCCGGAAGGATTTGCAGAAAAAAAAGAGAATAGATACAGAGTTGGGGCAGGCTCTACAAGTGGAGGAAATGAAATTGGGTATAGGAGGTGTCAGAAGAAAAACTCGTGATGCAAACTGTCATTGGACTAGAGGCATTGTCTATGTCTTCTCCCGTGTGATGAATGGAGGTGATGGGATATACGACTGGGCAGCACCTGAGTTGGGAAAGCTAAGCTAGCATTGAACCCTTAGAGAAGATGGCAGGCCCTTCTGTTAGGGAAGTGTCACATTGCCATCTGCAAGCCCTTTGTCCCTGGAGTTGGTGGGGTTCAACTGGCCACCTTCTTGTTCTACGTAACATTGCCACACCACTGGCAGACGTGGTCTTGATGCTGAAGAAATGACAAACTTCAGTTTTTTAGTGATGAGAAGATACCGAAGAACAGCAAAGGACGTTACGGCTCTAAAGTTCTGCCTCAAAGTGTCCTTCAAACGGTGAGATGATGGCTCTTCATCCTCCTTAAAAATAGGAGTTGAAATCAATCTGCCCTAGAGCACAATCTCCTAAGGAACATTCTTCCACAAAGGTCACTAAAACACACACAAACTAACGTTGCTAATCTACTGGAATCTGGGGGTGCAATTAGGAGATGAATGCTGAGAAAAACTTCAGATAAAACATGAGGATACACACCAGGTATCAAAGTTGTGGGAACCTGGGTTGCAGGTTTGTGATTAGGACCCCAGAAAGCAATACTCCAAGCTGAGACAACAATGGGTGGATCAAAGCTGGGACTTCACCCATGTTTACAGGAATGGACAATGGAGAAGACTTCCCTCTGTCTCTTCTTCTCTGTCCCACTGCCCAATTTCGTAGGATCTACCGTGTTTCCCCGAAAATAAGCCATCCCCTGATAATAAGCCCAATTGGGCTTTTTTTTTTTTTTTCATTTTGATTTATATGCCGCCCTTCTCCGGAGACTCAGGGCGGCTTACAATGTGCTCAGCAATAGGCTTCATCCTTTTGTATATTTATACAAAGTCAGCTTATTGCCCCCACAACTGGGTCCTTTTGAGCACATCCCCGAAAATAAACCCTCCCCGAAAATAAGCCCTCCCCAAAAATATTTAACCGCATGTGCAGCCGGTCCCCGCCATTTCCTCTGGTTAGGGTTAGGGAGACAGAGCTGGAAATCAGGTAAGACAAGAGGAGCCCCATCTTGCTCCACGCGCTCCAAAATAAGACCTCCCCGAAAATAAGGCCAAGCACTTATTTCGGGGTTCAAAAAACATAAAACAAAGTCTTATTTTCGGGGAAACATGGTACACTATTGTGATTCTTTGTCTCCTTTCTACAAACGAAGTCTTTGCTACTGAAGATATTCCCGCTCCTCCCAACAGCCAAGAGATTTGCAGGCCAGAGGGAGAAAACAAGAGGGTATCCCCTACAAACTCCCACCCCCTCCCCACTGGTCTAGGAGAGGCAAGTGGCAGAAGGGCGAGCGGGGGGGGGACACGAGATGGAGAGGAAATGGGGACGAGGAGACAGAAAGGTTAACCACACCGACTCGTGCATCAGCGGAGGCCGGGGTGAACACACAGCGAAGAACGTACCGGTCTCTGCCAGTCCTCAAGGGTCACTGATAGTGATTCTGAAAAGACAACATGAGAGCAACAGGGCAGTTCAGACACTGAGGCAGAAGGGCGGACAGCTTGGAGAAAAACGCACGGGCTCGTGTACCCCCACGCAGAGGCCGGTGATGGGAAGTGAGGCGCGGCCCATGCTGGCACTCGCACCCCAAGCGCACAGAGAAGACAAGCAGTTGGCAAGTCAGAAGACGTAGCTATGAACCACTGCGCAGCGGACACGGAAAGAGACAATGGGTTCCACGCAGCCGTTTGGACTCACACTCCCCGGGAGCATGTCAACGATGCACACCCAGGCCGAGAAGAGGCAATCAGCAGTGTTCTGGACTGGGGTAAATGCACACAACGCATACCGCCACACTGCTTGACACCTCATCACAGTTAAGAAGGTGACGTCTCTTGCTGTGGCCCACAATTTGGTGTCTGTTCAGCATTGGGGTGATAGCCCACATAACCCAATGCAGTTTGAGGGGGTCTTGACTCTGGAGACAGGGAGGAGTCTGCCCTGGGCCATGTGAGGGCAGGCCTTCAAAATACTCATCCCAAGTATTCCAAAAACAGGAAGGTAGAAGAATCCTTCTGGAGACAGACAGATTCACACACAAACACACTGCGAAAGTTTGAATGTGCTTCTTCTCAATCCCACTCCGGGTGCCATTTTTTTTTTCTTCCTCCCAATGGGAAGAAAAAGAAGCGAGGGGAGAGAAAGAAGGACAAACGATGACAAAAATGAAGATGGTGGACTCCTGGCAAGAGGACAAGGCCATCTGGCAAGGGTGAACCAACTTATTCTATATACAAGAGATGGCCTAAGGAGCCTCGGTGTGCCATCTCAGGTGTTGGGTGGCGAAGGGGCACCTTATAGGAAAGGAACTAAACTGGGAGTGGAGGAGAGAGAGAGAGAGAGAGATTCTGCACCTACTTGATTTGGGAGATCAGTCTTAGAGGTGAATTTGTTTTTGTAGATCCCTTGTGAGATAGAGTAGACCACAACCTCTACTGAAGGACTTCCACCTGACGAAGGCTCCACGTCAACATTCATGGACCCAATTCTACTTCTCATGGAATGTCCTACCTTGGTGAAATGTTTAAGGGGGACCCAACCTCGTGGTGACTGGCTGCAATACAATTATCTCTTGAAGGTTGTTCTACATATCTTACAATTTGTCATTTGACCATTTGGACCAAAAAAATAAAAAAAATAAATCAGAACACAGCTGGAAGGGACCTTGGAGGTCTTCTAGTCCAGCCCCCTGCTCAAGCAGGAGATCCTATATACCATTTCAGACAAATGGCTGTCCAGTCTCTTCTTAAAAGCCTCCAGTGATGGAGCCCCCACAACTTCTGGAGGCAAGCTGTTCCACTGGTTAATTGTCCTCACTGTTAGGAAGTTTCTCCTTAATTCCAGGTTGCTTCTCTCCTTGAGCAGATTCCATCCATTTTTTCTTGTCTTTGGAAAATAAGTTGAAACCTACCCCCCTCTTCTTTGTGGCAGCCCCTCAAATACTGGAAGACTGCTATCATGTCCCCCTTAGTCCTTCTTTTCTCTAGACTAGCCAAACCCAAATCCTGCAAATATGGGAGGGGACCTGCAAATTCTTTTTCCACAGCAGCTGGAATGTAGAGTTAGGTTCCAGAAATATCTGTAGAACCCAAACCAGGAATAGGAGTCACAGAGTAATCCCTACATCTCTTTCGTGGTACGTGGGAGAACTCGGAGAGATGAGGGTCAAGCGAACGGCAACTTCTGACACGTGACCCAAACTTTCATGGTGGGCCATGGGGCTATGGAATGGGGCAGTAGGTTTAGGAGCCTGAAGGAAGGGAGACCCAATGATTTCAGCCCCTCTGGAGTCCCCTGCCTGTATATAGAATATATAATCTGAATGAAGGCATGGAAAACAGGGTAGAGAAATTGAGGAAGAGAATGGAAACAGACCCTGGAGAGGACGGACGCTGAAATTCAGCCCGAATGGAAGTAAAGGATCATCCACAAGAAAGGAGAGAGAGAGGAAAAAAAAAAAGAACCAGAAAATGAGATGAGATGGAGGAAAAAAATCAAAACAAAGCTTGCGTAGAAGTAGCAAGACATGCAGACAACCAGAGAGACGGACAAAGCAGGCTGGTCAAAAGAAGAAATAACGGAATACAGTTTCCTAGGCATCTGGAAAACAATCAAGGCACTTAAGTGGGAATGCTGTGGGTTGAAACAACCATTGGCACAACACAAGGCGGCTTGTTCGGCATAAACCAGCATCCTGTACCGTTTCTAACTCGTCCCCTCCTGTGCTGCAGGGCATCAGGCAAAACCTAACTCGGGCGGCCTAGCAATGGACAGAGCCGTCCATCTGATTCACACCCACCTGTGCTAGAAATATATATCTACATATTTAGCAGAAAACTTGGAAAAAGAGTTTTGCAAACATGGCCAAGTTTTTCTACCTCTGCAAAAGCCAGCAGGTGTGTTAAATTTAAAGCTGAAAGCACAGCTGGTCCTCGTTTAGCGATGTCGTCACTGAGCCACCGTTCACGGTTACAACGGTGGTGAACCAGTAACCCTTTGCCACCAATCCTCGCATTTACGAAGCAAAGGAAACCGAGGCGACGAGCAAATTGGGGGTCCAACTTAGTGCCTGCTTCGTTGCCAGTCTGGTCGCTAAATGAGGACTCCCTCTAATCTTCGTGATCAAGAAGCAGCATTCGGAAAAGATGCGCCTCCTGAGAGAACCCAAAACTTTGTAAGCAGCGGCAGATTGGAAAAGGGAAACTAGAAAAAAATTGGATTTTTGAGGCAGCGCCTTCGTTCTCTCGGCTTTTCTAAAATCGCGTACGCATCGGAAGCGTTTACAAATTCTGGAGAATTCCGTGCCTAAATGCGAGAAATAAGCAGGAGGTATGTGAATTTTCCTCCCCCGAGAACAAGGAAACCTTTAATTCTGCACTTACCTCTAGGAGTTTTTCTTTGCAACCAAAATATCAAAGATGCAAAACAAAATTTATACCCAATACTGTGTTTTTTTTTTCTTTTACAAAAACTCTACTTTGTTTCGGTATAATTCAAACCAAAAATGATTTGATGCGCATATAAAGGCAAAAAATCCCACCGCAAACAGGCCTCATTTTCCACTGGATCCAGAACGATCGACTTCTCTTAAATGTGTCTGATTCCCTGGAACATGGATTATTATTTTAATTCAGCGGGATGTTTGTTACCCAAAGTCTACAAACTTAGGGCTGTCTCCACAAAGAAATGTGTCGCGGTAACACAAGACCATTCCCGTTTCTGCGGGATAGGATTCTTCTACACTTCATCTTACAATAACATCTTTGGCTTTGTTTTGGTTTTTTTTGTGTGTGTGTATGCATGTCTTTGGCGTTTGTGTTTTTCCAGGTGGAAGTTTGCGAGATTTCTCTCGAGAAGGAAGGGTGGACCACAGGAGATCCAGATGAGATCCTCCCACTTTAGATTCTACCTTCTGCTTGAAACCTTGCAGATCTGTTTTGCCAAATGGATTTTTTGACATTCAACAACACAAAAGAAAGGGGGATGTAATAACCGCCAACACCACCCCTCCCCAAATAATCCTACAGGTGCCCAGGATAGCAAGCATCGGCCCCATTGTTACAAGTGATCCAACACAACAATTTGGTTCAAGGACGCCAATTCTAAAACTCCTGGAAATAAAGTCGCCATGAGTTAACACTGCCTACCGCGCGTGGCCTGGTCTCACCTACCTTGGGACCCCCGGGGGCGCGCGGTTGGGCCGCGAGGGGACTTGTGGGGGTGGCCCAAAAGGATCAGGAGAGGCCCCCGGCCTGGAAGGCACAGGGGGAGCACCACCGAGGCTGGGACCACCAACAGGCGGAGGTCCAGGAGCTGGGCCCCGCGATCCGGGTCTGGTGGGAGGGACTGCCGGTGCTCTTCTCTGCGGCGTGGGGCTGGAGGTGGGAGACCTGCCAAAGGAGAGACGGGTCAGCTGGAGGGGTCCTTAGCGGAGAGCCCCAAAGAGCATTCAAGAGAGATTGAAGGCGGTCGGATTCTGGGAACGGATCATCCTCGACCTTAGAACGGTTCGAAAAATGTGACTTGTGACTGTTTTTCACACTTACGACCATTGCAGTGTCCCCGTGATCCCGTGATCAAAATTGAGACGTTTGGGAACTGGTTCATATTTGTGACGGTCGCAGCGTCCCCGTGAGGGGGCATGCAATCCCCTCCCCTTTGCGACCTCCTGACAGTGGGGAAGCCGGATTCTCTTAATAACCGGGTTACTAATTTAACAACGGCAGGGATTCGCTTAATAGCTGTTTCAAGAGAGGTTGCAAAATGGGGCGAAACTAACTTAAGAAACATCTCGCTTAGCACACAGAATCCTGATTCACTTCACAACCGGGTTACTTGTCTCTCAGCTGCAATGATTCACTTAAGAACGGTGGCAAGAAAGCTCTTACCAAACAAACGTCTCAATAACAGAAATTTGGGGCTCGTTTGGGGTCGTAAGTCGAGGACTACCTGTATTTGTGTCTGCTGGTGCAACGGTTCCTTCTTCTTTGCCACCATCGGTCACTCCAAAGAAGCCAAATTAAATCCTCTTCACCCCATTTATGAGCTCGGATGTGGCGTGTACATACATACAGGTTATCCTGAACTTACGACCATAATTGAACCCAAAATTTCCGTTGCTAAGCAAGACAGTTGTTAAGTGAGTTTTATCCCATTTTACCACCTTTCTTGCCACCGTTGCTAAGTGAATCACTGTGGATGATAAATCGGCAACCTGGTCGTTAAGTCAACCTGGCTTCCACCGTGGACTTTGCTTGTCAGAAGGTCACAAAAAGGGGATCGCGTGACATACCCCCATCCCTGGGGAAACTGCAAACCGTCATTTATTTATTTATTGGTTTGATTTATATACCGCCCTTCTCCGGAGACTCAGGGCGGCTTACAATGCGTTAAGCAATAGCCTTCATCCTTTTGTATATACCTGCTTAGTAGGGCTTTCGGGGGCCCCCTAAGCAGTGTTCTTTTTTTATACAAAGTCAGCTTATTGCCCCCACAAACCGGGTCCTCATAAATACGAGCCGGTCTGCCAAGCATCTGAATTTCAATCGCGTGAACATGGTGGATGGTACGATTGTCGTAAGTGTGAAAAACGATGCGGGGTCCCTTTTTTCAGTGCGGTTGTAACTTTGAATGGTCACCAAGCAAACCGTTGTAAGCCGAGGACTGCCTGTAACGGGGCCTCCTCAGTAAACTCTCCAATTCTCCCCACTTGTTGACAATTTTTCCAGCAATCTGTAGGCTTCTGTGAAATGGCGAGGGATCCACTCCGAAGGATTCAAATCAGTGGTGGGATTCAGCCGGTTCCCTCCGGATCGGGAGAACCGGTAGCAGCGACTGCGAGAGGCTCCGCCTACCCGCCCAGACGTAATGCGCGAGCACTGCGCGTGCACAGAAGGCCGTATGCATGCACAGACGAGAGGCGCACGCTCACATTTGCGAACCGTTAGGGAAGGTAAGTGAATCCCACCGCTGATTCAAATGGACTCCTACCAAAAATGGTAGGAAGACTACATGGTCGTCTCCTCTTAAGGTGACCAAGCTGGAAAAAATGAAAGCTCGTTTCCACATGGAAGAGAAATCGGGACGTACGGCCTGGTTCACCCCTTCTTTCCCAACCAACTTTAACTCTCTGGGGTTGAAGAACAGCTGTTCTTGATGGGTTCCACCCCAAAAACCTGTACCCCAACTTGGCTCTGCCCCTTCCACGCAGATCCTATGGACGCCACGGTCAACACAGACCTCCCAACCTCCTTCCTTCCCGTTTCTACCGGGGACGGCCACCTATCCAGCTTGGGCAGAGGCGCCAGGAAGGTCAGCAGGGCCTCCCCCCTGCGCCTCGGGTACCTGCGTCCGGACGGTATGTTCTGCACCTGCAGCCAAGAGTCGTCCACTGGCGGAGGCAGCGGAGTGCTGATGGTGGTAGTATTGATGTCCCCGATGATGTTAAGGGCCTCCCTCAGGGCATGATACATGCGCAACATCTCGTCGCGATGCTGGGCTTGTTCGAGCGACTCCTCCATGAGGGTGTTCTGGTCGCCACAGGAGTAGAGGTTGGCGAGGAGCTCGGAGTGGATGAACTCCTTGGTCTGCCGGAGAGGAGGCAGAAGACAAAGGTCATTCGTCTGGACAGCTCTACGACGGTTCCTTCTTTGGGGTCAACCTGATCGCTTATTTTTTTCCCTAGGACAGGGGTCAGCAACCTGTGGCTCCGGAGCCGCATGTGGCTCTTTCACCCCTTTGCTGCGGCTCCGTCACTCAAAATATGTGTCACGACCACCAATGTGTGACACCCGCCAGCACATGATTTATTGAGCTTTTCAACCCCCGGTAGGCCAACCATGGATAAATCCAAGAAAAGTAAAGTTTCAGAAGAAAACAACATTTAATTCAACTACATATGCATAAGTTTTGTGGCCGCTCAAGAAATAGTCAGGCACGGGAATGATTTTGTGGCTCCCGGTGTTTTCTTTTCTTTGGGAAATGGGTCTAAATGGCTCTTTGAGTGTTTAAGGTTGCAGACCTCTGCCCTAGGAGCATCTTCTCTCTACTTCCAACATCCCAGAATAATCACCCTAATGGCCCCAACTCACCCAGGGACCTTAGATGGTGGTGGAGGAAGAATTGACTGGTTTCCTTCATCCAACCATCTGAACCAGGGGTGAAATGCTCCCGGTTTGGCCCGGTTTGGCCGATCCAGTAGCGATCGTGGCTGCTGGTTCGGAGAACTGGTAACGATGGTGGCGCGAGGCTCGGCCCACCCGCCCGGTTGTCGTTACTTCCTGGTTTTAACCAGGAAATAATGTGTTTTTTACCCTCTGCGCATACGCAGAAGGTTTTGCACATGTGCAGAGGGTCCGCATGTATGTGAACGCACGAGTGACGTGACCGCCTGTGCTCGGCATGTGCACTTCTGAACCGGTAAGGAAGGTAAGTAGATTTCACCCCTGATCTGAACTATCTATCAATCTCCTTTGAGGATCACCTCTGGTGATCACACGTGATCCCTACCCAGTCAGAAAGGATCGGAGTTCTGGATTCCTCAATGGTGTCGCCCGCTCCCTGATTTAAATCTGAGAATTTATCACGCTTTGTCATCGATGGAACCTGAAGAACAAGTCCATGAAGCTGGCTTTTCGCTTCACTTTCTGTGTGTGTGTTTTAAATTAAAAGTTTGAGTAGGTACAAAGGCCTACAAACCAATGAGTAAAGGAACCCGAGGGAACTGTAGTTCTCCCTACACAAGAACATCTTTATGAATTAAGCTAGACTGGTAGAGAGGACTTTCCCCACATCTCCTACCCAGGACTAAGTGAAGTTCTCTCCAATCCCATTCTACCATGCTACCAATCTCTTTTTTTTCCTGCCAAACTTCTTGGCTCTGGGGGATCACGAGATAATATATTCTTATTTTCCTGTTCCTTCGTCATCAGTTTTCCTCACTCCCCAGGTCAGATTAAAGAGTTGGAAGGGACCTTGTAGGTCATCTAGTCCAACCCCCCGCCCAAGCACACCCTACGCTATTTCTGACAGATGGCAGTCCAGTCTCTTCTTGAAAGCTTCCAGTGATGAAGCTCCCACAACTTCCGAAGGCAACTTCTGTTCCATGGGTTGATTGTTCTCACTGTCAGGAAGTTTCTCCTTATTTCCAGGTTGAATCTCTCCTTCCATACATTATTCCTTGTCTTACCTTCGGGTGCTTTGGAAAATAGCTTGACCCCTTCCTCCTCTCTGTGGCAGCCCCTCAAATATTGGAAGACTGTTCCCCTGGTCCTTCTCTTCACTAGACTAGTCTGTTGAGATGGGAACCCCAAGGCCAACAGTTGACTTTTTTCTCCTGTCAATCAACATGCTACTCTAGAACCTGCTACTCCAGAATCAGACCACTCATAAAACGTTATACAATTCATACACACCAATCCGGTGTGTCATTACGTCATACGTACGTTGTTTATCATAAGGTGCATGATTGTCTTGGGCATCAGATCACGGATGGTTTTGTTGACGATGGCCATGTAGGAATCGACAAGGTTCCGGATCGTTTCCACTTGCCTCTCCAGCTGGGGATCCATTGAATGCATTAAGCTGTCCGAGCCGTTCTCTTCTGAGTCCCCGGACTGCAGAAGATTGACGGGGAGACAAAGCAAACTGTTAACCCATCAGAAGCCAACGAGGACCACGTTGTAAAGCCACGATCTCCTACTTCCCATGGAGCTCCTCTGATTCGTCTCTGAACTTCTAGATCAGGGATGGCGAACTCTTTTCGGCACAGAATACCCAAACCAAAACGTGTGTACATGCGCATGAATGTGTGCTCCGGCCAGCTGATCTTTGGGCTTCCGACACACGCATGTGCGCCGGCTAGCTGGTCTTCACTTACACTGGAACACCGGAAAGCCAAAAACCAGCTGGCCTGCGTCCACATGCTTGTTTTCAGGCAGTTTTTTGGCCATTTTCGGACTGTTTTTCAGGCTGTTTTCAGGTCATTTTCAGGCCGTTTTTGGGTCATTTTCAGGCCGTTTTTCAGGCCATATTCGGCCTGAAAAGGGGCCAAAAACTGCCTGTTTTTTGGCCATTTTCAGACTGTTTTTCAGGCCATTTTCAGGCCATTTTTGGGTCATTTTCAGGTTGTTTTTCAGGCCGTGTTCGGCCTGAAAAATGGCCAAAAACTGCCAAAAAAACAGCCTGAAAACAGCCTGGGTTTTGGCTGTTTTTTTGGCCATTTCAGACGGTTTTTCAGGCCATTTTCAGACCTTTTTTGGGTCATTTTCAGGCTGTTTTTCGGGCCATATTCGGCCTGAAAAATGCCCAAAACTGCCAAAAAATGGCCTGAAAATGGCCTGGTTTTTGGCTGGTTTTTTGGCTGTTTTCAGGCAGTTTCTGGCGCTCCAGCTCCCGCGAAGACCAGCTGGTCAGCACGCATGTGCGCACCGGAAACCAGAATAGCAACTGGCGACGGAGTGCGTACCCACAGAGAGGGCACTGCGTCCCACCTCTGGCACACGTGTGCCACAGGTTCGCCATCATGGTTCTAGATAAACAACCTTCATTAGCAAGGACACCACAGAAGGAGGTTAGTATCAGATCCAAAGCTTAATCTGGACCTTTGTTGGATACCATCATTCATCTCCCTTTGCAGTTGATCCAAATAATTTACGGGAGAAAACAGAGACTTATTTCTCCCGAGATATGAAACTCGATGTGGTAGAAGGATGAGTTTGATCACAGGTCTCTCCTGTTTGTAATCACTCCCTGCTTACACAGGTTCTCTAAAGCACCTCTGCATCCAAAATCGGCGAAATCGAATTTCGAAGGTCGGGAATTGGGATTCAGATTTTTGTTTCGATTCGAAAAGCGGAAAGCCAATTCAGAGGCTTCTGCCTCCCGCTCTCCATACCGTATAAATTCTTGTTTCGAGTTAGCGCGAAATGAACATTGCAATTTTGACATGCGATTGTGACTCAATTCAGAGGCTCGATCCAACGGTTGTTTTGATTTAATCTTTAAATTTGCGTTATTACGTACGTTCCTTGCAGGTACCGGGGACGAACGATTGGGAAACTAGATATTATATATTTATATATATATTTAAAAAAAGAAATAAATGCGAAAAGAAAAATTTTAAATCTTTTTTTCCTTTCTGAGGTAACTTAGGAATGCGGGGGGGAGGAAATGTTCCACAGAAGACGAAAACAAGCAGAAAGGAACATTCTAGAAAGGGTAAGAAACAAAACCAAGCAGGCAACGTGGTATGAAGTGGGTAGAAAAAAAGGGTGAAGGGCAAAGTCTTTCTTAGAATATAGGGATAAAAGTTTAAATTAAAGAGGGGAAAAAAAGTAGTTTTAAAATGCGTCCAATACAAAAAAAAAAAGTATAATTCAAAGGAAAATGGCACAGGAAAAGAAGAGTTCATCACTTACTTTATCTTTGTCCTGTGAGGCCAGTTTGAGCACAAAAAAAAAAGCAAGAAAAAAATGAGATTTTTTTTTTTAAAAAAAGTAGGTAGGTATAATTTCCTAGCTAAGTATTCAGTCTATTCATAATTGGAACGGGATCTTTGACAAAGTCAAAATGCAATCGATTAAAAATAAAATTGGCTTGAGGGCAATATTGGAAGACCTTCATTATGGGGGGGAAAAAAATCTACTTAGATCACCTTTAGGCCTTGAGAATGATTTGATAAGACCATCATCAATCAAGTCAATCTTTAAACACCACTTCTTAAAACAAGTGATTTCTGAACAAAGCCATTTTCTCAGCACTGGTCAGCAAACAGACAATACCCGAGGGATTGGCACCCATAAAATATAACACTTGGATGGGGGAGTGCAAAGAAAGAGAAATAAAAATAAAAGAAAGACAAGGGAAAATTAGTTAGAAACTGAAATCTTAACCAGAAAACACAATGTATAATGGAGCCAGTGAAGGTGCTGTCGTTCCAGAGCCTCGCCAACAGATGGCGATGTCGTCCTTCTGGTGGACTATTCAACATGGCAGCCCACCAGTTAGGAGCTCATACCGGGGCGGTGGAGGGGGTCTTTTCTCTCTGGCCTCTTCTGTGCATTTACCAAAAGTCTTGGGAAAAGAAGTTTGCAAGAGTCTAATTCATGTCGTCATCCCCTGGTTTCTCCTTCTGGGGGGATGATGCTGTAGTTCAGAGATGTCCAACCTTCTCAACTTTGAAGACTTGTGGACTTCGACTCCCAGAATTCCCCCAGCCACTCAGCTGGCGGGTATTCTGGGAGTTGAGTTCCACAAGTCTTCAAATTTCCAAAGTTGGTCACTCTCCTGCTGTAGATGCTCCCAATTTTAAACCGGGAGGGCCCTACTCTATAAAATTAAGACTTTCCCACCATGGATTGCGTCCTGCAAAGAACGCAATTTCTGTTTAAAGTCGGGGGGAAAGGAAGAAGAGTAGAATTCTTCCTCTTCTTTGTGATTTTCACCCAAACCAGTGATCCTTCTAAACCAAACACCAGAACTAAGTCTGGTCTATCCGCCATCTCAGTGAGATGGTTCGACTTCCAACTTTCACTCCTGCTCATGTTTCGTTTTCCCCCGCTCCTCGACTCACCACAACGCGTTCTGGGTAAACTCCAGCCCGCAAGAAGGACGCCTTCCAACTATCTACCTCCTCCTGAGTTTCGCAGGCCAGCTCCAGTTGACGGTAATCTTTGTAAACGTTCCTGGGTGGTGGGGAAGGAAAGAAGGTGATGTTGTGGTTCGCCAGCAGCCTCCGGAGCTGGCAGCCAAGTCGGACAGTGAGGAGGCTGGGGAGGACCATGGGCCAGTCCTGGAGTCTGGGGAAGGCTCAGACGAGGGCTCTGCGTCGGAGGCAAAGAAAGGGCCATCTGGGAGGTACGTGCTGCCTCCGGAGCCTCCAGAGTCGGACCTCAGCAAGGAAGAGGAACCTGTTCCCAGTGCCGTCATGCACAGAGCTGCCAGAAGGCAAGAACAGCTAAAACAAAAGGGATGACTCGGGAGTAGGGCTGGGAGATGATTGGCCCCTCTCATAAGACTTAAAAGAGGACGTGGGCCTTTGCAGGAAGCAACGTTTGTTCATTCGGTTCAGTTTAAAGCCTGAAGCTCTGTTTGATTCTGGACTCTGAGGGCTTTGCCAATTAGGTCTTTGGCAGCTTGTCAAGGGAGATAAAGGTGGGTGATTCTCCCGAAGGACTTTTTGCAACTAATTGGGACTCAGCTGTGAATGAACATAATTCACAGCTGTTGCAATAAAAGAGGCTTTTGGGACTACTCGTGTGTTTTAATGACTCAGGAAGCCTACGTCAGAACAGGTGAAGCCTTGCGTGGACTTTCCTACTCTCTGAGGTCATCCTCTTGAGCCGGGCCAGAAGAAGATCCTACCTTTGCTCCGTGTTGAAGAGGGCAAAGATGTACTTGCTGGACATGAAACCTTTCTCAATGTCTCGCACCTTCAAGTTGTCCACCGGCAGCATGTACTTCTTTTCTTTCTCCTAGAAGACAAAAGCCATGAACCCAGGAGTAGTATTCACTTACTTTCCCTACTGGTTCGCAAATGTGAGCGCCTTGCTTTGCTTGCACGCGCCCCGTCCACACTTGCGCTCGGCCTTCCGTGCATGTGCTTAGCTGGCGCCTTGCCTTCTGCGCATATGTTTAGCTGACGTGCACGCCTTCCACCATGCGCCCAGTCTCAAAAACATACCTAAATAGGATGGCATATAGCCAGAGCTGCTACCAGTTCGGGCGAATCGGTTCGAACCGGCTGGATACATCTCTGCATGAACCACATGTCATCTCAAAGCTGACATTCTATAACTCTCCTTATCTCTTGGTTGATTCGGGCAGCTGTGGTCCCAAACATGGTAGCCCACCAGTTAGGAGCTCATATCGGGGTCTTTTCCCTCTGGCCCCTTCTGTGCATTTACCAAAAGTCTTGGAAAAAGAAGTTTGCAAGAGTCTAATTCATGTCGTCGTTCCCTGGTTTCTCCTTCTGGGGGATGATGCAGTAGTTCAGAGATGTCCAACCTTCTCAACTTTGAAGACTTGTGGACTTCGACTCCCAGTCAGTCGGGGAGAATTCTGGGAATTGAGATCCACAAGTCTTCAAACTCCTAAGGTTGGTCACTCTCCTGCTGTAGATGCTCCCAAGTTTAAACCGGGAGGACCTTCCTCAATAAAGTTAAGACTTTTTTTTTATGTGGGGTGGAATGGACACTGTGAAGACTACAAATAGAAAGTAACAATTATGGGATCCGGATAAAATCCAAATCAGAATAGAGCTGGAAGGGACCTTGGAGGTCTTCTAGTCCAACCCCCTGCCCAAACAGGAGATCCTATATACCATTCCGGACAAGTGACTGTCCAGTCTTTTCTTAAAAACCTCCAGTGATGAAGCACCCACAACCTCTGGTGGCAAGCTGTTCCACTGGTTAATTGTCCTCACGGTTAGGAAGTTTCTCCTTAATTCCAGGTTGCTTCTCTTCTTGGTTATTTTCCATCCATTCTTTCTTGTCCTGCCTTCGGGTTTTTTTTTTTTTAATTTATTTTTTTAATTTGATCTATATGCCGCCCTTCTCCGGAGACTCAGGGCGGCTTACAGTGCGTTAAGCAATAGCCTTCATCCTTTTGTATATTTATACAAAGTCAGTTTATTGCCCCCACAAACTGGGTCCTCATTTCACCTACCTTAGAAAGGATGGAAGGCTGAGTCAACCTTAAGCCTTGGAGAGATTCGAACCAGCAGTAATTGCAGGCAGCTGTGTTAATAACAGGGTGCTTAGACCACTGTACTATCAAGGCTCTTGGAAAACAAGTTGACCTCCTTCTCTTTGTGGCAGCCCCTAAGATATTGGAACCCTGCTATGATGTCCCCCTCAGTCCTTTTTTTCTCTAGACTAACCAAACCCAATTCCTGCCACCGTTCTTCCTATGTTTTATTCTCCAGGCCCTTAATCATTTTAGTTGCTCTTTTGTGTACTTTTTCCAAAGGCTCGACATCTTTTTTGTAATGTGGTGACCAAATCTGGATGCAGTTATTCCAGGTGTGGCCTTACTAAAGTTTTATAAAGTGATACTAATACTTCACATGATTTTGATTCTATGCCTCTGTTTATACAACCCAGGATCGTGTTCGCTTTTTTGGCTGCTGCTGCACACAACTGGCTCCTGTTTAAGGGATCGTCTACTAGGCCTCCAAGGTCCCTCTCCCAGTGACTGTTTTTGAGCCAGGTTTCGCCTAATCTCTGCTTGTACCTTTGGTTTTTGGTTGGTGTACAACCTTGCTTCTCTCCACATTAAATTTCATGTTGTTGGATACAGCCAGGGGTGAAATCCAGCAGGTTCTGGCGAACCGGTAGCGGAAATTTTGAGCAGTTCGGAGAACCGGCAAATACCATCTCTGGCTGGCCCCAGAATGGGGTGGGAATGGAGATTTTGCAATATCCTTCCCCCAGGAGTGGGGAGGGAATTTATTTATTTATTTATTATTCAAATTTCTATACCGCCCTTCTCCTTTCGGACTCAGGGCGGTGAACAGCCAAAATAAAAACACCTATACATAACATTACAGTTAAAAATAGAGTTAAAATAATTTATAAATTTGGCCCATAATTTAAAACTTGTCAATTTAAAATCAATATCAAAATTTTAAAACTAACCCTAAAATCAAGACAGACCGGAATGGGGATTTTGCAGTATCCTTCCCCTGCCACGCCCACCAAGCCACACCACACCCACAAAGCCACGCCCACAGAACTGGTAGTAAAAAATTTGGATTTCACCACTGGATAGAGCCTATTAACTTTGTCTCAATGGAACTTCCATGCTTAATCCTTCCCAAAGTGCTCACAAATGCCTTTGACCATGCGATCAAATCCATCCCTCGCTTGTTTTACTACTAGAAGCCTTCTCTCAACCCTGAAGCTGACCTGACCACAGCCATTTTGATGGCTTCACTGTTGCCACACTGGATCTGAGGGATAGGGATGGAGGAATAGAGATAGCTGGGGTTTTGTAGCCAAAATAAAACACTTTTTCCTGGAAACCAAGGACATTCTAACATCCGGCCAGTTATTCTGGTCCGCCAACAGCCTGCGAAGCTGGCAGCGGAGTCAGCGGACAGTGAGGAGGCTGGGGAGGAACATGGACCAGTCCTGGAGTCTGGGGAAGGCCCGGACGAGGGCTCTGCATTGGAGGCAGAGATGGGGCCAGGGCCATCTGGGAGTGATGCATGGACTCCGCAGCCCCCAGAGTCGGACATCAGCGAGGCAGAGGAACAGGGGGAGCCTGTTCCTAGTGCGCGCATGTGCAGAGCTGCCAGAAGGCAGGAACAATTAAAACAAAAGAGGTGACTCAAGAGTACGGCTTGGAGATGATTGGCCCCTCCCATAAGACATAAAGGAAGAGCAAAGGCACGTGGGCCTTTGCAGGAAGCAACGTTGTGGACGGTGTCGGTTTCTTCTTTGAAGCTCCGTTTTTGACTCCGTGTTTCCGTGTGGCCTTGCCAAGATAATTGCCAATTAGGTCTTTGGCAGCGTGTCAAAAGAAGATAAAGGTGGGTGTTTACCAGCCTTATCCGAAGGACTGTGGCAGACTTCTGTTGGACTATTTATAAACTCTTGGTGATTCAGCACGTGCTGTGAATGAAAGGAATTCACAGCCGTTAAAATTTTTAAAAAAGGGGTTTTGGGACGAATTGTGTGCTTTTTACTATATCAGGAAGCTTAGGTCAGAACACAATGAGAGGAGGAGTGACGTTACCAGGACGGCACCTTGATTGGACCATGTGACTGATTGTTTGGGGAAGAGGAAATCCTTTTACTTTTAATTAGGGGAAAACCGCAGGAACCTTCAGAGTCGGTTTTCCCCAGAACTGTGCCAATATGAGATATCCAATAAAGCTATTCTTTGAAGAAGCTACTGTCAGCATTTTGATGCTGGCATAGAGAGCAGAGAGAGAGAGAGAGAGAGATAAGCTCTGAACTTTTGCCAGCTAAATCCCTTTGATGTCGAGTTGTCGTGGAAATGAAGGGGGGAGACATTCCTGGGAAATGACGAGGAAAAGAAGTCTGAAGAATGACTTGGAAGACAGCCAATGAGAAGCAGAGATTTGGGGATCGGAAAGGGAGGGATTGGGGGGCAAAAGGTCAGTCTTGTCCGCATCGAGTCATGATCTGGGGGCTGTGCTCAATTAAAGAAAAGATTTCCTTAAAGATTGGCAGTTTGGAAATTCATTTTATTTTGAGATAGCATCGAAGTCTGACACCTACAGTGTTTCCCCGAAAATAAGACATCCCCTGATAATAAGACCAATCGGGCTTTTGAGTGCTAAAATAAGCCCTCCCTGAAAATAAGCCCTCCCCAAAAATATTTAAATACATGCGCAGGCGGTCCCCGCCATTTCCTCTGGCTAGGGTTAGGGAGACAGAGCTGGAAATCAAGTAAGATGGCAAGAGGAGCCCCGTCTTGCTCCATGCACCCCAAAATAATAAGAGCTCCCCGAAAATAAGGCCAAGCGCTTATTTCGGAGTTCAAAAAAGCATAAGAGAGTGTCTTATTTTCGGGAAAACATGGTACTTGCTTCTCAGGTTTAGTTGCCATGGATGTATTACGTGGAACCCTGACTCTTTCTTCTGATTAAGAGAATCCGAGCACTATTGCAAGTATCCTAAAGGGGGACCTCTTCTTCTACAAAGACCCTCCCGGACTCCAGGAATCAACTCTTGGCAGGGTGTTTTATGCATCACGGGCCTTGACTGGAAAAAATGAAGAGCTGCGGTTGCTCACAGCAGGAAAATGAATGGAACGAAGAAGAAAAACCACATAAGACGCCCAAACGAGTCTCAAGAGACTCCGTTCGGAATGGTGGCCCCCAGCTTAAGGTAGTCCTGCTGGCCATGAGCTTGTCTACTCCTCCATTAAAAAGCCTCCAAGTATGCCATGGCCCCAAAAAGAGGGCGTGCCCCCAAATCCGCCTTGATTGCATTTTAATTTTAAGAGTCACCAGGAATTTTCCCTTCTGCCGTTTTAAAAGATGCGACTTCTGCAACGGAAGCTCCCCAAAAAGAGAGCGTGAGCATGGAAAAATGGACGCCTTGTTTTGCTAAAAAAACCCCCCCACCTCCTACTCCTCCCCAGAGTCAGGTTTCCAAGTCTCTTCCAGATCTTAGGGGCCGTGACCCCTTAAATCTTGGAAATGGGGCTGAGGGCTACGGAGCCTCTACTCCTAGAAGGGACCAGGCTGCTCTGGTCATCGTGGTGCATAGATCTGAAGCCCAAATATAAAATAATTTGATTAGTAGGAAGGACTTTACACCGAGGAGAATGCGTTACCGAGATGAGAAATCATACAGAAATACAAGAGAACCAAGACTTGAATAAAATGTACATTAAAAAAATGGTAATCGCTGTTGCGGCCCGCCGGCGGCCAGCGGAGATGTGTCGGACAGTGAGGAGGTTGGGGAGGAACTTGGGCCAGTCCTGGGGGCTGGGGAAA